AAAATGGTCAAGATCTATGAAGTGTATGCCCTTGCGAAAAGGCGATTTAATGAGGCACCTCGGCGTGAAACATGCACACCCTGTATACAAAAACACGGTAGAATTAATTCAGTACATTCTCTCGATATTTTTTAAATAATGGCAATAAACAAACGTTTCAGATTTGTATTAATGGTCTACCTAAGATTTTCAAATAATATTCTGTTTGATAATAAAATGCATTTTTCACTGTGAAAAAATTACTTGATCCGCCTCTCACTGCACATAAAATGCGTCAAACTTTACCACGATGACGTCATGTCGACAAGTGCATTGCGATCAGTGACTTGTTTATATCTTGCTGTGTGCGATTTAACTAGCGACAAAAATGAATGCATTGGTAAGTTTTGATGTAGTTCATTACTCTTATGCAGTTTAGATTCGCAAATTATTTCATTTTCTGTTACTGTGAGGAATTGCTACATGTATATTTGTGTGATGTCACAGTAAACTTTTCCCGTATAAATTAGGCCCCGCCCCCTTTATGCAGCCTTAACAGAGCTGCGTTGTAGCTTTTTAATGGTCAAAAGATTAAACTAGAAATATGTCCAAAGGACATGAATGCCCCGCCAAGGGTATATTAGTAATGCAATATTTTAACACAAATTGAGAGAGTGAGGTCAAGGTCAAAGGAAAGGTCAAGGTGAAAAAATATTGATGCAGTTGAATAGCTTACATCAGTATGTATCAGCATATGAAGTTTGACACTAATTTAAGAAAAAAGTGAGGTCAAGGTCAAAGGAAAGGTCAAGGTCAAAAATTGTTGATGCAGTTGAAAAGGTTACATCAGTACGTATAAGCATATGAAGTTTGATAAAAATATTATGAATGGTTTCTTTAAAACTGAGCTAAACACTAATTTAAAAAAAAAGTGAAGTCAAGGTCAAAGGAAAGGTCAAGGTCAAAAAATATTGATGCAGTTGAATTGCTCTCATCAGTATGTATCAGCATATGAAGTTTGACACTAATTTAAGACAAGAGGCCCACGGGCCTTATAGGTCACCTGAGTATCGTGTAACAACTTTCCAACAATTGAATTTGGTTTGTATTTTAAACCAGAGGCCATGTAATTCACAATTTTGAAAGAGGCACTATTGCTCATCATAACTATACACTTAGCATGCTTACTTTGATCACTTAATACCCAGAGGCAGAGCAGAGGAACAAAAACAAGAGAAGTAGGAAGATCAGGATCAACAAAATAATTAGTCTAGTATTATTCACTATCAACTCAGAAATTGAGTTCTAATCTGTCCCCCACTTAACACTATCACCATGCAGACTATTAACAAACTATTAGTGCTTCTGTACTATTTTTAAACCCATATTAAGACCTCTAGCATTGACCTGTCTTATGGTCTTTAAAGAACTTTTAATAAGATAAGTTATTTTTGTCTCATTTTTATTTATCTATTACTTACAGGTCTACCTGATTATTAAAACTAAGAAAGTACTTTTTTAATTATACGATAAACATTCTTGCATAATTATCTTATTCTATTAACCTTTCAAATACATTATTTACAGTGATTAATTATCAAAGGTGAATGGAAAAGGGGAATAACTTCTCTCAGTAGAATACAAATTAAAAGAGCCCTGCCCAGGACCAGAATGCTTAGACGAATGGTCCAGATGTTTAAAAATCTGGTAGAAATACGCTTACTCATATCTTTTAAACTTTTACTCAGTTTGCTTCCGATATGCCCAGAAGCAGAGAAGAATTTCACAGGTACAATGCGTTTTCACTACAGATTCAACAAAACCTTACCCTAACAGCAGAACCCAAGACCAAGGGTCAAGAAATTTACAAATTCGGAAGAGTTACCCTCATCATCATTACTATGGACTTCAAAGAATTAACACTTTTCACTATATTATCAAAAGCCCACCCCCCCCTCCCTCGTTATGCCAGAACCCCTGACCCTAGGACCACAAGATTTAAAAATTCTGTTCGAAGCTCCCATTTTCATCATAGCTAAGCAATTTATTTATCAGCTCAACACTAAGGAGCCACCAGGATTAAATAATGATTAATTAATAGAATTAATGCTTTTTCACTATATAATCAATAGAGCCCCCCCTCCCCCTCCTCAAGAACCCCAAAAACTGAGGCCATATATTTAAAAATTTTGGAAGAGGCATCCTTGTCTATCATAATCATGCACTTAGTTTGTTTAAATAATCTCCAGTAGCAGAGAAGAAGATTTTCAAAGAATCAATGCATTTTCACTATATAATCAATAGAGCCCCGCCCTAACACCAGAACCCCTGACCCTGGGGCCATGAAATTCACAATTTTGGAAAAGGCATCCTTATGCATCATAACCAGGCACTTAGTTTGTTTAAATATTCTCCAGTAGTAGAGAAGAAGATTTTCGAAGAATCAATGCATTTTCACTATATAATCAATAGAGCCCCGCCCTAACACCAGACCCCTGACCCTGGGGCCATGAAATTCACAATTTTTGAAAAGGCATCCTTATGCATCATAACCATGCACTTAGTTTGCTTAAATAATACCCAGGAGCAGAGAAGAAGATCTTCAAAGAATCAATGCATTTTCACTATATAATCAATAGAGCCCCGCCCTAACACCAGAATCCCTGACCCAGAGGCCATGGCTTTCACAATTCTGGAAGAAGCCCACCTCCTCATCATAACTATGTACTTAGTTTATCACCTTAATGCCCAGGAGCAGAGAAGAAGATTTTCAAAGAATTAATGCATTTTCACTATATAGTCGATAGAGCCCAGCCCTAACACCAGAACCCTTGACCCTGGGGTCATGAAATTCACAATTTTGGAAGAGGCACTCTTGCTCATCATAACTATGTACTTAGTTACTTTATTAAATATCCAGAAGCAGAGAAGATGATTTTCAAAGAATTAATGCATTTTCACTATATAATCAATAGAGCCCCGCCCTAACACCAGAACCCCTGACCCTGGGGCCATGAAATTCACAATTTTTGAAAAGGCACTTTTGCTCATCATAACTATGTACTTAGTTACTTTATTTAATACCCAGGAGCAAAGAAGAAGATTTTCAAAGAATTAATGCATTTTCACTGTATAATCAATAGAGCCCTGCCCTAACACCAGAACCCCTGACCCTGGGGCCATGAATTTCACAATTTTGAAAGAGGCACTCTTGCTTATCATAACTATGTACTTAGTTCCTTTATTTGATACCCAGGAGCAGAGAAGAAGATTTTCAAAGAATTAATGCATTTTCACTATATAATCAATAGAGCCCCTCCCTAACACCAGAACCCCTGACCCTGGGGCCATGAATTTCACAATTTTGAAAGAGGCACTCTTGCTTATCATAACTATGTACTTAGTAACTTTATTTAATACCCAGGAGCAGAGAAGAAGATTTTCAAAGAAATAATGCACTTTCACTATATGATCTATATAGCCCCACCCTGGGGCCAGAACCCCTGACCCTGGGGCCATGAATTTCACAATTTTGGTAGAGGGCTCAATGCTTATTACAATGATGCCAACAGTTTGACTGCTTGATGTCCAGGAGTAAAGAAGAAGATTTTTAAAGATTGCATTATTTTTGGTGGTTTTAGCCCCACCCCTCAGGCCCCAGGGGAGCAGGGACCATGAAATTCACAATTTTTGTTCCCCTTCACCCATAAATGCTGTATACCAAATTTGGATGTAATTGGTCCAGTGGTTCCAGAGAAGAAGCTAAAAATGTTCAAAAGTTTACGACCGACGACCGACGTACGACGACGGACGAAAACGGATAGCAATAGGTCACCTGAGTTTACTCAGGTGACCTAAAAAGTGAGGTCAGGTCAAAGGAAAGGTCAATACATGTTGATGCAGTTGAATAGTTCTCATCAGTATGTATCAGCATTTGAAGTTTGATAAAAATATCTTGAATGGTATCTTTAAAACTGAGCTAAACACTAATTTAAGAAAAGTGAGGTCAAGGTCAAAAGAAAGGTAAAGGTCAAAAAATGTTGATGCAGTTGAATAGCTTACATCAGTATGTATCAACATATGAAGTTTGATTACACTATCTTGAATGGTATCTTTAAAACTGAGCTAAACACTAATTTAAGAAAAGTGAGGTCAAGGTCAAAGGAAAGGTCAAGGTCAAAACATGTTGATGCAGTTGAATAGTTCTCATCAGTATGTATCAGCATTTGAAGTTTGATAACAAAATCTTTAATGGTATCTTTAAAACTGAGCTAAACACTAATTTAAGAAAAGTGAGGTCAAGGTCAAAGGAAAGGTCAAGGTAAAAAAAGTTGATGCAGTTGCATAGCTCTCATCAATATCTATCAGCATATGAAGTTTGATAAAAATATCTTGGATAGTTTCTTTGAAACTGAGCTTTGAACAGAGCTATATGCAAAGCGTGACGGAAGGACAGAAGGACAGAAGATGGACATGACAAACACTGTATGCCCTGGCCATATTCATGGCGGGGCATAAAAATAAAAGTTAAATAAAAATGAGACAAAAACACCTTATCTTTGTACATAAAATGTTCTTCAAAGACCAAGAGAAGCCAGTGTAAAGGATAATGTCTTCGGTTTTCTATTACCTTAACTAGCCAAGGTTTTCTGATCAATTACTCTCCTAACAAATCCAAGGGTTTACGAAGAGAGTAGTGGATCATAAACCCTTGGCTAGCAAAGATGGTTTACTACAATGTAACAGTACTTGAGTTTAGTTAGCATGGTGACAATGGCAAGTAAATAGATCTACTTGAATGTTTGTTACTGAGTAATAGACTAATTATTTTGTTGATCCCTGAGCATCCTACTTATCTTACTTTTGGGCTTCATCTATCAGTCTTGTATGGATCCTTTACAGTGTTGTATTATACTAGGTGACTGCTAAGGCCCTTGGGCCTCTTACTGAGTACAACAGAGATTTGAAGTATCTAAATACCTTACATGTATCTCAACAATAGCAAGGTTGACATACACATGTTTTATAATAAAGTCACATTTTATTCACAATACACAAATTAAAAGTCATCATGACAAAGTCTTCAATAAAAATTTAAGATGCACAGCATAGTGTAGCATTTGCCTTAATGCTACATGAAAGTTTAGTTTAAAACACTGTGCTAATATCCTCCATGAAACAAATGTAACAGTTCCAGGTCTGACACTTCTGTTATAATGAACCAGTTCCTGGATCATGTCTATGTGCAATGATATGTACAAATGTAGTTCATGGTGGATGAGGAGAACAAAGATTTATCATCACATGATTCAGACAGTGAATATTTCAATGAAGAGAATGGAATATTCCAATCATCCTGAACATCCCCGGCACCCACAATGTACACACTCCACAATCTTGCCCTAAAAAGGAAGGACATGGATCTGATTACTAGTACCAGTATATAATTCAAAATTGGGAAAAATTGTAGCTTAAATGGTGATTTCTTTAAAATTAAAAAAGTTAAAATGACAAAGTACAGCTTTTATCTTAAAAAACTAGCTTGAAATGAATTGATATATAATGAATTATCAATGAATTCAAATATGTCCTTAACTATCTTCTCTGATTTTGTATGACAGATGTTGTACTTACTGCCTCTAGTTTGGACTTGGGGACTCGACAGATACAGTTGGCTCCAAAATTAGTGTCCCGTGTTTGTATACACCTTAGGCAGCACAGATTTTCATAGCCCTGCTTCTTCCACTTAGCAATCAAATTCTTGTCTGCAATATTCTCTTTCAGGCAATATTCATATAACTCTGTATTAAACCAAAACAAAATAAATGTATTGAATAGAACAAGACTACAGCAATAATCGTCTAAATCAAGTGTTAAACTTTTTAAATACAAACTAACTGTCTTCTACAACATTTATAAAATGAACTACTGTACAGCAGGTTAAAATCACGCAAAAGATAGTGATTTGTTCAACTTGCAGCAAATCGGGGTCGTTTGAATTCACAGAAAAGAAAATTATACCAAAAATTTTTTCAGCAGCAAGTATTTTCCTTGCGTATTGTTTCGATTCCAATTAAATAGAACGAAACACTGTACTGTAGGGGTGGGACGATACACAGATCTTACGATACGATACGTATCTCGGTACACATAACACGATACGATACGTATCTCGATATTATGATAAATTATAGGGGTGGGACGATATACCGATACAACGATACATACCGATATTTTCTTCTAAGATACGGTTTACGATACAGGTATTAAAATATCGGTACGAAACGATACACGAACGACCTATCCAAAAATTGAAAATGAAAGTAGTTGTCCTTGGAAAATGGCGGCTTGTATGAAGCGAAGACATGATATTGATATTGAAAACACGCTTTAGAAGTAATAATGTGTAGATAAGGGGTAAATCATTTTCACTTTTAAGCATCCTCGGAAGATGTGACAAGAAAAGTTCAGTTTGGAAAGCGTGTTATATATATACAGAACGTATCGTTTCCACAACAGTTGATATTAGTCCATCTGGTACTAACAGCTCATAACAATGTATGGATTCTCTAATTTCAAGAATTTGAAATTTTGAAACAAATTGTGGATTTTTTTTTAAACTCAACTTGGTTACAGACTTTCAGCAATTAATATTAATGTACATGTGATGTTTTTTAAATGAATTTTTAGACAGTGTTCTTGATGAACTACACAACTATTTGTAAACAACTTGTTTATAGACATTTGGCAATATGTACAGTCATGTAACAATGTTTTTGTACATTTTAAGTCAATGAAATTAATGAACTTCAAGTATTAATTTCAAAGCACATATGATTTGATATAGAATAATTTGTAGATTTAATATCAAGACAAAAATGAAATAAAATACAAAGTTTTTTTTTATAGTTTTATAATTTATCATAATATCGAGATACGTATCGTATCGTGTTATGTGTACCGAGATACGTATCATATCGTAAGATCTGTGTATCGTCCCACCCCTAATAAATTATAAAACTATAAAAAAAAACTTTGTATTTTATTTCATTTTTGTCTTGATATTAAATCTACAAATTATTCTATATCAAATCATATGTGCTTTGAAATTAATACTTGAAGTTCATTAATTTCATTGACTTAAAATGTACAAAAACATTGTTACATGACTGTACATATTGCCAAATGTCTATAAACAAGTTGTTTACAAATAGTTGTGTAGTTCATCAAGAACACTGTCTAAAAATTCATTTAAAAAACATCACATGTACATTAATATTAATTGCTGAAAGTCTGTAACCAAGTTGAGTTTAAAAAAAAATCCACAATTTGTTTCAAAATTTCAAATTCTTGAAATTAGAGAATCCATACATTGTTATGAGCTGTTAGTACCAGATGGACTAATATCAACTGTTGTGGAAACGATACGTTCTGTATATATATAACACGCTTTCCAAACTGAACTTTTCTTGTCACATCTTCCGAGGATGCTTAAAAGTGAAAATGATTTACCCCTTATCTACACATTATTACTTCTAAAGCGTGTTTTCAATATCAATATCATGTCTTCGCTTCATACAAGCCGCCATTTTCCAAGGACAACTACTTTCATTTTCAATTTTTGGATAGGTCGTTCGTGTATCGTTTCGTACCGATATTTTAATACCTGTATCGTAAACCGTATCTTAGAAGAAAATATCGGTATGTATCGTTGTATCGGTATATCGTCCCACCCCTACTGTACTGATCCCTAATAGAAGACAAAATGGTGTACGATTTACAATGTTACGCATTGAGATAATTTTTCTTATTTCTCTCTTTCTCGTTTTCTTTCTTTCTTTTCATTAAATATTTTTTAAATACATTTGAGTCTATACACTAGTGTTTTTTTTTCAAGTGATTTCAAGTTGTATATATATCCAAACCATTCATGTAAACAAGAGGCCCAAGGGCCTTAACGGTCACCTGAGTATAATACAACAATTTAGAGAATCCATAGAGTATAAAATGAACTGAAAAGTGAAGCTTTGTTGCCCAAAAGCAAGAAAAACAGGGTGATCAGGTTCAACAAAATAATTAGTCTAGTGTTCATTAACAGTTCATAAATTAGGTTCTAATCTGTTCCCCATTTATCACTATCACCATTACAGTATATTAACAAACTATCAATGCTTCTGTACTATTTTAATTCCTTGTTGAAATCTCTTACATTGGACTCTCTTGGTCTTTGATGAACATTGAATAAGACAAGTTATTTTTGTCTCATTTTTATTTATCTATTACTTACAAGTCTACCTGATCATTAAAACTATGAAAGTACTTTTTGTATTATACAATAAAAAATCTTGCAAAATTCTCTTATTCTATTAACCTTTCAAGTACATTATTTACAGTGACTAATTATCAAAAGTAAATAGCAAAGGGGAATAACTCCCCTCAGTAGAATACAAATTAATAGAGCCCTGGCCAGGACCAGAACACTTGACAAAATGGCCCAGATGTTCAAAAATATTTATTAAAACTTTTACTCTTTTTGCCTCTGATATGCCCAGGTGCAGAGAAGATTTTCAAAGAAATAATGCAGTTTTTACTACAGATTCACTACATTATCAATAGAGCCCCCCAGCCCCCCCCCCCCACCTCCCATCCCCACCGAGAAACACCAGAGTCTCTCACCCTGGGACCAGAAGTTTATTCATCATACATGTAAGTAATCACTTTGTTTATCTGATTAACACTAAGGAGCAGACAGGATTATTTAACAGAATTAATGCATTTTCACTACATTATCAAGAGCCCCACCCTTACACCAGCACGTCTGACCCAGGGGTCATGCAATTCACTACTCTGGAAGAAGTAATCATGCTCATCATAACTATACACTTAGCTTCTTTGCTTTTTAACCAGAAGCAGAAAAGAATATTTTCAGAGAAATTTTGCTTTTCACTATATAATCAATAGAGCACCCCCCCCCCCTTTTCACCAGAACCCTTGACCCTGGGGCCATAAAATTCACAATTTTGGAAGGGGCATACTTGCGTATCATAACAATGTACTAATAGTTTGTTTAAATAATACCCAGGCGCAGAGAAGAAGATTTTTAAAGAAATAATTCACCTTCACTATAGGATATATATGGCCCCGCCCTAGCACCAGAACCCCTGATCCAGGGTACATGAAATTCACGATTTTGGAAGAGGCATCCTTGCTTATCATAACTATGTATTTAATTTGTTTAAATAATACCCAGGAGTAGAGAAGATTTTTAAAGCATTAATGCATTTTCACTATATGATTTATATAGCCCAGCCCTAGCACCAGAACTCTTGACCCTGGGGCCATGAATTTCACAATTTTGGTAGAGTCACCCTTGCTTATCATAACTATGTATTCAATTTGTTTAAATGATACCCAGGAGTAGAGAAAAGGAATTTTCAAAGAAATAATGCACTTTCACTATATGACCTATATAGCCCCGCCCTAGCACCAGAACCCCTGACCCTGGGGCCATGAATTTCACAATTTTGGTAGAGTCACTCTTGCTTATCATAACTATGTATTCAATTTGTTTCAATAATACCCAGGAGTAGAGAAGAAGATTTTCAAAGAAATAATGCACTTTCACTATATGATTTATATAGCCCCGCCCTAACACCAGAACCCCTGACCCTGGGGCCATGAATTTCACAATTTTGGTAGAGTCACTCTTGCTTATCATAAATATGTATTCAATTCTGTTCAATAATACCCAGGGGTAGAGAAAAAGATTTTCAAAGAAATAATGCACTTTCACTATATGATCTATATAGCCCCGCCCTAGCACCAGAACCCCTGACCCTGGGGCCATGAATTTCACAATTTTGGTAGAGGGCTCAATGCTTATTACAATCATGTCAACAGTTTGACTGCTTGATGTCCAGGAGTAAAGAAGAAGATTTTTAAAGATTGCATTAATTTTGGTGGTTTTAGCCCCACCCCTCAGGCCCCAGGGGGGCAGGGACCATGAAATTCACAATTTTTGTCCCCCTTTACCCATAGATGCTATATGCCAAAATTGGCTGAAATTGGTTGAGCGGTTTCAGAGAAGAAGCTGAAAATGTTTAAATGTTAACGCACGACGCACGACGACAGACAAAAACGGATAGCAATAGGTCACCTGAGTGACTCAGGTGACCTAAAAAAGAAACCCTTTGGCAGGTGTTTGCTCAAAGGTATGTTTTGAGTAGAGTACAGAGTAGTATTTACTGCATTATATTTAAATCCCTCTGAATCTAAAACACTTGCAAGTACCGATAGTCAAAATGTTGGATTGAATTCATGTGTAACAGTGTTGTGTTTACTACGTAAGTGTCTTGATTAAGGATAATAAGACTGAGTGATATGCACGGGTGAAATCTAACAATACATTTTTTATATCCAAGGCCCAACAGATAATTACATGGCACCCCTACTGGATGACAGAATTAAAAGTTAGTTATAGATGGTTTTTTACCAATTAAGCTTAAAAAAAAAACAACAACTACATGTTAGACTGGGATTGATCCATACACCCGCATAATTAGGAAGACAGTCTATATCTCTATCTATATTGATTACTGCTTTTATGTTTGCAAGGGAACACAGACAGAGTTAACGTATCTAATTACAGATATCAGTAATATTTTAATTTATCTTTATCAATTTTTGAAGAATTATTCACTGTATGTTGAATTCACAGAATTTTTATTTCCATGAATATAGCAAATATTAACTTTGTGAGTTAATTTCCTGCTGTACAGTAATTAACCATGAATTAGTTTAACATTTATGAGGTTAAGATCGGAATTCATTAAATCAATGATAGTTTACAATTGTATATTCTTAAAATTTCGAAATCAATCTCTTTGTTTCAATTTCTCATAGCACCATACATTTAGGTTTTTAGGACAGTCTGCATGGTTATACATTTCTTTGTCTCAAGATTTACATTATCCTTTATGCGATTGTATGCTGACACATTTAATATCATTTAATACATCGATAAAAATCTGAGCTATTGGACGTACGTCTACTGATGGCTTTCCTTCTGTAAAATAAATCATAAATGTATCTGGACTTCTGATGGTGGAGTCGGAATATTGGCCAAAGTCCTTCAACTTTTCTCTTCCCTTCATGTGGATCAGTTTCCGCTAAAATGAATTTGAGGAAAAATCTGATCATGTTCATAGTCTAATATTCAGAATGATCTGAACATATTTTATCAAATAAATATATACAAAATGTTCTATCCGTGAACTAAAAACTTCGTCAACAGATAAATAGAATCTACATATAAACAGATAAATAGAAATGTATATTACCCTCTCTCATTTTAGCATCAAGCTCGTCAATTGTGGGCTCAATGAGTTCCCATCCCTCCGGCGGGGGTTTTCTGCTTCTTTTTACTTTGGGCATAACTTCTTTCTAGTTCTACTTTTGGAAAAACGTATGAGAGACGAACAGACAGACGGAACTGTTTGGAATTCCTCGAGGTTTACCATATCATATATGAAGACTCCCGAAACTTTAAATCAAGGGAGAAATCATTATTACACTCTACAATAACATCTCAGTGGTGATATGTAATGGGATTTGAAATACTGATACGAACTACTCCCTTGAGAAAAAAAGGCAAAGTGTGGACGATTGCATCTGAACATGCCAAGAGGTAAATATGAATATAATTCAATTCATTTTCTTTCTTTGGGGTAATAAAGGATGGATATATTTTATATACTCAATTGGAATGTCATATAAATCCATTAATAGCTGGAGATAAATGGTTATATTCAATCCCCAGTTATTTGATTAATGTACCTTTATCTTATTAAAATAAAAGAAAATAAAGGTTTTGTTAATCTAATATACAAATATTTTTTCTCTTAAAATCGTACTTTAGAAAAATCGAAATATTGAGTTTTGGACAGTTAATTGTTTAGAATCAGCTCGAATTTTCTCTTCAAATGATATATATGTAAGTTTGTTGCATATATTCGTATCATGTGTGCTATGATATTTTTATTTAGCTTCTACTTTTTAAAATTGCGGAGTTTCTACGAAATTTACACCATTTTAGTAGCTTCATTGGATTGTCAGGTAATCTTTGACCTCTGTGCCTTGGGTGCCATCATGTGCATGTGAAATATTTGGAAGTTAACAAGTCAGTACCCATTATATAAATTTTAAGTTGTTAATAATGTCAGTTTTTCTTCGATAGGAGGGCGTGGTGGAAAGGGAGGGGGGTATGGTCCCAAGAAAAACTACAAAGGACAGAGGCGACATTTCACAGATGCAGAGGAGCTCAAACAGCAGCAGGAAAGGGATAAAAAGCAGCAAGATTGGAGGGTAACTATTCTAACCAGGTTATAGTGGGGATACAGTCTATGCGAAAGTTGGACCACACAGGACATTTGGTCCTGTGTAGTCAATGAACACACAGGACCGAACCAAATTTTGTCAGACTGAAAAACCTAATGTAAAAAAGTGAAACACATGAAAATACAGAGTAGTAGACTAGCTTTACAGCTTTTCTTTAACAAGGGATCACTCCTGCATAATACTGTAGATGGACCATTCGGTTTTAATCACATTCATTTACATATTTTGATTTCTGTGATATTTTTTTACTGTAACAAACATTTAAATGATACCACATCAAAATAATAATGCTCAAAACTGGACACTGACACATCGGACATTCTTGTCCGGTGTAAAAAAAAGATGCATCTGACCAGAGGCACTGTACATCGGTCAGGTCTGACGGTCCGATGTCTTTCGCATAGACTGGGGATATACTAGGGCTGGGATAATACCACTTTTTCTATATTGATATATATCACGATATTTGAGCCACGATACGATATGAATAACGATATATAAAATTGGTTATAAATTTTTTTTTTGTATTGAAATGAACAAAACATTTCTTCACAAATAGAACAGAACAGAACATTTATTTTCTAATTTAGAACCCATAACAGACAAGTATGAAATTATTACAATAACAAAGAAAAGATATGCCAATGGATAGTATAACAATTTGTAAATGACATTGCTCATTTCAACAATAATATTGTACTATTTCAGTTAAAGGGAATACTATATATAAAAGTGTATGGCTACTACAACATGTTATCATTTATGAATTTGCCCACAGAATTAAAAGTTTCTTTGTCTTCAGTATTGAGTAACCAAAAAAGTTTTGTTCATCATCTAATGCCGAGAAATTTGGAAATTTACTTTTAATTGATTGAAAAATTTCTTTTCTTTGATGATCATATTTTTTACATGTTATCAGAAAATGAGTTTCATCATCTACACTGTTAGAGTTACATCTATTACATAATCGATCTTCTCGAGGGATGTTGGTAAATCTTCCCACAAATAAGAATAATTTATTCAAAGAAGTTGTATATTTGTTGTAAAACAAAATCATTTTACACAAATGGTATTAATATTATTATGTATTTCATATCTTTAATTACATTTAGCATATTTATTTTATATATTTAACCCAAAATGTTAAGTAAACATAGAAAAACAGAAGTCAAAATTTTCTGACGATATTTCGATATTTCCTCATACGTATCGATATGCGTATCATCCTCACATTTAATTGATATCTCGATATATCGTCCCAGCCCTAGGATATACCGTCCAACAGTCAATTTGACAGGGTTCATACAGACCATGAAAAGTGCTTGAATTTTGACCCAGTAGCTGAAAAGTGCTTGAGAATGCTGAAAGGAAAATCCTGGAAAAGTGCTTAAATTTGCATGTTATGTGCTTGAAAATTTTTCCATGGTGCTTGAATTCTGAGCTTGAGCAGCTATTTAAGCAAAGCTTTAAAGGAAAAAAAATACTCTGTTGATTTTCCTTTTTATAACATAACCAATAAGAAAATGTTGGAAAAACAAAAGTGCGAGGTTAAATGAGCCGAAGAAATTTTTAAAAATCCCAATTATATATTGTGTAAGTTCTTCTGAATGCATGACTGAATCGTCCAAAAGAACTTGAAAAGTGCTTTAAAAATAATGATGCTGGGCTGTACAAACCTGATCTGACAGCAGGGATTTAGTCACATAGTTATGAGAATCAAACTGATTTTTACAGAAACAGAAATTTTACTTAAAATGACTGATGTTTTACAGAAATAACAAATTATGACTGATATATAATTATAATGGGAAATATCTAGATAGCAAGAGAATACAATTTAAATATAGAATTGCCATTGTTATTACAGAGACAGCAAGGTATAGACAGTGATGAGGAGGAGGAGGAGGGGAAAGAAGCCACCCCCCAGAGCAGAGGTGCCCCGGGGGATCTCCCTCCCTCAGATTCAGACTCCGAAGAGGACAGTGAGGACGAGGTAATCCAATCAGATGAAAAGTTTATATTGTTGTTGTTCTTACTGATTGATTTTGTCAACCTTGCACAGTTTCCCCTGAAAAATCAATTAACTTACCAGTAATTTCAATGATCGATCTTGACATTTAGTTTTGTTTTGCTTATATTTGACTTTTGTCACCAAGTTTTTTTGAATGGAGATCCCAGATGTCAATGTCCAATCAGAATTTTCCTCTGGTAACCATTTGTTTACAAAAATGGGTTGCATGACAACCTTTATTTATTGATGTTTTTTCATTGCTTAAAGAAGATGTAAAAAAATATATTTTTAAAAAAGAAGTAAATGAATTAACAAGATTTAATCTCAAGTTCATGAAATTTTTTTTAATTTCTTCAAAATCAATTTAAAAAATAAAAGAAGTAAATAAATTAACAAGATTTAATCTCGAGTTTATGATAATTTATTTTAATTCCTTCAAAATCAATTTTTTTTTAAATTATATATTTTTGAATTAAATAAATGACTATTAATCAGGAAATTGACAATGCTTTTAAAATTTAATGATATTTTAAGTTAAATAAAATGTTTAAAGAGAAGGGATGTACGTTCACCTATAATAAAGTAAAAAAAAAAAATCCAATAAATTTCATTTTGGACAATTAGTGATCAACTGTACCAGTTGGAATCATTATTAATTTCATCAACTTTATTTGTAACTAAGACAAATTGAAGTGTATGTTGTTCAATGTATTAAAAAATGGAGAGAATTACTGAGGGTCTTATTTTTAGGAGAGAAAAGCAAAAGGGGTGGAACATTTGATAGACATTCAAAATCCAAACCGAGCTGGAGGAAGGCAGCTAAAGAAAGTCACAGAACTGGATACAGGCGGAAAAACCCAGCTAACGAGACGTGAGAGGTACATATAGGAATTACTGTAAATTATTGTTAGGTATGTCAATTACACCTGAATACAGGTGGGAAAACCCAGCTAACGAGACGTGAAAGGTACATATATATGAATTACTGTAAATTATTGTTAGGGATGTCAGTGACTCATTAGGAATGACAGGTAAGTCTCATTTATTGTAGAATGTACATTCACACGGGAAGGAAGACTTATCTCCTAAATGATACACACCATTTAGGCCAAAAAATTAATCTTTAGTTTCTCAGGCCAAAAATTCTAAATTCAATGTGGCAGGCAGTTTTTGTTGTTGGTTTTTTTTTTATAATTAGGCATTCTCTTTTTTCTTGTCGGTCAATAAAATGATAATATCAAATGATTATTACCTTTTTTGTACTCTTATGTTAATTATAATATGTACTCAACTTCAACTAATGTTATTCCAAATATTTTTATTAAAAGTCAATTCACCAATAACCATTTAAATTAAAAGAAATCATAAAAACATCATATATGAAATGGGGCATAACTCAATTTTCTTTTCAACTTTGAAAAAATAGGAATTCGACTTATTCCCCCTTTTTAAAACGTCAGTAAAATTGATCAATGCAGCAGTGTTTGACCTAATGCGGAGGACCCTTAGAAACTATTAATATTTTTGGGCCTTATGTTTTAAGTTCAATGAAGATCCCAAATTTGATTTTTAAAAATACACGAGACATATTTCTTTTATTTAAAGAGAAGAAATAGAAAAACAGCAAGCTAAAGCTCGCTATCAGCAACTCCACATGGAGGGGAAAACAGACGAGGCTAGGGCAGACCTAGCTCGCCTGGCAATTATACGGAAACAGAGGGAGGAGGCAGCTAAAAAGAGGGAAGAGGAGCGGAAAGGTAGAGTAATTATTATTGTAGTCTAAATATAAACTTATGTAGGATATAGTCATACTACATATGGCTGTTTCTTTGAACATTTTTATTTAATGAACAAATAATAAACCAGGTTTATCCTTGATGTATAAAATGTTAAAATGGATAATTTAAGTATAACTTTGTTGTCATGGTATTATGATCACATATTAAAAGGTACAAAAACAATGTTTGGCAACTGTATATATGTTGTTATATACACAGATTTACTAACACATCTATTCAGGTCTATCAAATTTTCAAAAGGTATTCATTTTTCCAAAACTGTCAAAAATGATTTTCACTTTCTGTAATTGTAGCTGCAGAGGAGGCGAAAGGAAATAAAAGCTGATACAAAATAACCCTAGTTAATGAAGTAAGTAATAATGCAATGAAGTTATGTTTTAATAATTGTGTTAACATTAAATTATGTTCATGGACCAATAGGGAAATAAATATGACTTTGACAAAATGGTCCAGAAATCTGTCCATTATGAGATTCCCTTAATATTCACATCACATAATGACTTTAAAAATTAATGAAATGCAAACGTAGTAATCTGTCAATGTGATAGACTCTATCCAGGTGACCCCCCTCCCCCCTCCCCCACCTTTCCAGGTCTTTATAAGTCCTCCTGTTACCCTAATAATTCTTCGTATTCTCCACCTGTGAAGTAACAATAAAATCTGTAGATTTACAGATACCCAAATCCTTGCATCAGATAGATGTTGATAAATGGACACTGTGAATCCCATAGGGTATTAACATTTTGATTTGGGGTGTACAGAAGTGGGTTTTCATGGACACATAAAGAACCTTGGGAAGGGAACCAGGACTCACACTATAATATGGGATAATTTTTTCCTCTATCTAAACCAGGCACCTGTATTGATACTGTGTTCCTTTTGCCAAGTGATCACAAGCAATGCATCCAATAATCTCAGATTTTGACATCACACCACAGATTCTGATTTTGTCTAATTATACCCCCCGCAAACGAAGTTTAGGGGGGGGGGTATATTGGAATCACCATGTCTGTCTGTCTGTCTGTCCGTCTGTCTGTAGACGAGATTTTGTCCAGGCCGTTTCTTGGAAACTATTGCAAGGATTTGTCTGAAAATTTGTACACTTATTATTTACCATATGAAGATGTGCACCTGTTTTTTTTTCATCATGATTGGATAATTTTTCTGCATTTTACAGGTGTTTTTTTCATTTTTATTGTGTGGTTTTGTCCGGACCTGTTCTCAGAGGCTATTGCATAGATTTGTATGAAAATTTGTACACTCATTATTTATCATATGAAGATGTACACCTGGTATTTTCAACATTATTTGATAATTTTTCTGCATGTTACAGATGTTTTTTTTCATTTTTATTGACTTAGTCATTATGGGTTTATAAATGTCTAAGGTTTGAGACATAGAATCTAGAACATCTGTACAAAAATGTGAACTACAGCTTAAAACTACTCATTAAAACTAAAAAAAACCCCAAAATATCACCTGGTATTAAAAACAGTTTTTACATTACACAGCAGATAGTGTAAATCCATTTGTCCCTTGGGAGTAATGAGTGGACATGCATCCAGTTAAAGATTAATTAATGAGTTCAGTGTGGGAAGTTGTTAGGGCATCTCTGATCAAGCAGGTGTTATCTATATCTCCTGGGAATTTGGCAAAAGAATTAAAGATTTCTGTTCTCTAATTCTCTTAATTGTAATTTATTGTCTGTCAAAGTACTGACCAGCCTTTTATTTTTAAAATAAATTTGATAAAAAGTTATCAAGATTAATTTGATTTTGTATAATACATGTATGTTGTTGTTTTTTTCAACAATCAATTTCAATGTCATGTCCCACAAAGATGAAAGATAGTTGCAATGTATTAAAAAAACAAAGTAATTACAATGTATTAGTGTTGCTATTTTATTAGGTTGCACCTTAGTTTCATTCGTTTAAAAAATATAATGAGCATTATATTTTTACTCTAAATGTTTATAAGAAAATTGTGAATATAACCACTTAGATCCATAAAATATTAGTAATTTGACACCTTCTCTAAAAAACCCAGTGGGGGGTAGTATTTGTCCCTTTTGGACAGTTCTAGTTATTCTTTAGTTCATGATTACTTTTTTTTATCCGTATTTTTTTTTTTCAGGTGACATCTGGAGCTTTCTGAATCTTGAGTCTGCTCTTCATTTGATGAGATGAGGATAAACTGTTTTTCTGTCAAGGAACATTACTCTGTTGTCAGAAAATGAAAAATTATCCTCTAGTTTTTGATATTTTGATAAATATAATCAACACCAGTTTCTCTATTTCTTATCTGAATATTAAACAGCACAAGATTTAACAAGAACCCAAGAACAAAAACAGGAAAAAGTTTTATTTAAAAAAGTAAATATCAGAAAATATACCCTATATGTTAACTATTTAGATACATGTATTTTAGAGTTATCAAATTACATATTACCTTTCTTGTAAGTTTTTGTTTCTTTCACTGCCTTGGTGTGTTTCTAGGAAACACAAGAATATGAATGCCCCTTTTCTTCATAATAATGCATGATGATTGAGCAAACGTATGATTTTAATTACAATGTAGATCATATGGATTAAAAAGGAATGTTATGTAAATGTAATATTGAGAATCTTATTCATAAGATAAGAAAGATTCAAATGCTTTTTCTCATTTATAGAATCCAAAAATCATGCAATGATAGGCAAAATATAATAATTTTCATGGATAATGGGAAATACATAGTCAAAGCAATGAAAGACATCCCTAAACACATATATTATTTGACCTATCAAAACTGTCCCACAAAATAAAATTTCATGTTTGCATTGCAAAGTTTTGGTTGTAGTTACTGTACAGTTTTTAGACTGTAGCTTCTATATATATTGAAGATAAATATGTTGCCACAAGAGAATTATGTAATTATATGTCTTCTTTAAATTGAAATTTTTGCCTGGTGCAGGTTGTAATATGTTCTGTAATTCTTTTTTTCATAGATTCATGAAATGTCTTTTTCTGCCCATCAATCTATTACTGTAATTGGATAAATACATTGTATATTGATGTCAATCATGCTTTATTCCATTGCATACACAATAAAATTCAATGGACAAAAAACGATTTTTTCAAAGTTGATCAGTGTCAGTCAATCAGGGAACAAATACTAGTGAATCAAATTGATGCAATATAATTTCATTATAATCAATACCTAAAGAAGTTGTTAATTATTCAGTACTGGTACATATACAGTCAAACCTTGTTATCTCAAACTCAATGGGACCGAGGAAAAACTTCGAGATATCCGAGGATTCGAGATATCAGGGGTAAAATACTTAAATAATAAGGGGTTGGACTTTATCAAATCACTTCAACATATCCATGGTATTGGAGATATTAGTGTTTGAGATATCGAAGTTCAACTGTAATTAGTATTCATCCCGATAAAACTTTTAAAATGATACCTTATTACTTATATTTACATTTGTGACTGATTTATTACAAATAGTAAGGTACTAAAGTTTTAAACCCATAATTGATCTGTTTTTTTTAAAACTCAGTGGTATAAATTGAATGTGTTGAACACGTCAATCACTTATGACGTCACTATGAAATTACGTAGATCGTTTATGACTAAATGATTAATTTATGGTCATATGACAAACTTGTTTTACACAGGTATAAAAACGCCTTGTTCAAATAGTGTTATGTAAGGGAAAACGTTTGCGAAAGTAAATACAAGTCATTTAAAACGTAAGTATAACATCATCTTTTGTTCTTTCAATACTTTCTTTTTCTTGAAAGGCCCATGCAAGACAGTCCAATAAGTTACCTGTAACCATCCAATAAGTTAAAAAAATCTGATAAATTATAACTTATTGGACTGCTACGGGTAAGTTATTGGTTTAAGAAAACACAACAAAGACGTAAATAAATAAACTGTCTTCACCCTCGAAGACACAACCCATGATCTTATTCCCCATGCAGGGCTTTCACCTGCAAGTCAAGGAGTGGTCAACGGCAACAAATTATGTAGCATGGAGAATATGACTGGACCGGAAATTGAACCCATGACCCCTGCATCACTAGTCAGGAGCTCTAACACTGAGCTACCCAGACCGATATCCATGGCCTAAACCATTACATTTAAATCCACCCGGTGCCACACTTTTATGACTTCTAATTAATAGTATAGAGGCTTGTGTATTTCCCTTCAATTATCTACTTTTAATGTATACAATGTATTCTTTTCTTCATACAGAAAACAAAAAGAATGCAAATAGTACATAATATGCAGCTTGGCACTTCAAGGGGAACTATACCTCTGTGTAGCGCACTTTCTTCTAGAACAAGAATTATTTACTCTCTGTTAACTTACAAGCATTCTTGTCAGTAATGAGCTGTGGTGGATTTCTACTGTATATACATTTGACCAATTTAAAAAACGAGAGGCCCATGGGCCACAACGCTCACATAAGTTACTTTGGCCCTGCTGTTCTTCACCAGATTTTCCCTTGTAATAATATCTATTGTGGCCCTACCCCCAGGAGTCATGATTTGAACATTTTAGATTTTACACCATCCCAAGATGCTCCACATAAGTTTCAACATTTCTGGCCCAGTGGTTCTTAAGAAGAATTTTAAAGATTTTCCCAATATATTTCATTGTAAACATTTGATTCCCTATTGTGGCCACACCTTACACTGGTGGTTATTATTTAGAATCTACACTACCCTAGGATGCTTCCACATGTTTCAGCTATTCTGATCCAGTGGTTTCTAGGGGAGAAGATTTTTAAAGAATTTTTCCTATATATTTCAATGTAAAAATTGGATTCCCTAGTGTGGCCTCGCCCTACTCCCGCAGGTCATGATTTGAACAATTTAGAATCTACACTACCCAAGGTTGCTTCCACATAAGTTTTTGCCATTTTGGCCCAGTGGTTTTTGAGGAGGAAGAAAGGAGAAAAAAGGATTTTTTGGAAAGATCATTTCTATAATTTTCAATGTAAAAATTTGATTCCCTATTGTGGCCCCGCCCTACCCCTGGGGGTCATGACTTTAACAATTTACAATTTTCACTACCCTAGGATGCTTCCACATAAGTTTCAGCATTTCTAGCACAGTGGTTCTTGAGAAGAAGATTTTTAAAGATTTTTTCTATAATTTTCAATGTAAATATTTGATTCCCTATTGTGGACCCGCCCTATTCCCGGGGGTCATGATTTGAACAATTTAGAATCTACACTACCCAAGGATGCTTCCACATATTAAGTTTCAGCTTTTTTGGCCTAGTAGTTCTTGAGGAGAAGATTTTTTAATGACCCCACCCATATTTGTCTTTTCTTGATTATCTCCCCTTGTAAGGGGGCTTCGCCCTCCATTTTAAGAATTTAAACTTTCCTCCACCCAAGAATGCTTTGTACCAAGTTTGGTTAAAATTGGCCCAGTGGTTCTTGAGAAGAAGTTGAAAATGTGAAAAAGTTTACAGACGGTCTGACAGACAGCTAGATGGAAGGATGACAGAGGGTGATCAGAAAAGCTCACTTGAGCTTTCAGCTCAGGTGAGCTAAAAATGAGGCACGAATTAGTACATTTAGCCTTAAGTTATCAACTATAACAGAAACTGATAAGCTTTTTGTAAAAACTAAAACCAGTCCTGGTCTCAGAAATCTTGACTATATTTAAAATGAAGTGCACCTTTTAAACCTTTTGACAGATTAGCTGTCCCATCCAGATTAAGGTGCTGTAAAAGCAAACAATTTTTAAGAGTTCAAATTTTGATGTCACCAAGAATGTGAACTTCATTCAAAAAAAAACTCAGGTTTTAAAAATCTCTTCTGATATTTCTGCTTCTGCCCATTAATGCTTGACTCTTTGGACTAAACCATGTGAATGTGATAAGTAAAAAATTAAAGATTCAACTTGGTATTCATTGTTAGCAAACTTTAATGCAATCAAAACAAATACTTTTTAAAATTTGTATAATAATAAAACAAGTTATCTTAATAAATAAATTATAATTTGGCTTAAATCACAAACTAATTAGTAAGACGATCTGTAGGTCAGTACAACACATAACAGAGTAATCTGTTTGTAACAATGTGTGAACTACATTATGCAATCTAAACATTCACTCCCAAATATGAAATTAAGAAAAACGAAGCACAGTGCATATGTGCAGTCATATTTTGTTTCTCTATCAAATTAAACTGTACTCAGTATCCAATGTCTTAACTTCAGAATTTCATATTTGTTGCCAAGTAACCTTAACCTTGAATTGTTCATTGACCTTGGAGATGTTTTTAAAAGTTTTTTAAACAAAGTCAGAAAGATACCTTTGTGTCATACGTCTACCCATTTACAAAGTAAAATTGTCATATTCTTCTCTGAGTACTCTTTTTCAAACTGTCCTGGGGAAAAAAAAAATAAAAAATAAAAAAAAAAAAGATCAAGTCAAGCATGTCCTTGACCCCTCCTGTGAAATACATATGCTATTACATGTCCACACTCTGCATTTTCATCTCATCCAGGGATCTGATCCTACCACATAAGCTTTATCTTTTCTTGGGAGTGGATCTACTTCAAAAACTACAGAGAACAGACATAAACTCTATCCTTGGTGCTACAAAGTGCCTATTATAATGATTCAAGTAACAACATGACCCTTTACAAATGAAGTAATGACAGTACATAATTTTCTCCTACATAAAACATATATCACTTAAACTTAAAGTCGACATTACATCTTTAACTATGTCAGATATCAAACAACAAGTACTGACAAAAATTTACACCAAATAAAACTGTATAAAGAAACACTGAAATAAGATTGTTGTGTTCTGTTCAGCAGTTGAAAATAAATCTATGCATATCTGCTGAACATCAAAATATCACAAATATTTTACATTGACAAACCCTGAACGATGTCAACATAATGAGGTATATAGGTGTAGAGACCACAGTCATTGTTACGTACCCCCGCCTACGGAATGTTCAGGTATATCTGTAATAATTAATACAAGGAACAATATCATCGTTGATAATTAGAATACTGTGGAGATATTTATAATTTAAATAGGATCATTCATCATTGCATTATCATCTTTTGTTTCTTTTATAGGTAATATTAGATCACTTCAGCTGTGATTTTATTAATTTGATTTAACTTTATGCCCGGGTTTTAAATAAACTCAAGTAACGGACTTTTTTTTAAAAACCTGGAAATCATACACAATAAGGTGTTAAAAACAATAACATTCAGAAACAATACTGAGGAAAATTTTTCAATAAAAAATTCAAGAGTTCAACAAGAGTTCAAAAGATCGAAGTACCAATTTTACAAAAGTATAAATGGCCTATTTCAGTGTCTAGAAACAATTACTATAAATGCACATACCAAATACATAAAGAAAGCTCTATCTACACTACAAAGGGTACCAAGACATGAATTTAAGCAGAATGCCAGCCATATCTTCTGATTTGTGGGTCTGTTCAATGATTGTCGTTATTTTGTAAGCTTTAATCGATAAAGTAAAGGCACTTTCAATTCTCATTGTAAGCATGGAAGAGAATTAAGAATTTGAAAACTAGTCCAGTAAAAAAAATGCCACTCATAAGGGCGATTAGATAAAAAAAAATAATGGCCTCAAATTAAAATGTTAGCCTGAGACTATGCATAAAATATCATTCAACAAAATTTATTAATAATTATTATAATTTGCTACATGTAATGAAGGGTAAAAAAAATCTTTGGAAACGGCAAACTAAATGCCATAAACTGACATCTCACTATACGAGATCGTACTTAGATTTAAAATTGATTTCATTAACACTCCAACAGCAGAAATCCCTAAAATCAACACTCAATCAAATTACAATCACTTTCAGTGAAACTATTAATAACACACATGTAAAAAGAACCTTGTAGATTCTATCAATAATAAAATACATTAATCATTTAAAAATATAACTTTTGGTGTAATAAAACTTAACAATGCCTATTAATGTGACAGCAATTCCAGGTCTACAGTACATACACTAATAGCACGGGTTACAGAGGGAGCTTCTATAAGTCTATAGGTAATTCAATATCTACATAAATATCATAAGAAAAAGACTAATTAACAAAGGGACGAGCCTCTACTTCCATCTGCTGTATGTGTGCGCTTATCATCAGAATTGGCTTTCTGGTGTTTGTTGGTTCACATATCCAGAATCATCATTGAAATAAATGTCCTATTTACCAGGCAGGTACAGCATACAAATCATTGCACTTATATTTACCAATATTTTATGACTTCTGTTCAGATAAGAACACACATATAGCTTGACTACAGGAAATAATACAAAAGGTGTACAATGTACTACACTAACTTTTATACTGCTGCAATTCTATCCTATAGGAATGGAATACATATATATTTTCTTAACTATGAATAACATGATAATAAATAAAATAAACTAATAACAATCCCATATAAATTCCACGACTAGCTACTACGCTATCTATACTTCTGAATCCAGTAGTGGATCCCTTACGTCTGTCGTCGGAGAATTCTCCTTTTCTTTATCCACCTTACTGACTTTAAATCGGCTGAGGGGGGTGCCGGAGCTGTTTTCCTTACTTTTCCTCCTAGAATACAGACTACTGTTCAGGGTCAGTGGTGAAGGTTTCATATTCAAAGAAAACCTTTTGTTTGAGGAACTTTTCTGGGGACTTCCGTCTGACATGGGGCGTGAGTCCTGCTTTGTTGGGGATTCCCCTTCAAGGTTAAAGGTCACCTGAGGGCGATGTCTTCGGCGCATCACTGGGTGGAGTCCGTGGTACGTTTTATAGACGTTGTAGCCACCTCTGGTTTTCTCCTCTACTACTCTTGTCTCGGGAACCATACCCTCCTGAACTTGGTGCAAAGCATTTTCAAAGTCTTTCTTTAAGTAACGGGAGTACTGTGGGGGAAAAAAGAACACAGTCATTAAGTCTCTAAAACTGGTAAATGCTTAATATATATGTCTGCAATATTTTTTTTTTGAAAACTAGATAAATAAAACTGAAGGAAATACTTTGGGATATGCTATCTGAAATCTTTGATGTTGACATAGGCACATTATGTCGATTATTGAGGCTTTATTCATTGAGTTTAAAGGATATTATATAATCATAGCTGTTTCTGGGGTCCATATGGTGATTTAGCCACCTGAGGAGTACAATATTTAACTCCCATCCCTGAATGTTATGTTCACCTGAGTGAAAATTTGGTGCAGGTGAAATAACTTTTCATAATTAATTGTATCATTTCAGAAGTTCTCAATCTAATTTTAGTCCAAAGTAGAAAAAAATAAATTCTTATATTCAACTGGAAGGTCATGTGAATATAAGGTAGCATTTTTCCTACAATGTTGGATCTCAGCCAATCGGAAAGTTAGGAATTATTTAATCATATAATAAATCAAAATATTATTTCATAAAGTCTGATCAATATGATCAATGCAAGTGTAATATTTTTTTGAAAAGACAAGGATTAGATAAAATTCAAATTAATAAAGTCAAAATAACTCCGAACTTGGAGTGAATGTGAGTAAACTCACTACATTACAAGAGGTGAAAAAAACAAATCTTGTATAAAATCTTAACTTAGCTTGAGTTAAAAGAAAAATAAAAGCCATTGTGTTTCTAAACATTATCATGAAGAGGCCCAAGGGCTTTAACAGTCACCTGAGTATAAAACAACACTGTAGAACAAAATAAAACATAACTGATTGATGAAGATATGTTGTCCAAAAGCAATAGAAATAGAATGATTTGGGATCAACAAAATTGTTGGCCTAGTACTCAGTAACAAATCAAAAAGTAGATCTATTTACCTGCCTGTACTTGTCAGTGCTAATACACTTCCATTTATCACCATCAAAAGTTTACAACCAACATACATTGAGCAACAGCAGAAAACAGATAGCAATAGGTCACCCGAGTGACTCAAGTGACCCAAAATGGCACCTCAATTTTTGGAAATGATTTGAACAAAAAAAAATTTCTCCAGCTGGTAACGTACATGTTGCTTAACTCATTTAAACACAATAAATTGTTGTACTCCAAATCTGAACAGTTTATCAGTAAAATGCACACTTCTAGTGTTGTGAAATATGTGATTATTAAAAAACCAGGAAAGCCGTACCCTTGGGGAAGCGTGTCAGTTTTACACACAATTACCTCCGGAGTTATTTACCTGATTTCTACTTCTGTTTACTGGTGTTACAGTCAAGTACACCTTAAAGTTTGTAAATAATTTTTATTATAAAATACCTATCAAAATCAAATATTATTTTATTCCTGCCCATTTAAGTGTACCAAACATTCAAAATAAGAAAGAAACATCAGGTAATACATGCTTTGTAAGTTTTTTTTGTCAGTTATTTTGCCTGTTGGAGCTACACTTAAGCAGTTATTCACTTTAAAAGCATTTACAGGCTTAATGATTACATGCATATATATCCAATATTTCAAAGAAATTTACACAATATGAATTTAAATTAACCCAGGTTAACTCTGTAAATTAACCCAAAGTCATTTGAAAGTTGAGATTAAATGAAAAAAAAAGTTATTTTAAGTTTCATATTTTTAAGGTTTGTTTTTGTAGATTTAACAAAGAATTGGCTAGATTTGTAAATTAATTGAAATCCCCTTCATGGTTCCAAACCCAAAAAATCAAATGAGTTCCATAGTTTCCCCCAAAAGTGCTATAGGATAGTAAACCATGCTTGGGAAACAAAGAAATAATGGATAATTGGCAAAGCCTTCAGTGATCATTATTCACACACGTTTCAAAGAAATAGCTATAATAATGAAAGAAAATAAAACCACACGTGTATACCAGATCAGGATAAGTCCCCTCCTACGAAAGATTTCATGCAAAAAAAATTAAAAAATTAAAAAAAATTACTTATTGGTTCTACAGTGGGTGTGCATATTCTATTCATAATGATATTAAGAAACAAAAATCTCAAACTTCAAAATACACTTATTTATCCATAGTATTCATAGGAAATTTTTGAAGTTTCCATAAACACAATATTTTGACAAAAATAATCTACAAGTTTTATATATATGTACAATTTCTCAGTATTTCATTGACTATGATGTGTCTGTGTCATGAGACCAGTTCACCCTGTAATTAGCCTCACCTGATTTCCTCCACCAATCCTTGGCAGGAATTTATTGTACTCTGGACTGTTTTCTACTTCCTGTCAAATAACGATATATAATTAGTTTCTAATCTGCCAACATCTTTATATACATGTTACATGTAAATAAGATGAAACACATCAAAAATCTATGACTGGATTGTAGCTATTCCAAATCAGACTCATCTGAGGAAAATATGTAAAGCACTTTATTTTCAAGTAAATTTTTTTCAACTTGTTATTTATTTTTTAAAAATCTTATTTATCTTGCATATTTACAGACAATAAGAAATTGGCCAGTTTAACTGATTGATGATTCGAGGCTTTACGCAGAGACAGCAGTACTTCAGCCATTTTTCAACAATCTCCACAGTAACAACTTAACATAATACAAAAGCATCTCTAAGATGGAACCCAATGCCTAAAATATTAGAAAGGATATCTACTGACCTCTATAATATCCTTAAGCCTCAGAGTGTTCTCCGCAGAGTCTCCTGTCTTCTTCTGTAAGCAGACAATGACATTGTACACATCAAACAAGTTACACTGTAGATATACTGGTCTAGTAGTAATACTGTACACTTCAAACAAGTTACACTGTAGATATACTGGTCTAGTAACAATACTGTACACATCAAGAAAGTTACACTGTAGATATACAAGTCTAGTAACAATACTTTACACATCAAACAAGTTACACTGTAGATATACAAGTCCACTCTCTACCATCGGCTCATACATTCACCTCTGTCGTTGGCTCGCATATATCACAGTGATAAGCACGAGAAATAGTGCATTTCTTTTAATTCATTATAATTAAATGTCTGATCTAATGATAGTCCTTAGGGATAGATATTTACTAAATAGATCTAAAACTATTAGTATTGTTTTAAAACAATGTTCAAATTGGCTAGTAGATAATAAGTTATCTCTACACCTTGGGAAGACTGAATGTATTTTATATGGATCAAGAAAGAAGCTTTCAAGTGTCCAAGATTTTCACATTGAGTGTAATGGACATACAATACATTCTATAGAAAAAGTTGAATATTTAGGAGTTTTTGTTGATCAATTTTTGAGTGGTGAATTTATTGTTGAGTCCATTGTACAAAAAGTCAACAACAGGTTGCGTTTTTTATACAGACAAGCTCGTTTTTTGGATATAAGAAGTAAAATGTTATTATGTTCTGCTCTTATACAATGTCATTTAGATTATGCTTGTTGTGCATGGTATGCAGGTTTGTCAAAGAGTTTGAAAAAGAAATTACAAGTATGCCAAAACAAAATGGTAAGATTTATTCTGAATTTAACTCCTTTACATTCCATAAACTACAAAGTGCTTAGTACATTAAATTATTTAAATATAGAAGACCGGGTAAGACAACTCAGATTAAACCATGTGTATAACATATATCATGGTTGTGCGCCATCCTATCTAAGCGAAAATTTTACTTTAAGGTCAGCTGTGTCTTCACGAAACACTAGAGCATCCACTAATGAAGATTTTTTTATTCCTCATGTGAAAGCATGTCAAGCGGATACTTTTTACTATAATGGCATTAAGGACTGGAATTTTTTACCAGCTTCTATTAAATGTACTAAAGGAAAGATTACTTTTAAGAAACAAGTTAAGAGTTTTATCTTACAAAATGGCATTTTAGAACATGAAAGTGATATGTTTCAGCATTAACTTATAAAACATATTTTATTATTTTATTGATCCTATATGTTGTCATACTTAAATTAAATTTAACATGTAAGCAACGCAGTGATAAGATTATAGTGCCAAAAATTGTTATAGTGCTTTAATGATGAAACATTGTATTTTTATCTTATTAAGGGTAGGACCCCATTGGAAATAAGCTCTCCAACTTTAATGGGTTATCCTGGTATCAACTAGTCACTATCTAAAATATGGTTTCCTGAATATTTATTTATAAATCTATTTAAAATTTATGGATTCCCAAATATTGTCTTTCAAATGATTATGTATATTTATGTGTATTTGTTTTATGTATGATGATATATGATACCAAATAAATGATGATGATGATATTAGTTTAATTTGAAATAATCCTTGAAATATTAGGTTTTTTACGTTATGTCAAAAATCTTGACGCGAGCCCATTGCAGAGGTGTCTGAGAGAAGAACGAACAACAACTCTGCATAGGAGATTGATTCAAGTCTAGAAATAATACTGTACAAATCAAGCAAGTTACATTGTAGATATACCATTTTAGTAACAATTCTTTACACATCAAACAAGTGACACTGTAGATATACAAGTCTAGTAACAATACTGTACACATCAAGCAAGTTACACTGTAGATATACCAGTCGAGTAACAATACTGTACACATCAAGCAAGTTACACTGTAGATATACCAGTCGAGTAACAATACTGTACACATCAAGCAAGTTACACTGTAGATATACCAGTCGAGTAACAATACTGTACACATCAAGCAAGTTACAATGTAGATATACTGGTCTAGTCAGTCACAATACCAGTAATAGAAATTTGACAATCATGCACTTTTCTCATTTGTTTTTTAAATTGCATTGAAAGTAAATATATCTCTTATGCCTTATTGTCAACTACATGCATACAAATGTTTTGCAACACTTACATTTACACTTACATTAATATTTTTAATTAAATTAAAGCTCAGTAACATACTACATCTATAGTAATTTATAGCCAGATATACTGTAATAGAATTTAAATACTGACCCTCCACTCCTCCAGGAGTTTACGAGCTTGAGCGGCCAGCTGCATGCTCTGTGGGCCTTTAGATGTAGAATATGACTCCTTCACCACGTGGATGTCTTGACTCCAGAAATCTCGCGTGGAGTCTGTTGTGGTGTGCTGGGGAGCTACTTGTTTTATCTTTATAAAATTGAGAAATTTATTTAATAAAGCATCAATATTTATTTTTATATTAATTTTTTTTACAGTTGCATTTATTAATTATTATTTCAATAATTTCAGTGGATGTCTCAACTTGCTTTAAAACAATGGATTGTCAAAACTTTTGATGTAATTCTCTGAAATAAGCTTAAGGCAAAATCTAAGTTTACTCTGGAAAGGTGAACCAAATTTTAAGAGTATTTCCATAGAGGAAAGGTGAATTACAAGAACAGGTGAGGAGGGTATTTTAAGGAAGCTGAGGCTATTTCTGTGAAAAGTTACCTTGAGGAAGGCTATTCCCATGATAAAGATACACAGGATGTTGAGATTGGTGAGCATGAGGCTAATGAACCCCAGATACGCAGCCTCTACAGACATATCACAGCTGTGGGCAGGGGAGTACTTGTTGTTGAGGAATGGCTTACATCCCAGGGTGTCAGTGGGGGTGAAAACTTCCTCCAGAAAGGAGGTATTATTCACTGTCACATTTCTGTAGGTCACATCAAAGTCTGGAGGTCGGATGGCAGAAATAATTGAATATGCCCATAACATGCCCTGTAAATTTGATAGTATATTGCAAGATTATATATACACATATTATATATATTTATAGAATATAAAATTATGAATATTTAAATAATGTATTTAAAAGTGAGGTGATGTATAATCATGTACTATTTTTGATATTTCTAGTTACTTGTATAGGTTAACCTAATTTAATTTTTTAAAAATGTTTTTACAATTAATACGTAAGTAACATTACAAAGCATCTGTTTCTGTTTCAGTACAGAGAGCTCTAGAGAAGTTGGGGTATTTGGATTTACACAGGACATTCTCCTTCTGTCATACTCACTGCGTTGACAGCTGGGGGGAGGAGTGAGGCAGAAATAGCCACGCCCACCAGTGACCCAGCGTTCCCTCCCAGGACAGATAAGGCCACACCCGCTCCAGAGGGTATAGCAATACAAACACCAACCCACAAGCTTCTTAACACACCTCTACAATGAAGAATTTCATATTTATCACTTCCTACTTTTATCATGTTTATATTCATACACAGTAGTTTTGTTCAGCCTGCATGTGTGACAGAGACCTGGTGATACTGAGGGAATATATGTACAACAAGAAGTCTGTGAGTCAATGCTCACTAATAATACCCCCGCTCTGATGTGAATACACAAGTTTGGTTACGGACAAACACAGTGATAATCAGGAAATTGACATCTGATTTGTAAAAACTGAATCCCAACATATAGCATGCCTAAACAAAGATTGTGCTAAAATTTCAAGCATCTGCGATGAGTAGTTGCTGAGAAAACTAAGACCAAAATTTGTTATGTATGGTATGGACAGATGCACGGATAAACAGGAAGTTGACATCGGATCCGTACAAAAATGAATCCCACCATATGGCATGCCTAAACAAAGAGTGTGTTAAAATTTCAAGCACCTGTGATGAGCAGTTACTGAGAAAACTGCGACCAAAGTTTGTTATGTGTGATACAGACAGACACACGGATAAACAGGAAGTTGACATCGGATTAGTACAAAAATGAATCCCATCATATGGCATTCCTAAACAAAGATTGTGCTAAAATTTCAAGCATCTGCGATGAGTAGTTGCTGAGAAAACTGCGACCAAAATTTGTTACGGACAGACAGACACACAGACGGACGGACAGACAGACGGACAGACAGACAGACTGACACACAAGGGTAAAACAGTATACCCCCCTCTCCTTCGGAGCGGGGGTATAATTAGACTTATTGTCTTCATAACTTAGAATTTTTTTTTCTTTTATTATATTAACATCTCTGAATTTTAATGAAACAAAATAACATTTAGCATATATAAGCAGTTTTACTATTTATTCTTTAGGTGGAATCACCGTAGAAAATCCTGCTTATTTATTCAAATAACAAATATACAAATGGAAAATAACACAAAGTCATGAGAAAAAAAGAAGGTTTACAATATCATTCCATCAGCATGTGTGATGGTAAGAACCAACTATTATAAAAACTACCCTGCTTCTTTATCCCATACATACAATGTACCTGGATTTCATTTCATTGGTTGGCCAGCTGTCAGAACTTCCCCATTTAGTTCCATCAATGTTGACTATCCCACTAATGATTCCAAACAAAAGTCCTGTAAAAATCAGACAAACCCTCAAATAAACCACAAATCAGCCTAACTAAAAACTAGACAATAGGCCCATAAGCCACACTGCTCACCTGAGAAAAATCAGGTGATCAAAAACAGCAGATCATTAATAAATTAGTTCTAAAGTTTTTTTAAAGTAAATTTCTTATTATATGAGAGAGAGATTTTTTAAATTTTTTAAAGTTTACAAAGCAAAATATTTAATATGTATTGCACAAAATACAAATTACACTGACTTGTGAAACTGGAGGTTAATTACATACTTACCACTGATGAGACATATAAAAAGCCCTATCAGTTCATTCTTTATCCCAAGTTCTCTCAGTGCTTTGTTCTGCATCACTGTGCCAAACGTGCCTCCCAGGATAGGACCCTACCACAGAGAAATACTATAATGTTTATATGTACATACATTTAATGATATTTCACAGATAGTCAGAAGCTTCTGTGATAAACTACAGCTACTACACATAAACATTTTTAAATGTGTATGTTATCATCTGAACAAGAAGTCTTGGATAGGATTGTAGCTCTACTGGACATATGCACACTCAGATTTTTGATTTATTCCTTTTGAATCAAGAATAATGGCTTATAAAGAATCATTTACATGTCAGACAATTAAACTGTAGGATAAGAAGCATCTCAACATAATTTTTTATTGTTATGATAAGATGCTACAAAATTAACATGCATGTTTACAATCATGTATTAATTAGTCATCATTTGTATTATAAAAACATTCTTTTTGAAATTATACTAAAAGTTAACAGGTGTCAAGTTTAGAAAAAAAATGTCTACATGTGCCAGAAAAAAAGACAACAAAGTTAACTCCAAGCAAAAGGCTATTTGTCTTTGACCAACGAAATGGTACGGAAAGACACACAGATAAACAGGAAGTTGATATCGAATTCTTACAGAAATGAATCCCACCATATGGCATGCCTGAACAAAGACTGTGCTACAATTTCAAGCATCTGCGATGAGTATTTGCTGAGAAAACTGCGATGAAATTTTTTATGGACAGACACACAAGGGTAAAACAGTATACCCCCCTCCTTCGGAGCGGGAGTATAAAATCTAATACCAATTTTAAACAACTGATTTTTAATGATTTTTTAACTGATAGGTAGATTGATGTCGTAATAGTGTGTTTAAGATGTTATGTTAAACTGAATTTCTTTAAGAGGAGGTGATAAAAAATGTTACGGAAAAAAGAGTATAAAATATATGCTCTTGAAATTTTAAAGACAGGAATTTGAAAATCTCACAATAAATTTCTGATTATTTTTTTACTTCATAAAACATTACTATATATCGTATCTTATATTACTCCATTAAAAAAGGAAAATTTCGTAAATTTTTACATTTTGAGATGGGACCTCAGGAAAGCAGATGATAGAGTTTTGTGTTTCTTACATATTTTGTAAAACATATTATTACTCATCATATATTTTAATTAGAGAAAAAAGTCTATTGTACAATTTGTAATATTTCCTTTGAAGTGTGAAAAACTGGCACTTTTCCATATAATCCTATAGACAGTAAATGTACCTGTATTTTGAGATGGTCCCTAAAAATATTCAGAGAATAGATTTTCCTGAAACTTGGCATGTACACTGAAGTCAATATAAGTTACATATGATATAAAATTTAAGAGTTTTTCTCTTGCAGTTTTCACATAATAAAACCCCAGTCGGCTCCCTTGAATGTTTAAGCTTACAAATAAAGCACATTCTCAATTTCTTGTGTTAGCTAAGACTACGGAAATTGGAAGGTTTGTTGCACTGAATGGAACATCCATTCATGTTTTATTGCAATATGTGTTATATGTTTACCAATTTTGTGAAAAAAGTTCTCATATGTATCATCTTATGATAAAATTTCAAAAGAAACTAGTCTAACACAGAGAAAAGATGGTTTCCAAAAAACTGAGAGCAACAGTTAGAAATAACAAAATAACACACTGAGGAAGACAACCGAGAAATGCAACTATAAAAATAATATTTTAGATGGAAATGAAACAAAGATGCAGCTAGCATTCATTTTTTTTTTAATTAATTCAGCACATGTATTATTATTTTTCAAATATTTTACCAAAATTTGTCCACCTTTAAATGTAATGATTCAAATATAAGAATTGAAAAGTTGACAAACATGGTATAGCAGTTTGTTTATATGAAATGCATAACCTTTATCATCAGACTAAGTGATCTTTAATTTTCTCGTACAACACCTACCCAGTAAATGTATATACTTAATATAAGGTCTGTAGTTTGAAATATAATTGGTATTATTTGATTTAAAGTGCACATGGTTATAAGAACATTAAATGTTGTATTAAATGACTTCAAACAATCTAAATGTTCTCCACCTATGCACCAGTAGTAAATATAAAATCATTGTCTGTAAACTGATAAAACACCTCCTCCCCTCTACATGTTCTCTATGTACCAGAAGTAAATATGATGTCATTGTTTGTAAACTGACCCCTTCTTTCCCCCAATGGTTATTGCATCCCATAAACATATTTTGACCTTGACATAAACAGAGTTGAACTGATACCTACTAGTGACCTCCACCTAATACCTAGTAATAATTTTGAAACTAGATGTACTAGTATTTATGAAACTCAAATATTCTAAGCAGGGCCTACTCATATTGGGATAAACCTGACTTTGACCTTCTCAAAAGGCCCTTAGGTCAGGGTTAGGATACATTCCATGATCAAAAACCTATCTTTATGAACTTTGATGTTTCTCCATTATTTTACAGCTTCCAATCATAATGACCTTGAACTTATCCAAATGGCCTTGAATTAGAATACTCTTATCCTAATCTACATTTGTGCCATAAAGAACCTTCTTACATTCTCCTAAAATTTATTGTTTAAACAAAAAAATTATATTTGCAATCCGAGTAATCTTGAGTAAATCTAAATGAAATGTGTTAAAGTTGAAACATTTGCTCTGATCAAAAGCTTCTCTTGTGTCAAATGTAGAGTCTTCATGTTTTACTTTAAAAGCTATGAGCAAATTAAGTCATAAGTATGGTCAATGTAGAATAAGCCAAAGGATAGAAAGACACAAAAACACTTAATAAATGTACCAGTAATCAACAGGGAAGGCATTAAGAACAAATGAACTATACTTAGTTTGTATATATATCAGAAGAGAATAATTATTAAGTCTCTAATGGAAAAAGGAACAATAAAGGAAAACCTTGGTGACCTACCATGAGTGGTGATACAAGCATACTGGCGACCAGGATTACAGAACTGTTTTCCACCAATCCCAGACAGGCCAATAAACTGAAAGTAAAAGTTAAAGCTGTCACACAATCAACAGGGTGTTCTATCATGTCTCCTAGACTAAATAAAGGTTTTATCTAAAAATTTAATTTTGCTGACAGTTCTGCATGCTTGATGTACTAAATGATTATTTGTTCATCTACATGTACTTGAGAAAATTTTGAAATCAAATTAAATTTATACAATATTGTAATCTCTGTATCTATAGTCCACTGGCAACCCTCTGCTAAAGCCAAGCAATCCATTATCCTCCAATTCAAATTGAACATTTTACAGATGACCGTTTAGTCTTCTGTTTTTATACAAGAGGATTTGTACTTAGCATGCAAAACATTTAATCACACAGGACACATGTTTACCTCCCTTTATCTATGCTGGCCATTTGCACTCATACACTTTTGTAAAAGTTACTGTCTGCCAAAGAATTTTTCACATGAAATTTTGATTATTTAATCACATGGGATTGAAACGCTCTTTTCTTTTATGCCACCTTACCTCCAAATATTTTTTAATGAGTTTGGTCATGAACCTATACCTTGTAAAACTCAGCTACCAACAGATACACAGACAAACAGACAGACTGCACCATAAGGTAGTCATGGTATGTAACTTTATCTGTCTCAGACATTCTAATATTTCTACTCCTCTCTAGGCAAACACATTAAAGAGCATTAGTTAAGGGCTCTGTATAAGACATGAAACAGAGGATGTGTGGGGTTTTTCAAAGGACAAACTGAGGATCAAGTTTTATCCCCAAGCTATGAAAGGCAATACAAAAAGCCCCTTAAAAGTACAAATCTAAGTGTGTATATGATAAAAAAAAAATACGAAAAAAAAACGATCATGCATTATCATCAAGAATTTAAAAAACATAGGTAATCAAAGATTACGAAGCTCACCTCGACGAAGGCTATCTATGAGTAAGGCAAATCTCACATCATATTTTTTCTAGTTAGTGTTCATCCCAAGATCAATATCCATTCAAGTTTGGTTTAAGAAGGACTTATAGATACTTGGAAATAGACCTGCTCAAAAAACTTCTAACCTGCTTACTAATCAAGAAAATTTTGGACAGTTCCAACATCCAAAGCAAGTCTGGAAGTCTTCATCCTTAGATGTACCATCCAAGCTGTTTAATCATAACATGCCATAAATATAGGATCTCCCATGATTTGTAGTTGGATATGATTTTTATCCAACGAGTTGTGTGTTTTTTATCCCCGAGCCTTGGCGAGGGGATAAAAACACACAACGAGTTGGATAAAAGTCATATCCAACTACAAATCATGGGAGATTCTTTTTATCCCATGTTTAATACTTCACAACCAATGTTTTACACTGTTTTATATAGGACTCCACTTCATTTTACTTCATCGCGCTAACGCAAAAACCATTGTGACGTCACAACTGTGGATTATGAAAAAATTATCCAATGAGTCATATCCACGGGATAAAGGGGTAAACATGGGATAATATTATATAGCTACTCCAAAAACATTACTCTGGTCACCCATCTGGAAAATGTAGGTCAGATTCAGAATCCAAAACAAGTCTGAAAGTGTCCATCCTAAGATACATCATCCATGCTAATTTGATTAAAATATGGCTAAAATTCACTCATCTGGAAAATCTAGGTCAGATTCAGCATCCGAAGATAGTGTGGTAGTGTCCATCCCTAGATGCATCATCCATGCAAGTTTGGTTCAGGTAGGGCTTATAGTTACTTGGGAATGGACCTGATCCAAAAACTTTAACCTGGCCACTCATCTGGAAAATCTAGGTCAGATCCAGCATCTGAAGCAAGTGTGGTTGTGTCCATCCCTAGATGCATCATCCATGGAAGTTTGGTTCAGGTAGGGCTTATAGTTACTTGGGAATGGACCTGCTCCAAAAACTTTAACCTGGTCCCTCATCTGGAAAATCTAGGTCAGATCCAGCATCCGAAGCAAGTGTGGTAGTGTCCATCCCTAGATGCATCATCCATGCAACTTTGGTTCAGGTAAGGGCTTATAGTTACTTGGGAATGGACCTGCTCCAAAAACTTTAACCTGGTCACTCATCTGGAAAATCTAGGTCAGATCCAGCATCCGAAGCAAGTGTGGTAGTGTCCATCCCTAGATGCATCATCCATGCAAGTTTGGACCAGGTAGGGCTTATAGTTACTTGGGAATGGACTTGCTCCTAAAACTTTAACCTGGGACGCCGACGCTAACGCCAACGCAAACGCCGGGGGTATAGCATAAGCTCATCTCGACTTCGTCAAGGTGAGCTAAAAAGCACAGTTGACATAGTAACAAAGCAATGTTTCATTTTTGAAGATCATGGTCATGCGCTGGGTTACTATGGTTACCCTCTTTTGTCTTGGATTCCTAATCAAACTCTGAAGAAAAGTTTTAAAAGAATGCAATTGCAAAAATAGGAAACAATGCATGTCTGCACTAAGTATATAAACATCTTTAAGGAACTGTATTACTAATTCAAGCTAGACTCATTGCCAATTTAGTTTTGGTCTTTTGACAAATGCACACACTTTATGCTGGTAATCAATGGAAAGCAATTGCTAGAGAATAAATTATTTTGGAATCATTCAGACCAGTAATTTGTTTTAAGTTATTTGTTTTAGGGAGAGAGTGAATAAAATGTATGAATTTACCTTGCAGTAACACACAATACCAGGTAATCAAAGGTGAACTGGGCATTGTCCCTGACAGTGTTGAATACCTGAAAAAGACAGGTAAATAATCAAGTCTATCTTTTAAGTCATTAAATTTATAAATCAGTTCAGTTCAGTTCAGTTCTTTTATTCCTTGTATCAACAGATACATCAGAGAAACATAATTACATGCATGTAATTACATAGAGTATATACATAATTGACATGGCTAAAGAAGAGAATATATATAATATATATTACAATATATTCACACAATTTAAAATGACATTGAGATTAAATGTTTACATATATATATATATATATATATATATATATATATATATATATATATATATATATATATATATATATATATATATATATATATATATATATATATTATATATATATATTGTTGTGACATAGTAAATCACTCTTAAAAAATTAATATTATACATGTAGTTCTAATTTACTTTCCCGTATATGACTTGCTTCTCTTAAAAAATATCCAAGACCCCTTAATTCCTTTACATTTCGAGCGCTAAATAGTTGTATTAATTTATATACACTACTATTTTGATAATAATATCTTTTAATATATTTCTTTCTTATATTTTCATATGTTGGGCACTGTAAAATAAAGTGAAATTCATCTTCTATTTCATCAAATTTTATGTCAGGAGATGAAGTTTAACTACAAAGAGTTTACAACAAAACAGGTTAAAGCTGAATACCCAGTAATGCCGGCAAAGGCCAAGAAAATACTGTGATTGACCATTTGTGTCTGACCATTTGTACCTGAGTAACCAGCATTCTGGCCTTGACTGACTATTCATACCTGAGTGACCAGCATTCTGGCTTTGATTGACCATTCATACCTGAGTGACCAGCATTCTGGCTTTGATTGACCATTCGTACCTGAGTGACCAGCATTCTGGCTTTGATTGACCATTCATACCTGAGTGACCAGCATTCTGGCTTTGATTGACCATTCGTACCTGAGTGACCAGCATTCTGGCCTTGATTGACCATTCGTACCTGAATGACCAGCATTCTGGCCTTGACTGACTATTCATACCTGAGTGACCAGCATTCTGGCCTTGATTGACCATTCGTATCTGAGTGACCAGCATTCTGGCTTTGATTTACTGTTCTTACGTGAATGACCAGCATTCTGGCCTTGATTGACCATTCGTACCTGAGTGACCAGCATTCTGGCCTTGATTGACCATTTGTACCTGAGTGACCAGCATTCTGGCCTTGATTGACCATTTGTACCTGAGTGACCAGCATTCTGGCCTTGATTGACCATTTGTACCTGAGTGACCAGCATTTTGGTCTTGATTGACCATTTGTACCTGAGTGACCAGCATTCTGGCCTTGACTGCCCATTTGTACCTGAGTGACCAGCATTCTGGCCTTGATTGACCATTTGTACCTGAGTGACCAGCATTTTGGTCTTGATTGACCATTTGTACCTGAGTGACCAGCATTCTGGCCTTGACTGACCATTTGTATTTGAGTGACCAGCAGTCTGGCCTTGAGTGACCATTTGTACCTGAGTGTCCAGCATTTTGGTCTTGATTGACCATTTGTATTCAAGTATCCAGCACTCTGGCCTTGTTTGATCATACCTGAGTGACCAGTATTCCGGCTTTGACTGAACATACCTGAGTGACCAGCATTCTGGCTTTGATTTACTGTTTTTACCTGAGTGATCGGCATTCTGGCCTTGATTGACCATTTGTACCTGAGTGACCAGCATTCTGGCTTTGATTGACCATTTGTACCTGAGTGACCAGCATTCTGACCTTGAATGACCATTTGTACCTGAGTGACCAGCATTCTGACCTTGATTGACCATTCCTACCTGAGTGATCAGCATTCTGGCCTTGATCGACCATTCATACCTGAGTGACCAGCATTCTGGCTTTGATTGACCATTCGTACCTGAGTGACCAGCATTCTGGGTTTGAATGACCATTCGTACCTGAGTGACCAGCATTCTGGCTTTGATTGACCATTCGTACCTGAGTGACCAGCATTCTGGGCTTGACTGACCATTCGTACCTGAGTGACCAGCATTCTGGCCTTGACTGACCATTCGTACCTGAGTGACCAGCATTGTGGCTTTGATTGACCATTTGTACCTGAGTGACCAGCATTCTGGCTTTGATTGATTTCTTGAATGGTGTCTCCTCATCTCTGTCCTCAGTTTCCTCTCTGTTAACAGTACAATAAATATATGTAGCAAACAGAATACATTACATAGTACATAAATATATATAACATACAGAATATATTGCATTCCTCCCTCTTAATGGTACGTAGTACACTCTTCATTCAGTTCTGAAATCATTACATTATTCACTGTAAATGATACCTATAAATAGGTGCTTTGTACATGTACCACTCACTGTAAACAATAAAGAAAACATCTGTGCTTCACACTGTAAACAAAATACAGTGAAACCTTTCTAATCTGACATGCACTAGGAGAAAAATTCTGTGTCAGAATAGACAGGGTGTCCGATTTGTCAGTATAAAGAAAATAGAAAATGGGAATCAAAATAAAGATTGGAATGCACAGTGAAAGGGATTGCAAAGGTGTCAAATTAAACAGATTTTACTGTAAAATACAATGACGCATATACTCCTTAATATACCATTTAACAATACTCAATACCCAGGTGTATAATACTTCTCTCTAATACAATGCAGTATATTTACTTGTAGCACCAAGTATTCTACACTCACTCAGAGTGTTAATAATACATGTACTGTAACATTAGTAGCTAATGAGAAGACATGCTATATTGTGGTATACATGAGGGTTAGTACGATATTAACTTCTGATTCATGAGTATCACCTGTAAGAAATCTAGACAACTCAATCCAACACCTGTATCTCCCTCTGATTAACAAAACAAAGAAACAACAAAAATCAAACTACTGTACCATCATGCAAAGGACATCACATTATCATAATTCAACCCTACAGAAATGATGCAGACATTTATATACCCCGAACTTATGCTTATTATTAAATTAAGTTATAACTTCTTTGAGAAATAAAATAAAATACACCCTCTCCAGACTGCAGATGTTATAGACTGATATTTGTTGGTCTATATGATACCAGACAACAAAGTGCTAACCAGCCTACCTTGACTCACTCCTGGACATCATGGAAAAAACAGATAGAAGATGACATAAATGTTGTTCATGTGATTGTACCCATGTACAGTGTACATTACAAAATAATGACTAATGCAAACAACAGTAAAATATATGAAATGCTTATAGTAATATTGGTACATTTAAAACAAAACTGGGTTTTCCCTAGCTCAGTTAGATACCAAAGATATTATAAACAACAAGAGGCCCAAGGGCCTTGAATCGCTCTTCTGATAAACTGTACAACCTATCACTTCTATTTGAAGCCTCTAAGTATTCTGTATATTTAGATAAAGCCTTGAAACTCCAAAGGTAGGTCATCATGACCTACATTTAAGATGAAACATTTTGAGAACCCAAGATGATTCTAAGCCAATTAGTACCTGAGAGTAGGGCATGGTGACCTACTTATCACTTGTCATTCTTTGAGGACCCAAGATGCATCAACTAAGATTGATGATTCTAAGCCAATTAATACCTAAATATTTTTAAAATCATTACCATAAAATTTCAAAAGCAGGTCATAATAACCTACTTCTCAGATGACATACTTTGAGGACCCAAGATGCATCAACTGACAAAGTTTGATGATTCTAAGCCAATTAGTACTTAATATATTTAAATAAAGCCATAAAATTTCAAAAGTAGGTCACAGTGACCTACATTTCAGTCAACTTACTCCAAGGACCCAAGATGCATCAACTGACAAAGTTTGATGATTCTAAGCTAATTAGTACCCGAAATATTTCATTATAGCCATATAAATTGAAAAGTAGGTCACGGTGACTTACTTTTCAATAGACATACTCTGAAGACCCTAGATGCATCAACTGACAAAGTTTGATGATTCTAAGCCAAATAGTACCCGAAAATATTAAATACAGCCATAAAATTTCAAAAGTAGGTCATGGTGACCTACATTTTAGTTGTCATACTCTGAGGACCTAAGATGCATCAACTGACAAAGTTTGATGAATCTAAGCCAATTAGTACCCAAAATATTTAACTAAAGCCATAAATTTTCAAAAGTAGGTTACGATGACCTACTTTTCAGTTGTTCTCCGAAGACCCATAATATTTCAATTGTACTCCGAAGACCCTTAATATTTAAATATAGCCATAAAATTTCAAAAGTAGGTCACTGTGACCTAATTTTCAGTTGACGTTTTTTGAGGACCCAAGATGCATCAACTTACAAAGTTTTATTATCATAGGCTTTAAAATGTCCAAATTATGTCTCTAAAACGCTTTGAAATCGAATGCCTGCAAAGTTCAAAAAGTAGGTCAATGTGACCTACTTTTTACTAAATATTTTTTACGGCCCCAAGATGCATCATCTTACAAGATTTAATGATTTTAAACCTTTCAGTATTCGAATTAATGACCTTCATTGTTTTGAAAAAGATTAGCCATAAAATTCAAAAAGTAGGTCAAGGTGACCTACTTTTTAGTTGACTTACTCCAAGGACCCAAGATACATCAACTGACAAAGTTTGATGATCATAGGCCTTAAATTGTTCAAAATATGTCCCTAAATCATTTTGAAAAAGAATGGCCGCAAAATTTAAAAAGTGGGTCACCGTGACCTACTTTTGAGTCAACAAGATATGAGGTCCTTAGATGCATCAACTGACAAGATTTGATGATCCTAGTCCTTATAGTAAGCAAAACATCAACATTTTAATAAAATGTAATTTTTGGTCAACTTTGAAGTGACCTTGAGACCACGCCCTTTGCCCAAGGGTGATTCCCCATACAAATTTTAATCTACAACATATCCTCATCCTTTTGTATAAGTTTGGTGATAATCTGCCCAGTGGTTCTTGAGAAGAAGATTTTTTAGCAACCAGTACTTTTGTTTCTATTTTCCTAATTATCTCCCCTTGTTTAAGGGTCACAACTCTAGTTTTAGTATAAACCGGGGCCCTTGGGCCAAGGATACCCTGTGACAAATTTGACAATAATTGGCCAAGGGGTTCTTGAGTTATGGCCCATATTCTAAAAAGTTTACGCACACCGCACACTGCATGCCGCACACCGCACAAATGGCCATAGCATTAGCTCTTTGAGCCTTTGGCTCAGAAGAGCTAAAAAGTACATATGAAACTGTTTAACAAATTATGATATGCATTTTTGAGAGCAATATTCTTTTATTCAATTAAAAAAAATAGACAGAGAGTACTCGTGCACTGAATGTAGAGAGACAACAGGAAATATAATGGCCAAATATAATTGTTAATAAGTACATGTACTGACACATTAGTGGCTGATGAGAAGACTTGCTATATTGTGGTATACATGAAGGTTAGTATGATATTTACATCTGATTCATGAGTATCATCTCTCCATACAACCTGAACCTCTCTTTTAAAATGATTAGTGGAGTGCTGAGACAACAAATTCAAACTGAACTGTACCAGCATGCAAAGGACATTACAATAACATGATCATTATTCGTTTCAACAAAAGGAGCAAAGATCTTTCTACTCAAGACTTATAAAGCCTATGTATTGCTAAACTAAATTTACAACTTGTGAGATAAATAAAATAAAATAAGCCTCTCTGGGTAGCAGATGTTACACATTAATACTGATAGGGCTATATTATCCAGACAACACAGACAGCAGTGTGCTTACCAGCCTACCTTGATTCACTCCTGAGCATCATGAAAAAAGATGGAAAAAAGATGGATTCTGTTTTATGTGATTGAACCAATAGTACAGTGAATATTACAAAAAACATGACTATAATGACAACAAAGTGAACTAGAATGTATGTGTTTACAGTATGAAATGATTGTCTCAATGCATGCAATGATGAATTTGCATTATTTTATAATAAATGTATTTCCTGAATGGATTACAAGATAAATTAAGTAATGATCAAAATTTTAATACATGTAGTAGCAAATTGTGTAAATACAATCAGAACACTAACGTGTACAGTTGTAGACTGTAATTATAAGCAAGCATCAGTAAAGATAGAACCACATGATATTTTTATTTCTGAATTAATAGATAACCCTACCCTTCTTCCTCTGATTCTTCGTCTGTGTCATTGGGAACATTACCGCGATAGATACTGGATGGAAAAATACTGCAACAAGAAAAAAAATTTATGTCAAGTCTTTTGTTTGTTCTTACTCCAGTAGTCAAACAAAGATCAAACAGTGATACCTTATCTTGTTATATAACAAGAGGTCCATGGGCCACATCGCTCACCTGAGCACATTGGCTAGGGAAAAGCAGAAATTGGTTTAGTATTGAAAAGATAATAAACATATAAATAATTGCAAATAACCCTCCCCCAGGGGATAAGGGGGGCATGATTTTTTCACACTTGAATCTACACTAACTGAGGATGCTTCCCTATTTCTTTAACTAATCATGGCTATAGATTTTTTCCATATGTTTGATCTTGTATTGTGGCCTGCCCTACCCCCTGGGAATATGATTTGAACAAACGTGAATCTACAATATCTGAGGATGCTTCTGAACTAATATGACTAATCATGGATTTGCTATTCTTGAGAAGAAGATTTTTAATGATTTATCCCTTCTTAAATTTTGATCACCAATTGTGGCCCCTCCCTACCCCCAGTGGGCATGATCTGTACAAACTTGAATTAAACCCGACATGAGGATGCTTCCATATGAATATAATCATTCATGGCTTTGCTGTTCTTAAGAAGATTTTTAAAGATTTTTCCTATGTATACCTATGTAAGACTTTGATTGTCCATTGTGGCCCCTCCATACCCCAGGGGTCATGATTTGGACAAACTTGAATTTACACTACTTGAGGATGCTTCCACATAAATATGACCAATCATGGCTTTCCTGTTCTTCATCAGAAGATTTTTAAAGATTTTTCTTATCTATACCTATGTAAAACTTTGTTTGCTCATTGTGATCCCACCCTACCCCAGGGTCATGATTTGAACAAACTTGAATCTACACAATTTAAGATGCTTCCATATATATATATATAACCAATTATGACTTTTCTGTTCTTAAGAAGAAGCCTCTACAAATGTACCAGGTCAGTATTTGATCTCCAACCCGCTGTGTATACACACCTTATAGATATACCGGGTGTACCCTACCTCTATCCCACTGTGTATACCAACCTTATAGATGTACCAGGTCTGTCCCCTACCTCTATCCCACTGTGTATACCCACCTTATAGATGTACCAGTCTGTCCCCTACCTCTATCCCACTGTGTATACCCACCTTATAGATGTACCAGTCTGTCCCCTACCTCTATCCCACTGTGTATACCCACCTTATAGATGTACCAGTCTGTCCCCTACCTCTATCCCACTGTGTATACCCACCTTATAGATGAACCAGGTCTGTCTCCTACCTCTATCACACTGTGAATACCCCCCTTATAGATGCACCAGGTCTGTCCCCTACCTCTATCCCACTGTGTGTAGCCACCTTATAAATGTACCAGTCTGTCCCCTACCTCTATCCCACTGTGTATACCCACCTTATAGATGTACAAGGTCTGTCCCCTACCTCTATCCCACTGTATATACCCACCTTAAAGATATACCAGGTCTTTCCCTTACCTCTATCCCACTGTATATACCCACCTTATAGGTATACCAGGTCTCTCCCTTACCTCTATCCCACTGTGTATACCAACCTTATAGATATACCAGGTCTCTCCCTTACCTCTATCCTGCTTTGTATACACACCTTATAGATGTACCAGGTCTGTCCCCTAGCTCTATCCCAATGTGAATACCCACCTGATAGATGTATCAGGTCTGTCCCCTAGCTCTATCCCAATGTGAATACCCACCTGATAGATGTACCAGGTCTGTCCCCTAGCTCTATCCCAATGTGAATACCCACCTGATAGATGTACCAGGTCTGTCCCCTGGCTCTATCCCAATGTGAATACCCACCTGATAGATGTACCAGGTCTGTCTCCTACCTCTATCCCACTGTGTATACCCACCTTATAGATGTACCAGGTCTGTCCCCTATCTTCTCCTTGGCCAGCTGATTTAAAATAGTTTCACAACGTTCTCCACCTTCATCCAGAAAAATTACCTAGAATCATAGAAATAAAGAAATATAGAAAGATTATATCCTATAAATATAGTACTGTATTCGTAATTACTGTATGTTAAATAAACCTATAGTTGGATCCATGCTTCAGCAATTTTCATGCTTTTTATTCACTTCTATTAATTCATGATGATCACCACTTATGAATTCACACACATAAAAGGGACATTTTTCTATGATGAAGTATAAATAGAAATTTTCAGGGATTTTTAATTATGACTACACCCTGAGATAATTACTTGACCATTATAATGACCAGTGGACTATTTACATGACTTGTGGACCATTGATGATGACCAGTGGACCATTTACATGACTTGTGGACCATTAAGATGACCAGTGGACCATTTACACGACTTGTGGACCATTAAGATGACCAGTGGACCATTTACATGACTTGTGGACCATTAAGATGACCAGTGGACCATTTACATGACTTGTGGACCATTAAGATGACCAGTGGACCATTTACATGACTTGTGGACCATTAAGATGACCAGTGGACCATTTACATGACTTGTGGACCATTAAGGGCCGGTACACACGGTAAGGCTTGCCTTATAAGTCATGGAACTTAAGTTCTAGCCTTACAGTGTGTACACCCTTAATACACGTTTTTTCGAGCCTTACAAGTCTGACTTACGAATAGAGCACTGCTCTATTTCTTAATACAAGACTTAGCTGACATTTTCTTCTCAACCAATGAAAACCAAATGTAATCTATTTTCATCAAACCATACACGTGGGTAGATTAAAGTGAACACAAAGTACTCTCGAACAAGATAGTGAAAGTGTCCACAACTGCTTCCTTTAAACACCCTCCTCTTTTTAAGAAGTGTAAATGCACTTGTCGGTAAAATTATTACAAAGCCCAGGTAATTCATTCTATTTAGACTTGTAAGGCAAGCCTTACCGTGTGTACCGGCCCTTAGATGACCAGTGGACCATTTACATGACTTGTGGACCATTAAGATGACTAGTAAACCAATAAAACAATGACCAGTGCACCATTAACATAATCAGTGAACCATTCATGACCAATGGACCATAAAGATGGCCAGTGGACCATTACATTGACCAGTGGACAATTAAGATGACCAGTGGACCATTACATTGACCAGTGGACAATTAACATAATCAGTGGACCATTAACATAATTAGTGAACCATTAACATGACCAATGGACCATAAAGATGACCAGTGGACCATTAAGTTGACCAGTGGACTATTAACATGACCAGTGGACCATTAACATAATCAGTGGACCATTAAGTTGACCAGTGGACTATCAACATGACCAATGGACCATTAACATAATCAGTGGACCATAAAGTTGACCAGTGAACCATTAAATTAAGGTGATCTTACCTGATAGAACTCGCCATTTTCTGTCTTCTGTATAGAAAAGTTATCAATGGAAAATGATTCTATAATGGTCTTCACAGTCTAAAAGTATAACCAAAAGATTATAAATACACCATATTACATTTTACTGGCCTTTTATTCATTCAATACAATATTCATTTTAATGTTTTATGATCAGTACTTTTCAGTTGCATTTCTCTCATGTTTCTTAAAAGTTTATAAATCTGTATAAACTACCATGATTGTATTTTAAACTGAACATGATAAATTAAACAAAAATATTTCAAATTTGAATACCTCTATCAATGGTTCATCATCTATAAAGCTGACAGTTTGAAAGTTAACATTTTCCACATCCGAGATTCTGTCATCAGACAGGGACATTGGGACGGGGAGTTTTCCATGAAGTCTGAGGGGTGGGACTGATTCCGACTTCTCTAGATGTTTAACGGTGTCCTCCATTTGATTTTGTCTACTTAAAGCTTCATCAAGATTGAGACTCTCCTCTGCTGCTTTCTCAACTTTGAATATCTTCTTAGGTGGTGCTGCACCCCGTTCTCCGTCTTTCCCTTCTTCCACCTTGTCAAGATTACCCTTCTCCTGTCGGTCTACTGAGATTTCTTCTGGGAGTTTTTTCCCTTTCTCAATGTTGTTATTTTCCATTTTGCCATCAACAGGTTTCACTTCATTTGTGGTTGTAACATCTGTTTTATTCTGTCCTGTTGCCTCATTCTGCTGTTCAGGGTCTACAGATATCAGCTCTGAATCTTCTTTGTCCTGCTGGACACTGTTATTCTCATGGCTGATGGTAGCTTTCACTACATCTGCAAACGATACCTTCTGTGTTGTGTTTTGACCCATATTTGTTTTATTCTGGTCTAAGTTCTCATTCCCTTCACATGATTGTACAGAATCCACCTTGTTAATATTCTCAGGTGTGCTATCTTTATTTTCACTTTGTTCATTGTCTTTTTCTTGTTTTTGTGTCACACCCACATTCTCAGTGGTTTTACCCTCTGTCCCTGTTGTGTCACCAGAAAAATCCTTTACGGCTGGAGCCACAGAGCCACTGACATCCCCTTTCTCATTCCCTTTTTCTTGTGGATCCGCCCCCACAGATTGTTTATTTTTGTCTTCTTCACCAAAATCCCAATTATCATCATCTTGTGTTTGTCCTTCTTTCGGTTTGTCTTCCGTTAACTCATCTTCCTTTGCTTTTTCTGTCTTGGTCGAGTCGGATTTGGCACTGCTGAGATCCACATGAGATGTGTCGTCTGACACATCTAGTTTATCATTTGATTTATCATCTTCCTCCTTGTTCTCATTCTTCTCGCTGCTATCATCGCTCGTTTTTTCTTCAGACACCGACTTTGAGGATCGTTCATCCTCGTGAACTGGAATCTTAACAACAAACAAAAACGAAGTCATTCCTTATGCCGTGCAAAAACATTCTTGCTGAAAATAGCTTCACTTGTAAGATATACTTTGTTTAGAATTCTTATCTTGACTTTAGTCCGAATTTTCAGTGTCCCTTGCGGCCATCTTTGAATCTCTATTTGATAAGTCAACACCGGATGCCAGATATCCGGAAACACTAAAAAAAAAAAGGAGAGAGAGAGAGAGAGATGTATACATATAAATTGTCGTTGACATTAATTATATATACATCATAAGTTCAACAACTGTCATGGTTTAAGATTACAAATTGTTCACCATTGACCGATTAACTGATTTACAGTGATAGAGTCAATGAACACACATATTTACATTCATTTATTAAAAAATGTCATATATCTAGAAATGATTGTATTACATAATTATTGTACAAATGTTGCATGATTTATGCATTTTTTCACATTCTAGAATATTGTTTAAATGTATGAACAGTTGATAATTCTCGTATGTTGTGCCTTTGCCAATACGTTATATTTCCATTAGTGAACTCTTCAAAATTAAAGGCGCGTTTGGTCGTCTGACAGGGACAGCATGGCGTTGCGGATAATACAAAACATGCCAATCTCAATCCAATTTTTAATGTTAAGTGTATTTGTCATTCCAATTAAAGAATGGAAGAACTAAAACACATATGTAAGAGAGCGAGAAAGCTAAATTTATCATCCATTAATAAAAAATACGACATTTCCGAGGCATGTATATTGTAGATGTAGCATACGATAAATAGATACATACGATCAACAATATAGATATAAATTGATATCGCTGTCATTCCTACTCTTGATGTATATAAAGTCCACAACAATAAAATATTTCATTTGCATTTTCTTAGGATTTGTTCATCAACATTCAACATACTGTTTACATGTTTACGTTACGTTTGTCCCTGAAATCCCGCGAGATTTGTACATTTACCGACTTTTTCACAAAAGAGCTCACTAAGAAGTATAACTCTTCCGTAGTGGAAATAGAACGTATTATTGTAATTGTGTTTGCGCCAATAAACATTGTATTGTATTTATATTCGGCTCGATTTAACTTTTTTTATGTAATAATTTTTTTTCAAACTTTTAAAAGTGTTAGGTTGCGCAAAATCATTTTTTCCACATTATCCTGGTTAAACTATAGGTCTATAAGTAATCACAGACAGAAAAACAATCTCTAAACATAATTCATGTTCATTAAGAACCTCTCTACACTGCACACTTAAGAGTTCCGATTCTGTGGCATTTTTATGCAGTTAGAGCAATCTGCCCCTAGAACTAAAATAAAAAAAAATTGAAATCTACCTTGTTTTACTCAATTTGTAATCAATTCAAGCATTCTTAACATTTTAATAGGCCAAGAACACTTTATTCGCATGTATTTTCCTCACATAAGTGAACAATAGTTAATTATTTCTCTTCAATAACATTTCATAATCTTTAAAACATTTTTTCCTGGGGGAAATGCAAGGTATCCTACTTTAAAAATGATATAGATATGCTCAATATCTACACCTTTGTACAATATAATTTTCTCAATCTCTAAAAACATTTTGCTCAAGTGTAGAGAGGGTCCTTAAAGTCATATATTGCGTCAGTATTTTTTCTTTTTATAAGTTCAGACTAACTAAAAAGATCTTTCTATTTGTTTTATTACTTTATATAAAGATAGGACTTTCCTGTAAATTACACAATTTAAATCAATCACGTTTCAAAGATATTAGAAATTTTAAGGATATCCGATCCTCAGCCAGGAAGGATAACTCTTAAATACTTAGTATATTATTTTATTTAAAAAGTCTCAAAATGAAGCTTGAAATTAGGATCTTTTAATGCAATAATTTTCATTTTATACATCTTATTATGATTCAAGGTCCTTTGAAGTCTTAGAAATGGTCTTATAAAAAGTTGACATTTGTACCCCATCAAAGAAAAAAATGAATTCATGTTTAGAGAAATCGAATTTCCTTTAGTCTAGCATTATATATCATTGCTTATTAGCATGGTATGGAATTAGATGTGATATGTGATATCCGCATTTAAATAATATAATCATGGAAACATGAGGTTATTCAAGTTCAAAATCGGTGAAAATTTTAATTTGAACGTAAATAACATACATGTATATCATGTTTGTCTACACTCAATCCCGTATTTTCATTTTTTAGCTCAGATACGCCATATATAGTTTTAATGTTATATTTATCACGTTTTCTAACTTGGAGAGAGAGAGGGGGGTGCATGGGGGGATTATATTGAGGATGCAATGTGTAATAAAACAAAACGAAAGGCACCATAAAAAAAAGGACTCGCACCACCACCCCACCCCACCGCCGGCCCACCCCGGAAAAGATGGCTAAACAAATCAGTGTAGATAGTCCTTAAATGACAAGATTTTTTCTCCTATAAACATATGCGTTTTTTTTATTTTACAATTATATGTTCAACCGTTGTCTTAGTGCAGAGAGGTCAATTCTTAAGAAAACAGTATGAAAACTAAATACTCCACGTTTATATACACGTATCAAGGTATACATTTTCTGTATCAAATTATCAAGCTAGGAAAACCTTCACACAAAAACTTTTTTTTCAAGATTCCGGTTCTACAATATAGGACAAGATTATTAAAATACTGCAAGGAAAATGGAATGGTACATTTACTTACGTTGTGCTTGAGAATAATTCTTTGTACTGTACGAATTCCAGTAAATTTGCTATCATTTTAAAGTCATATGTCTAATGATTGAAATAAATGTTGATTGATTGATTGATGTAGTATCATGGTTCATTTTAATGCATATTATGCAAAATGAATGCTGCCTAAAAATCAATAGTTTTTACCATTTTATACACCAGAACAGTGTTTTCTTGCACGTAATGCAGCATGAAAATTACCATATAAAGGTTAACTTTTTATTACCTAAAATTTATAAGTGACAATAAAAAAAAGTATTAAAGTTTCAAAATTTTACACAGAGACTTTTCCGACATATATCCCCCTTGAAGCACTTGGTCTCTGGGAGTATAGTGATGTTAAATACGCTTGTCGGGCACATTGCATCATTTTTCAAAAAGTGAGACACGTACGCCAAAATAAAACAAAACAAAAACAAAAAATTAAAAAATTAAATACAATTAAAAAGGTGAAACCGTCCAAATTCGAAAAATCTATCCCATGCGATGGGGGTTTGACTTATCCCAACTATTATTTATATATATCATAATTTTTCATACAATAGAATAAGTACATGTAAATGTTTGTATTATAGGAAGCTCCTCTCCTGTGTATAAGTGTATACATCCCCACTTTAATTGTTATATACGTATGTAACAGTTAAAGTGGGGATGTATACACATATACATTTATTTGTCCCCCTTTTTGAAAAATGATGCTATGTGGACGACGTGCTTCAAAGGGGGTACTTATGTCGTAAAAGTCTGTGTGAAAACATATCGCAATAGTAGAGGCGGGTCTCAAAGTATACGCAGGTCATCCTTTAACAACCACATTCCACATGAAAAGACCGCATGTTGCTAGGGTATGCCGAGATTTCCATGTCACCCCAACATACGAGCACAGCATGGTCACCATGAAGTCCTGATTTGTCTCCATTTTGATATTCAATAGTTGGACGAAACGGATCACCGAAATTTACTATGGCATGTCAAACGTTGCAATATTTGATCTTTTCCATTTGTATTGTATAACTTTCCATTTGTATTGTATAATTTTTATTTGTATTGTATAATTTTTCATTTGTGTTGTATAATTTTTATTTGTATTCTATAATTTTCCATTTGGATTTTATAATTTTCCATTTGGATTGTATAATGTTTATTTGTATTCTATATTTTCCATTTGTGTTGTAAAAAAAATAATTTGTATTGTATAATTTTTATTTGTATTGTATAATTTTCCATTTGCATTGTATAATTTCTGATTTGTATTGTATAATTTCTTATTTGTATGCGATAATTTTTCATTTGTATTGTATCCGCGGACTGTTTATTTATTTCGTTACGAAGGATGTCATTGGTCATAAAATTTAGTCTGTATAAAGGTCTCAGGTGCCCATCACAAACTTAGTCTGGTACCCTTCCCACAATTCCGATCGCGCACTCTCTACAAACACAAACTCGGCTCCTCTATTTGCAGTGCATGCTAAGGGACGACCATTTGATTCTCGGGGGGTGTCGAATCCGATTATTTATTTTCATTCTCTCGCAGGAGAGAATATTTATTTCCAATATGACCAGAGACAAGGAGAAAAACAAAAAGAAGAAAATCCGCCCAAACCCGAAAACTCAGTTTTTTGGGGGTGGGGGTAGGTTCCACCACTCAAGGTCAATTTATTTATTTTCTCAGTCAGCATTTCTAAGGACAGATTATTTATTTGCCATCTACCAGCGCTCCTTTTTTAGAATCCAATGACCGTCTAACATGCACGCAAATACATATATCGCCGAAATATGGCTGAAATATTGCCGACTCGGCGTTAAACAATAATCAATCAATCAATCAAGCAAATACATATGAGCCCAGTTTGCTTTGAGCATCCGGAACATCTTCAACCCGATACAGGCTGAAACTTGACCAATGAAATCCTTCGTAACGAAACAAATAAACAGTCCGCGGATACAATACAAATGAAAAATTATCGCATACAAATAAGAAATTTTACAATATAAATAAGAAATTATACAATGCAAATGGAAAATTATACAATACAAATAAAAATTATACAATACAAATGAAAATTATACAATACACATAGAAAATTATAGAATACAAATAAAAATTATACAATACAAATGAAAAATTATACAATACAAATGGAAAATTATACAATACAAATAAAAATTATACAATACAAATGGAAAATTATACAATGCAAATGGAAAAGATCGAATATTGCAACGTTTGACATGCCATAATTTACTTCCATATCCGATTTCAAACGCCACCAAATAAGAAGGCAAGCACTTATGGAAGAGTAAAATCTCAATCAACCATCAGATCTTATGCTCAAAATGATACCAGATGTTGTAAATGCAGGATGAGAACACACGCGATATTGTCTTTTGAAATTTTGAATTTTAAAATTTTGACCCCTTACTCCCTATAGTCAATAATTGTGGTGCTAAAATGTCGTTTGATTTGATATATATATATATATATATATATATATATATATATATATATATATATATATATATATATATATATATGTATATATATATATATATATATATATATATATATATATATATATATATATATATATATATATATATATATATATACCGTATATCATGCCTTGATTAATGACAATTATGAATGAAATATTACGTAAAAATGCATTTGGCTATCACAGTGTCGGACAGATTGAAATATGTGGAGATAACGAACATTATTCGAGCTCAAAAGTCCATTAAACATTATAAAATAGGAGCAGAGCAAACACGGACCTCTAAGACATCAGAGGTGGGATCAGGTGCCATGGAGGAGTGAGCATCCCCTGCCGACCGGTCGCACCCGCCGTGTGCTCCTTGTCATGATCGGTAAATAACGGAAAAATCCGTCGACAATTCAGTGTATAAATATTGGCCTAACAATTAGTATGAAAAAAGTCATTCAGCATGCATTTGACTTAAGGAAAGATTGTATTTGTTGACAAAGTCATTGTATCGACCATAGAACTTATGAAATGATGACTTTAAACGAGACTGCTGATATTCTTGTTTCATGAACTTGTTTGTCAATAACTTACCTCGTTTTAGAAATTGTTCATACGTAGAGCATATGTTCTGGCGTATGGAATCAACTGAGAGATATAAACTCCGTATGCAGGTGATAAGGGTATATTGCTGCATAACTAAGGGAAGTCGATTGAAAAGTTAAAGTCATCACGTTTATCATAAAGCTTTGTTATTAGATTACCATTAACGTCTTTTTCTAATAAAATATCCAAATATGAAACAGATGTGTCAGACTCTGTGGTATCTTTTATTTCAAGCTCACCGGGATATATCGAGTTGACATATGAATGGAAATAACCATTATTAATTGACAATACATGTACATGGTCGATATATCTAAATGTCGAGCAAGTGTATTCTTCTTTTCACGTAAAAGTTTTGAAAAAAATCTGCTTCATATGAATACAAAAATAATTCTGCTAGTAACGGGGCGCAATTGGTACCCATGGGAATTCCAATAGATTGTTTGAAGACCTGGTCTCCAAAAACCACATAGATATTGTCAATCAGAGACTCTAGCATTTTTTAAATGTCAAATTCAAAGAACTTGTGTGTACAATCAGATATTATTTTTTAACAAAGTAATTTTGCAAATGACCAATGACAAGGTAAGTAAATTTACGAGTTCCATTTTTATTGAAAAAGCAGCTGTCAACGATGTCAGAAAGTCTGGACTTTATTTTATCGTGGGGAACAGTTGTATATAAAGTTGAAAAGTCGTAAGTTTTTATGTTGTGTATTTTGGTAAAAATTTGTGATTTCAAATGTTCCAAAAGTTCCCTGGAATTTTTTAGTATCCACATCTGATTTACACCACTTGAATATATTGTTGCGTAGTACTCTTGAAGTTTCTCCTTCACTACTGTTAATATCTTAGTGAGGAGTAAAGAAAGAGGCTTGGGAGAAAATTTACTGGAACCCGCTATGTATCTTTGTTTGTAAGGAAATAATTGCTAACGTTTCATATTTAGGCATGTGTTTCTTTTTTCCTTTCAGTATATATTATCTATAAGCAGAGGCAGTGAGCAGTGAACGAAGGCAGTAAGCAGTGAGCAATTGTCAATATGCAGTTGACTGTCGTATGTGGAATTCAATACTTATCAATTCAATTGATGTGTGCATCAATTCATGCGCGGATCTAGAGACTATACAGAGTTCGTAAAAGTATATACTGAATCATATTAAACGACTTCGAAACACCCCCCCCCCCCTTAGAAACACCAACGCCACGAAATATGTTCTCTTCATGTTTTAGAAATGGATTTTACCTCTTTTTTGCTTATCAAGATATTTTCCGGGTTGTAATTTTTTTTGAATGAGGTGGACCCTCCCCTGAAAAAAAAACTCTTGGATTCGCGCCCGCAATTCCATTATTTTTCGCAATGGATTGAATTAATGATACGTAATTTTCAATTATTTCAGGATACCTTCAATTAACTGGCTCTGCAAAGAAACCCTCTCCGAATCGTCCTTGACCTTGGACTCTTACCCTCCCGCCCTTTTGGGAAACAAGAACTCGTTAAGTTCGTAATGAAGATGATATATATGAAGAAAAACGGCTTGCTTGTTAGAAGCTCCCCCCCCCCCCTTCTTTGCTAGCTAAGGGTTTTTGATCCGCTACTCTAGAAGTAAAGTGAATCAGAAACCCTTGGCTAGCGAAGATCCCCCCCCCTCGAAATAGTTAACTTTTTCATGTCGTACTTAAGTCTCATGTAAGTTTTATCTGGGACAAGCTGGGAATATTTCAGAATTATAAAAGGCAGACCTGCGTGTTATTTGAATTGAGTTATAAAAAATATTTGCATGTAACCGCAAGTTAAAACAAAAGTAACATTCGTACAAAATATATACCTCAATATACGACCATCCGTTTTCCGTTTTTATGGGGAGATTGTGGCAAATCACAATCACACGGAAATCCTTTTTATCATTTATTATGGCGATTAAAGTCAAATAACAAATCCACAAGGGTTAACAAACACAATGCCACATTGGCTAAGATATTCTTAATCTTTGTTTTCAATCTAATCTCAATCTTTTTCTCAATCTGATCTATGATCACAAAAATTGTCACTTATATACTATGAAGGAAACATCTAGAAATAGAAAGTTCTGTAAAATTCTAGGTCATCATATTCTCACATATTCTAGAGAATTCTTGATTATTCATTCAAGTAATATGTAGAACATTCTAGATTTCACATAATTAAATCAATTCATTAAATTTCTATAAATGTTCTTGAAATTGCGACTGTTCGCAACACTCCCAAGGCCAAGGAAAGTCTGTCATGAATTTAATTGTTCTTTAATCAGTTTTGTGGCCTTTTCAGCAGCCTGTCTCTTTGCTCTAGGCAACGGAGGAATATCACTGACTGTTTGTTTTTCCTTCTTTTCATCACTGTCACCATGATCTGAGTCATTGATACATTCTATAGGATAGAGTAAATTTAAAGGTCTGTTTAATGTCCTTTTGTTGGGTATTATTACATTTCCTGTTCTGAATTGACCATCTTGACTCATTGTCAAATCACAAATTCTTCCGATCTTCCAGCTTCCTTTAGGGAGATCTTCTTTGATTCGATCATCTTCAATTTTTACTGGTCTATTATTCTGAATATACTTTCCTCTCAGTCTATATGTTGTTTTTTCTCTCCTTGGCCAAGTGACTCGATATCTGCCATTTTCTGTTTTTAATTTACCTTTAAAGTTTTTCAAGGCCTCTTCATCATCTGATGATTGAAGTTGGTCTTTAGTTCCTATAGTTTCAAATTTCCCATCATTGTCCGATGACGGCTTCAGGGGCAGACATTTATCAATTGAGGAATGAAGACAATATTCTGTACTACGTTTGTTTCTGTTTACAATCGGTATCTTATGTAAATGATCTCTGGATCCCTTAAAGTTTTCTTGCATTCTTCCTGTAAGAATCCATCCTACCTTTGACGATAGTAAGTATAGTCCTTGGATGACTTTAATTTTTTCTGATAATATTAAATCTAGGTAATAGTCATTTCCAATAAGAATGTCTATGGCTGAATTTTCTGCAGTTTCTGGTAGGGTATCAGCAAATTGTAAATGTTTCCATTGGTGCTGTACTTGTTTAGTGATGTTAGGTGGTAACGGTCTTCTTTGTACTGATCCAGTTATTTGAGGCACAACATTTGCATCAATTCTCATGCAGTGTCCATCCTTTAATTTAATCCTCAAAGAGATTTTCGGTGTTTTTACCGTCTTCGGATTCCTTGCTCCAAATGTGTTAAGTGATATTTCTTCTGTTCCTTTCCTCTGCAAATTTAACCTCGAAACTAATTCTTCAGTAACATATGTTCTCTGAGACCCAGAGTCCATCAGAATTCTTACAGATTCAACTCTCCTTCTATTCAGATCTGATGCATCAATTCTTGCAGTTTGCATTAGCACCATACTACCTGAGGACAATAGACTGTTTTCTGGTATATTGTTAACTGGTTCAGAATCAAGAATCTCTGCTTCAACAAAGTGTGAGGTTTCTCTCAAAAGCTGTATCTTCTTATTGCAGAGACTTCGGTGATGTTTCTTTGTCTGATGGCAATGGACACATGGTTTGTCTACTTTGCAGTCTTTGCTCAGATGGCCTGGTTTAAGACAAATGTAACATCTTCCTTTGATCTTCTGTTTTCTTTCATCAATTGTCCTGAATTCTTTGCATTCATCACTCCAATGATTTCGTTCACAGAAGATACAAATGGGATGTTTTCTTTCATATTTGTTTCTTCTTTGTGATTCTTGAAATGATGTTGTTAATGCTTCTGCAGATGTATGTTTTCTTTCATTTACATATGACATTCCAGGTAATGAAGTTTTTCTTGCATGTTGTTTCTCATGAGAGTCTAGATTGTCCATATCTGTAGACTCTCTGGCTACTATGTAATTATCAAGAAATATTCTCAGCTTTTGCACAGTCCACTTTTCTTTCTTTCCTTTCTGTATTTCTAATTGTAACCTGGCTTCCTTTGGTAACTTTGTTATTATCATGGAAACAAAGACATCTTGATTTACATCCTGTTCCAAGGCTTCTAGACTGCGCATATGGTTTTCTAGTTCATCCAATAATCTACGGAGACTGGAAGTGTTATTGAGTGCAGGCTTAATGTTGATAAGGTCCATGTAATGTTTGTTTATTACAGACTGCACATCTCCGAATCGTTCCTTCAATATTGAGAGAGCTACATCATAATTTTCATGGGAGAGCATAAGGCCAGAAATAGCAGATTGTGCCTTTCCTTCCATTTTACTTTTCAAGTAGTTGAACTTCTCAATATTGGAAAGCCTCGAGTTCATGTGCACTGAAGCTTCAAAGGAGTCCCAGAATTCTTTCCATTTTAATTTATCTCCATCAAATGAAGGTAGTTCAAACTTTGGAAGTTTAACTACTGGAGTTTCTTTCTCTTTGTAAATCTTCTCTTTCCTGTGCAATTCCTGAATTTGGAGTTCTTGGAAATGCAAAAGTTGTTCCTGCATCCGTGTCTGTAGATCTATCATGTGGTCTATTCTTGGGTCATTTGATGCTTCCGTTTTCAAATATGGAATGTCCATTTGCTCCAGTCTTTTTTCTTGTAGTAGAAGTTCTTCTTTGCGTAGTACTCTTGAAGTTTCTCCTTCACTACTGTTAATATCTTAGTGAGGAGTAAAGAAAGAGGCTTGGGAGAAAATTTACTGGAACCCGCTATGTATCTTTGTTTGTAAGGAAATAATTGCTAACGTTTCATATTTAGGCATGTGTTTCTTTTTTCCTTTCAGTATATATTATCTATAAGCAGAGGCAGTGAGCAGTGAACGAAGGCAGTAAGCAGTGAGCAATTGTCAATATGCAGTTGACTGTCGTATGTGGAATTCAATACTTATCAATTCAATTGATGTGTGCATCAATTCATGCGCGGATCTAGAGACTATACAGAGTTCGTAAAAGTATATACTGAATCATATTAAACGACTTCGAAACACCCCCCCCCCCTTAGAAACACCAACGCCACGAAATATGTTCTCTTCATGTTTTAGAAATGGATTTTACCTCTTTTTTTGCTTATCAAGATATTTTCCGGGTTGTAATTTTTTTTGAATGAGGTGGACCCTCCCCTGGAAAAAAAACTCTTGGATTCGCGCCCGCAATTCCATTATTTTTCGCAATGGATTGAATTAATGATACGTAATTTTCAATTATTTCAGGATACCTTCAATTAACTGGCTCTGCAAAGAAACCCTCTCCGAATCGTCCTTGACCTTGGACTCTTACCCTCCCGCCCTTTTGGGAAACAAGAACTCGTTAAGTTCGTAATGAAGATGATATATATGAAGAAAAACGGCTTGCTTGTTAGAAGCCCCCCTCCCTTCTTTGCTAGCTAAGGGTTTTTGATCCGCTACTCTAGAAGTAAAGTGAATCAGAAACCCTTGGCTAGCGAAGATCCCCCCCCCCCCTTCGAAATAGTTAACTTTTTCATGTCGTACTTAAGTCTCATGTAAGTTTTATCTGGGACAAGCTGGGAATATTTCAGAATTATAAAAGGCAGACCTGCGTGTTATTTGAATTGAGTTATAAAAAATATTTGCATGTAACCGCAAGTTAAAACAAAAGTAACATTCGTACAAAATATATACCTCAATATACGACCATCCGTTTTCCGTTTTTATGGGGAGATACGGTATTTTATAACCCTTTGAAAGCGTGATCACGTGCTCACACAAACAAACATGGCGACATCAGGGTATTCACGAGTACTGCGTGCACTATGAAAATCAGTGTTGGAAGTAATGGTAAGACTGAATGAGATATTTTTTTGTTTTGACAAATGCTTGGTATGTAACTCATGAAGAATGACACCTGTTACTTTTGGCGCTAATTATGATTTGTCTGATCCTACATTTGGACAGGGCAAAAGTTTTACAGTGTTATACTGGTTAAAATATTGACAGTGTTTCAAGATAAAGGTTTTCATTGTTTTTTGTCTCTTTATATGAAAGAAAAACTTATTCAATTCTTTTTTCTTAGATCAGGGACCTATATACTAGTATATAGGTCCCTGCTTAGATGTCATACTTTACAATTAGAGGTAGAGACCAATTTGAAATAAAATTTTCCATCCCAAAGAGCATAGCTCCTTTAGGATTAATCACAGAAAATACCAGAAAACTTACTAGCTGATTACCCCATAAGGTTGTCTGAAATTGATTCTTCTGTTTAACGTCACCTAAAACGTAAAAAAATCTACAAGGGAGGGAGATTAAGAAAATCATTAAACAAACGAAATTTTCAAACAAATGAGTATTAGATCTAACTGATTTAAATAAATCAAAATACTGTAAATATTTTTGCATCAAGCAGGCTTATTGTTTAATTATTATTTTCACCAAATTTTTTTTAGTATATATAGCTTTAAAAGAAAAAAATCATCAAAAATATACTTCTTACAGGGCCCACATCCCACTGATGGAGTGTGGTTTTAAGTTGCTAAAAGTAAACAACTTAAAAAGTTCTAATTGTTTGTTTTTTCCGAGTGCCAATTTCTCTGAAACCTACACGCCTGGGTGATGTTAAACATGATAATAACTTTGGACAGCCTAAGCATGTAAAGTTGTTTCCTCTAATATATAGTTTACTGTATATGCTCATTTACTTTGTTCAAGAACAAGCCCTAACCACTGGTAGAATATGCTCCAAATATTGCAATGTAGCAATTAAATCAGAGTGGATCCACTTAGAAATGATTTTGGAGAAAACAAAAGGAGTCACACTGAAAATTATTTACAAAATTAGTCATAACAAACCATATATATAATTGTCCCTATGAAGACAAAAATTCAACTCATTTTTTCAACGTTTTTTTTCCCCGTGCTTCGAATTTATGTTGACATTTGGATCTCTGTGGATTAGTCTTAGTAAATGTGTAGATTAGAATTATCTGCCCCTGTTTATTTTGCTACATTGACAATACATGGAACCGTGTACATAGTACATTATCATTAATGATAGAATTTTCTATCTACAGCCTCCCTCCCAGTTCTCTCCCTTTAATGTCTCATTACATCAGACCTAAAGTCATCAGTATAGGCAAAAACATAAATAAGAGAGATTTCCAGCTATTCAAAATCTTGCGAGATATCTCATGGTTCTTTCAAATCTCACACAATTTAAATTAGATTCTAAAATCTTTAAAATTATCAAAGATAAAGTCTAACCTTTAAATCTGTATTAACAAACTATTCAGAATGTTATAATTTTGTAAGATTCGTTTGTTTAGTACAAATTATAACAAAGCGGAAATCTGAAATTGCAATAGGTGACTCGTGGTTGGCCATTATCGCCGCAATTTTGCCAACTTTTGAACATTGACCTCTATAATTTGCCCAGTTTGCTTTTAATAATCAATATATAGTTTTAAAACTTTACAAATCATACACTTATATATAAAAATTAACATTAATTAAACATAAGATAGAAAAATACACAACCAATAAAGAGTAATTGTTGGGATAATGCCGGGACCTTCACATACTTATTCATCGTCGCAAACCATGGCCAAAATGTACGATCCTCTCCCTTTCTGGCCGTGGTTGAATGTGAAGAGAATATTTCGTAGCTCATTAAAGTATTGACCAATGCGAGTAAAGCATAGTCAGATAATGAACTTCGACGCGACCTTTCAATACCCAATTGCAGTATACGAAACATTTCTTGTATACTGTTGATGATAATTGTTTTCAATAGTGGTGGAAACAAATTTTGTCACTGGCTGAACATTACATCACAATATAGAGGCATAAATATTCAAGATTACGACACTCTTTGTGATCAAGCAGCCACGGGTAGGAGAGAGCTATGTGTGAACTCCAGACCATGGCTTGAGATGATGATACTTAGTAAACAAACGTGTTAATGGTGGAGTTGCGAATCTCTGTTGTTTATGTTTTTAGTATAGGCAAAATTAATAATAGATGACGAGGGTAAAGCCACTCCATTAAGTGTAAAAATCTGAGGAATCGCTAGTCGGCATGTTTTGGTAGTTTGTATTTCCTTGTTTTTCACTTGCAGAAACATGTACATGTATTGAGGCAACTTTTTCTTAGCTCTAATAAGCCAGAAAACATAAAATCTTTTGATCTGTAGAAAAAAACTCTGCCATGATTTGTAATCTTGCAATACCTTATAAATTTTAATTTTTGGGACTTTGTTTACTTGTTGAACCAATTTGTCACATTTCTTTTCTCACTGTTCCCTTCTAGTGACTAGCTTATATACCGTGTACTGTGTTGTATCTTTGAAGACATTTTTATTTTCTTTTAAAAATAGAAACATTAATCATAGTGATGGTATACTGAGTATACTAGACTTGATATGATTGAGTTAAATACATGTATGATAAATAGAGGATCTGTCTCAGGAAGTCAAAGAGGAATTTAATTTTCTTTGATTACTATTAGTCTGGTAATAATACTACTATATTTATCATGTGTTTATTATTTTAATTGATTGTGACAATCTTCCATTCAGTGTATGGTATTGGTCAGTTGACATCCATTTCTAGGTGAAATCCGCTCTGACTCAGAATTTACACATGGCATGATTGTGAACTTGTTTTCTTATGCTAATTATTTAGTTTAGTAAACAGAGTCAAGTTTTTGCCTGACTAGATGTTAGAAAGCTACGTTCAAGGTTTTGATAACAAGGAAATTGAAGATTTTTTGTCTATAATAACTTTCTTTTTTCTGTCCTTCAGTTTCTGAAAATTGATTAAACGTCATGTTTTTTTCTGTCATTCAGTAAATGGAAGAAAAGTTTTAAATGGAGTATTCAACTGATAATGGCTGCAATCAAGGTGAATACAGCGTGTGTAAAAAGATTGGATTTAAAGTGTGGACATTTTTAAATGAATCGCATTATTGAAATGTATATGATCGATGCAGCGCCCAATGAACTCTCTCTGTAGGATCGATAGAAGGCAGGGGGCATTGGGATACGAGCTTACTCGTAAAAGTTTGTCTCTGCCCTTTTGTTAATATCTGCTTTTATGTGGGTCGCAACCAAACTAAGGTGAAATGCTGCCTGTGTAAATATCTTTTCAAGGTTTGCCTGTGTTCCAAAATCTAAGAGCTCTCGGGGGTTTCATTTGTTGATATAATACATACTTCAAAATAGGCCTTTTTGTGCAGAATGAAAATTTCACCCTTACGTTTATTTACTGCAAGCAATTTAAAATTGGATGTTTTGATCCTGTTGAGTTCTTGTGAATTATGTAATGCATGTAATTATTGTGAATTACTGTGAATTGTTAAAACTGATTTCGTGAGCTTGGAATAACCCATACGCTGTTGCCTTGGATTGTAGTAATTAATGGATTAACGATGACAAAGGAACAAACCTTGTACACCATACTGTAGTTATTTTTCCTCGCAAGGTAAATAACTTTTTAATTCATTGATATTGAAGGGTATAGGGAGAGCATGAAGCTAATTAATAAAGACGCCTGTTTTTCCCTCTAATAATTGATTTAAAAAAAGTAGCAGTAGTCATAGATGCTTTTATTAGCTGAGCATCTCGATCTATAATTTGAAATATTTTTGTTTTTAAATTGGTAATGTCAGCTGTAGAGATACATTTGAGTTGTTAACCTAAAAACATGTTAAGGTGGCCCTTTTACAACTGGCAGAGTTTATGGGATTTCAGACCATATATGTCAGTATTGTGTCAATTGGTTGAGGTTAAATTCTTGGTTTTTCACGGTTGGCTTGTCTGTTCTCTTGTCATAACGCTAGCCAATACCCAGCTGTTATAGGGGTACGCTACCATTAAATATCCAGGTTTATAGCAGCATGGTCCAATTGACATCTTGTCCAGGGATTGTAAACAGCTTTTACAAGATAAATACATTTTGTATGGAATTATCACTTCAGTGGACTTTATGTGGTGGACAAGATTGTCTGTAAGTGATATCACACAATGGAAACAGGATTTAATCACCGTGAACAATACACAGGGTAAACAGAGGAGTTTAATGCAGTGATCGTGAAGGTATATGACAGTGCACTGAAAACTTCTCTTTGTCATGTTTGTGGATTAAAACTTTAAAAAGTGATTCTGTTGATATGTCCATACCTGTATTGTGTAAGACTTTAAAACACTGCTGAAATATTTACGATTTTCATTGATCCATTTTTTTGCCTGGCCATTAAGGAGCTGCATTAATTGGTATTCAGGTTAGTTTGTATACTTGGATGAATTGACATTACATAAGGTGTCTGATTTAGCACCCACATTTGTCCTGGAATTTAATTTTCAAGGATTACCCATGTCGTTTCATTACAGACGTGGAAGATTTGAGCTTGGAATCTGATTCCGTGGATTTTAACAATGAATCAGCCATAAACCACAAGGATAGGACACCAGGTATAGAATTCACAGCTTTACTGTTGAGTCTAATATCTAAAAGGAATCAATCCCAGCTGATTTCTGCCCTGATCATCTCAGAGCTGTTTTTTTCCCCCAGTTGTTTCATTTAAACTTGCATGTAATTCCAAGTTTAAGGCCATTGACCTCTATTTGAAGATGACAGCCAGCCTTATTTCAGTGATTGATTATTAGAGGGGACACTTTACAGAGGTGTCATTGCCTTTTGGGTAGTACCTGTTCTTCCTTTGAGGGAAGAAATTCAATCAGACCAATGGTACATTATATTTCTCTGGTCAATTCTGACATGAAGGTAGAAGTTGGCAGGGCCTGGCCGTTAGATGGGATATCAAGTTAGACATGAGAGGTAGGAATTGGCAGGGCCTGGTACATCTAGAGACGGTTGTCAATCCTGCCTGATCATTTGAGACATGCTGTAGACACGTAAGGCTAGGAAATCGGAAACCAAGGCATATCTTCATTCTTGATTTTTTTTTTAATTAATCTTGATATTAACCAAAAATGTCCTGAGAACCACATAAAAATGGTAAAGGACTGTGCTGTAGTTAGCTGGGCAATTTTAGAAATAATTTACCCCTAACACCCTTGACAATGTTCTAGAAAAATTTGACAAGGTAAGCATGACTAAAGGAAATGCTGACAGTTATTTTCCCCCAGATGTGGTATGGGGTTAGAAAGAGCTGTTCATTGCGTAATCTGTCATGGCGGGTGGGACTACGAAACTTAACTTCTGGGAGATCACCAACTGGCATGTTCTTCACTACAGATATACTCGACTTAAACACGGTCCTCACAAGCATAAAAAGCTAAATCTCATAATCTTTTACCACTGATTTTCACAACTACTTCAAATATTTACTTCCAAATCAAAATGGCTTTAGCTTCTAAAAGAAGCTCATATTTATTGGTCTTCCGTCCAATATATGTATCTGGCATACCTTTTTATTTGTGGGTTGATAGGACTATGAGTCGTGAGTGGGGGTCGAGGTGGAATTTTGTGAGGTTTGGAATCGGACGTTTTTCTGAGGGACGTACAGTCAGATAACAATTTCTGTTGTACGGCCATGTTTTGTTACACTTGCTGTGTCTGTCAACTTGGGTGTAGTGCTGTATAAACATCTGACTCTTTGTTTTCTGTTGAAATTAGTATTGTTGAGTTCTCAAAGAATTCATGTATCCCAAGTATGTCTCCTGCGTTATCATTAAGTAAGCAGTCAGGTCATTGAGGGTTATCTTAGTAAAAGAGGTGAAAACATTTTAATGAAGTTTACAAGTTCTGAGGTGTCATTTGTGTAATTATTTTGTCTGTTTAAGGTAAAATTAAGGACGTAGATTTTGTATCCAGGTAGCTCTCTGTGTTTAAGGGTTGCCTGATGTCAACACAAAGTCAGAGAAATTCCTTGTTAAACATGTTAAAAGGACATTATATATCTGTCTAGAAAATATTTGCTTGTTTTATACAAATAACACAAAAAAAACTCCAAAATACAAACAAACTAAAAAATAAATCAGTATCCCATGAGCATGATGAACATGGATTTAGTTCAAAGGTTTAAGTGAAGGTATTTAACAGCATCTTGTGAATACGTAAGGATTTCAGATGTAATACATGACTCTAATATAAGATATATACAGAATCGGATCTTTAAGCTCTGTAACGTTATGGGTTATTGATGGACCATTTTCTGCAGGTGTTACTTATATTTATGCAGGGACAAGTACAGGTAAATAAAGTCCTGAAGGATGAATAATTGATAGGACTGGAGCAGAACCAGGTTTTCTAATGAGGATGGTGAAGTTAATAAGATTCCAAGAACCCTTTAGTTGTTGGAATGAACATTCTTTGATGACCATATCTTCTTTAAGTGTATGATATATTAAAATTTTGGATCTCTGTACTATCTATAAACATGCATTGGTCTATTACATATGGTTTTGATAATAGCTATGTAGTCTAAGATTTTATTGTTGTACATGTAACTTGAGAAGTAAGATTTTTTGAAATTAAAATTGGTGTAATGTTATGTCTGGTAGTTCTGGGTAATAAAACTTGCTGGTGTGTGGAGGCTATTTATATACATGAGGGATAGGAAACTATAGAATTCATAATGATTTTGTACAATTCAAATAGGGTATGAGACATACTGATTTTAGTGCAATCCTGTGACAATCAGATAGTTTGGGTTTCTTCATGTTCTTAGATGAGATATATTAAAATATTGAGGTATAGCTAATTAGTTAATTATCTGGTCTTGATTGTCTTAATTTTATCCAAAACTTTAAGAAGCAAATGATTTGAGATCTTTCGTAATCTTTTAAACCCTGCTGTTATTTCTGTATAATTATATAAAAATGTGCCTTTGAAAAAAGGAGAGGTCCAAAAGGATGGCTAGTTGAGGCTTTTATCCATTCACATGAAACACAAATATTTCAAACTTTATTAAACTTTTCAAATGATAAATAAGCTTAACGTTTAAGTGCCAATCATCTGTCATAATTCCACATCAAATGTAATGTGAGGGTTTACTATCAATTTGTGAGATATATATGATCGATGTGAAATCATCAAACTTGGTATAAGTTGTATGAGATAACAGCCCAGATATTTAGTAATGACGGAAGAATGTCACAACCGTATCCAGGTGAACTCTCTGTGTCCAGGTGAACTAACACTGAGGTCAAGGGTCTCGCGCCACTCAAGGGCAGGGACCATTAAAATTGGGAAAATAAGCAAAGTTTTGGGAAAAATTGGGAAAATCAACATAATTTTATTTTTCAAAAACTCACCACATTTGGGTTTTCTAGTGTTTAGATATCAACTTTATTTATAACTTATGACAATTGGGAAAATAAAACTATTTAGCTGGGGTAAAAGGTATCTTTTTAACATTCATATGGAAATTTGGCCTTTCAGCAGCCCATATAATCTAAAGCCTGGTGCTTCTCTAATTGTAATTTTTGATCTGAAATTCTGCATGTTCTCTCGTCTGCAGATTAGGGAAATTTGTGTTTTGTCTGCATTTAAATCACATTGTGTCTTTTGTTTGTCATTGGTCGGATTGTAAATCAACATTGACTCAACACTTAAGGGTAGGTACAATGATCGGAGTCAGTATTGTACCCCCACTGTTGCTTACACCTGTACTTTAGGTCTCTCAGGTGTGAAATAATGTCATATAAATAAAGTTTATGTAATTTGGAATGTTTGCACCAGATATAAATTAAGAACTATGTTGTATTCTTTAAAGTGTTTTTTATGTGAGTGTCATGTGTACCCAAATTGTTGAGAGTAAATAATGGTATTCATTGGTTTCTAGAGCTTAATTATCTACTTATTTCTGAATACCAATATTTTTAATTAGTGATGGAGAATGGGCTTGAGATTCTTATGAAATCAATATATATTGACAATGCGACAATTGTAAGTCTCCACAGAATTATAACTGAGGCTCTTAGAGACAGCATTGACCTATGGTGGCTGTAAGTCCTCAATAAAGAAACAAACTATTAATTAGCAACATTTTGTTACATTAGAGTATAAATGATGAAATTTAAAATCATAGCAGAATTTCAAAATTAGAGAATATCGCTAATTTAAATCTGTTTGGTTTCAGTTTAAGAAAACTTATTTAAAATGCCTTGAGTTCATAACAGTGCAGTTTGTTTTTGTATATTCAGGATAGATAATGGCTGGATTTGTTAAGAAATGCCCGTGTCTGAAACCGAAGATTCAGGAGGAGATTTACGAGTTAGACTACCGTCACTGTAACCTCACGGACGTCCCCGCTCAGGTGTTTAACTTTGAGCGGACGTTAGAGGAGTTATATTTAGACAACAACCAGATTCAGGACTTACCAAGGGTAAGTAACTCCTGGCCAGGGTAAATAACTCCTGGTTGGTCTATACCATAGATAAAATCATTGCCTAAAACTGATCTTGCTTAATGTACATGTATTTTATTGAAAGTTAATCATGACTTATAAAAGTTAAAAATAAAAATTTTTAGAAAGAAGGTTTTGACATTTTTTTTTTTTTTAAATAAGGGTGCAGTCTTTCATTCAATCCCACAATATATTTTAGTCAAGTCAGGCAAAGTATATTTATAAGTTTTTCACTGCATATAAACTGCTTGAATTATTTTCTTTATCATTTCAGGAGTTGTTTTGTTGCCATGGTATCAGGAAGCTGTGTTTAAGTAACAATGAGGTGACCAATATTCCCCCGGCCATCGGAAGTTTGATCAACCTGGAGGAACTGGACATCAGTAAAAATGGTAAAAAGTTATTACGGATCCTCGATAAGAAATCTCTTATTATAGTTACTCAATATACCTAACCCTAAAATCGGATATCATATGACGTTAACTTATTCTAATAACGGAATTGTTGATGCTAGAAGGACAATCAGATTTCCTTGATTTTTGCACTACTTTATGACAATATTGTATGTCCATGTGAAATTGTAGTATTGCCATCAAATGCAAGCAGGATAAGAATAAAGTAAAGTATCATTAAGTTTTCAAAAGAATCTCTTATAGAACTTTTTAGTTGCACATTTATGGGAGATTTATGTAAATTCAAATTCTTGATGTCAACAGAGGAACAAATCTTGATCTTAAAAAAGCAGAGCTTTCTTTATCAGATTTTCATTGTGCAGATATTCTTGATTTATGTTCGTAATAAAATATGTCTGTACATTGAAACTGGAGGTTGATTAATATTAAAAAAGAGAACATGTGTTTTGACTGTGTCATGTTATTGATTTTGGTACTGTAAAAATTATGAATTTTGTGCACAGGTTTTCAGAATGACAAGAGATCAACTCTGTCAATAAAAATGCTTATTGACTGAAACTTCTCTTTATACAATAAGTTTACCTTCTAGTACATCAAGTTAACCTAGCTACATTGTATTCACCTTTATTATAAAACATCTTTACATGTCTATTTTATAAAATACTAAATAAGACCACTGTGTCTATAAAATTCTTAATAACATCTCTTTTTCTTGGATCTTATGATTTACTTATATACTTATCTTGTGATATATTTTTACTTTGGGTGTCACTCTGGCCCTTTTAATATTTCTTCCAATGATACCCTCTAGAAATAGGACGTATCTTAGACTCGTCAAAATCTTGAAATCACTGTCAGACATTGGTCTGACAAAGTCCAACGTTCTGTTAAACCTGACAAAGTTTTGTCAGAACAAATAAATAAATGCACCAAAATGCCCTTTATTATCTTCAACAGCCTTCAATCTCACAAGTTTCTTTTCTTAGGATAGAGAGTCTTTAATAAGAGACATAAATGACATATTTTTAATGTCTTTCCTATAAGAAATATTTAATCAATAATTGACCACCGTCACCACACAGCCATCTCTGCTGTTTTTCTGATCTTCACCTGTGCACCTCATCCCGATCTTTTTAAAAATTGCATCATGCTCAATTTTTTCAAGTGGTCATTTGGACTGACGTTTTCTTGAAAGTTATTGGTCCAGACAAATTTTTACTGGCCTTGCCTAGAGGACCGACGGTCTTCAAAAAGTCTGCATGTGTGAGACAGTGACAAAGTTTTTATTTATATCACTTCTGTGTGTTGTAGGTATTATTGACATCCCAGAGAACATCAACTGTTGTAAATGTCTGAGGTCGGTCAACGCCAACGTCAACCCACTGGGAAAGTAAGTGAAACTGTCAGTGATAAATTCTGATGTTGGTCATTGCCAACATCAACCCACTGGGAAAGCAATTAAAACTGTTGTAAATGTCTGAGGTCAGTCGATGCCAACGTTAGCCCATTGGGAAAGTAATTAATGAGTTAAAGGACATTTGTAGTCTTTCTCAGAATGTATGTCTCAAGACTTAGTGATAGATGTAAAACACAACATTCTCTCTTCCGATTCTGGCCTTGGTTACTGTATAAATACATATAAAAAATGGCAGTATCACAGAACTAAGAGGGATCTGTCTTTAAGCTTGGGTTTCTCTGAAATCCTGTCCTGTCATTTTGTGTGAGTGTATTAATACAGTCCCACAACTCTTATAATGGGCTCTACCTTTATACAAGGTGGACCTACTGCACTGGGTGTCGTGATTGTGTGACATAATGATTACGTGAGACTTGGGTGTAATCGCCCGATTTAAATTTCACCATTAGCTATACTGTAATTTTCTGCATGGTAAATACCTTTATACGATAAATAAGGAGGAAGAATGTGTTTACTGGATCACCTCTTTATTAGGAGAATGATCAGTTTCTGCATTCATTTGCTACCTGTCATTATGGAGGAGCTGGCTACCTGGGCTTACCTGGAGGGGGGCACCTGTTGTTTGGAGTTCTTTGAAGACAGGAATTCACAGTATCAAAATGAAAATCTCTAAAAATTTAAGGAAAAAATTAAATTAGAGCAAATAGTGAAGATAAGATGCTATAGCACTTTGTAAAAAATATTTTTTACTGGGTTATCTATAGATTATTCAAAGAAAATCCTTGATTTCTGAAGATAAGTATCAATGAAAGTAATTCAACACTTCTGGAAGTGTATTCAGCCAGATTTCAGAGAGCTGTAGAAATTGTTCTGAATACCCAGGATCTTACTAGTTTCTGTTGTTCAGTGTATTCAAGGAATTCGTTATAATTTATGTCTCTTTAATGTGAGAGTTCAATCCAGTCTTACTGTTGGCACCTGTAAAAACTGGCAAATAAATCTTAGTAATTGGTCCAATTGTAATGAGAATACCTGGAATAGCTTTCCTCGCTTTCTTTAAATTAACAACTTAATGGAAATTGGTTTTCACACCTTGATATATTGCAAGGTGTTTTTGCAGCATCTGTTAAAATTCAGCGGTGCATTTTACGTTTAGTGACAAATATAAAATTTTAGAAATCTTAACCCTTTCAGGTGTATGTATATTATGTATCCCCAGCAAAGACACTCATTACTTATCTTAATAGATGTTTTTTTTTAATGTGATACTATCTATTCAATGTACTGTAACTGTTTTATAATCATAAAATTTGTAAATGAATAGAAATTTGATAGTCCGATTTAAAATTAAATACTTATAATCATGTTTATATTTGCAATATAGTTTGTATTGTTATTTTGATTTACCCAGAAAAGACATTTCCTTAGTCATCTGTCATCAAATTTGAATAAGAAATTGCAAACAATTATTTTATAATTGATAATTTCTTTGACTTGATTGGATATTTTATAAATCACTACACTAGCTAACAATCTGGAGAGAGTGGGGTCCTTAAGTATACCGTTAAATATTGTGTACACTGCGTAGTGCCGAGTACAAACAAGACTATAATGAATATGTTGTGTCAATAAAACCTGTGTAAATAAGCATACAAACACAAGGTTCCTGCTTGTTTTATCTGTATGAGGGAAAAAGGAGAACACTGGCTTTTTAGCCCAAGTGTATGACACGGAAACACACTTGTGTAAGGAATTGTCAGGTGCCCCGGGGTTTTCTATACACATCCTCCCAGCTTCAATAGACTTCCCACTCTGTTAAGTATATATCTCTGGTACAAGTATATTGTTAAGAATCTGCCACCAGATTCCATTTAATCAACACTTGAGGTTTTTTACTGGCATAATTGTCCAATTATCGACAGTTAAACAACTCCAGCTAAGTTATTGAAGGTCTGGTTAACGGTACTGCACAAATTCTCACATGTCTTAGAGTCGGGTAAACCTAGCCAATTATAGACTCAGTGAATCAATAGCTACTGTAATTAGCAGTGAAACAGCAACATATTCTTAGCACCAGTCAAGTATTTTTATTTTGCAGTTTATTTACGTTTAATATTTAGTTTACTTAAGGTTTTGAATATAAACATCTTTTTAATATGATTGGGTATAAAACTTGAAAAATATTCTGGACCCAGGCTTTTTTTACTTTAACAAAATAGAGCAATTGATATATTGACAGCCACTATGAAGTAATAAGAGCTTATTTTACAGTGTATAATGTAATATTCATATGTATTGGTAAATACTCTAGTGCTTTATTTTTGAAATCAACTGATAAATAGCTTGGTATCTTCACTTAATCAAAGTCAGTACCACTTGTTTAACATTTTTTTAAAGACATTTTTTGTGATTTGTAATTTAAGGAAAGGGTTCTAGAATGCATTGACTTCAAAGACATTTTGAACTTTGGTCTAAATCTGGTTGCAAGCTATTCAAGTGAATGTTTTGCCTTAAACGACTTGTTAATGGTACTTGTAGGTCATTCAGAATTCATTTATTTTTCTATAATCATGGTATTTATTATTCTGAGCTATTCAATTTTGACAAAGATGAGAAATTGTTACTTGAATAATTATTGGTTTAAATCTTTGATAGGAGGCATTTGTCAAAATGATTAAAGTGGACTTTTTTGTTAAAAAGAAAAGTAAAGAAAACATTATTCTTATTACTGTACTGGGTGACTTGATTATAAACTCTAAAAGTATTAGCCTAAAACGAGAGGGTTATAAATATGAGTTAAAATTGATTTGGAGGGCCTTTTTATAAACAATGAAGTTATTGCAGCATGTCTTGTTCTGTCGGTAAAGGGAGGTAATCTCTCAGTCTGGTATTCTAATGGTTCATGATCAAAGCCGGCCTTTCATTTTAAAAAATCAGATGCCTTCAAGATGGTCATGCGTCGTTAAGTACAGATCCCTATCGGCTCAGAAATTTGTAGATGGCTCGTAAGCTACTATCATGTGTTTTTCAACATGGTTAAACACTTTTAAAAATAAATTTCAGAACAAAATTTATTGCCTGCTTTTTTCTCATATTTTACTTGGTGAAGAATAGACTGATATTATACGACATTGAGGAAATCAGTGCGAAGTTGTCACAGGGGTCAGCTAGGGTCACACTTGAGTGAACTGAGGCCTTTATATAGACACACCCACAAAATTAATATTTGAGGGCTTGACTAGATAAAATCACCTTATGATTTATATATGCATTGTAAGCTAGTTATTTATGACAGATGAGCTATAGCTAGCCTTCAGTATTATCTGATGAAGAAAACTGGCCAGTAATTATCTAACATGCTCTCCTGTTGATTACCAGTTTATGGATGTTTACTAAACTTAATGAAAAACACAATTTTCTGTAAGCAGAAAAAGTGAAAAAAATATTATGGTTACATTCAGTTAAAGATTGATTTTGTCTGATATGTTATTAACAATGACATAAACTATACTTTAAGTTGAATACATTTTGATACGGTATACTGTAATTTTAATATACATATATGTTAGAACACTTTGGTACTTTAATTATGACTATAATGTACATACTTGTACACTTGGGTAGGGTAATTTAAGAGATGAATTGAAATATGCAGGTGTGAAGCATCGTAGTTCATGTACCTCATGAATTCTCAAAAATTAAATTCATATCTTATGTATACATTATTTTTCTGATGACTTGCCACATATTTTTGTCATTCAACGATCATTTTTGAAAAAAAGAGTATGCACTATTTTTTGACTTCAATCACATCACAATGGAAATATTCTTACTCATCCCACGGTAGTTCATGAGAACATGAACTTTTTCTAATTTGCAAAGAATCTTAAGGAAAAGTATACACTTTGGTACTCTAATTCTTATTATAATGTACATGTACACTTTGGTAGGATAATAAATTATGATTATAATGTACATGACTTGTACCACTTTGTAGGTTGCCAGAGGGATTGACACAGTTAGGGAACCTAACACAGCTCTACCTCAATGATACATTCCTAGACTATCTACCCGGAACATTTGGGAGGTGAGTACCAGTTCATTGTCAGGGCACCAGATTATTTTAGCTCTCAAGAAAAAGTGGTTTATTTCTAGTGGCATCATATTGTATTGAGCAAATTTGGTTGTTGAATTTGAATAAATGAGACTTTGTTGTATGACTGCCAATGGCAGCAACTGGAAGTCTAGGGCACTTTTTTGTATAATCCCATTGAACAGTACATTCTGTCAAGTCACTTGCATGAGAGAATTGAGGCAGAGATCAGTTCTGAAATTGTTTTCGTATATAGCTTTGGCAACTGCATTTATGTTTGTATGATTTATGATTTGTATGACACCAAAGGAACTAAATTAGAGATCCTGTTGTACATACCCTGTCTACCTGGCAATGCTTAGCCATGTGATAACGCCTTAATCGATGCCGGACCCTTGTTTACTGATTTTGGCAGAGTTAAGTTGTCATATAGAATTTACTGAGGATTACGTAGGGAGGGTGTTTTAACAGATTCCTGGACTCCAAAGGAATTTATTGACAGACAGACAGGGAAATGTTTAAGACAAGAGAAAGTGAACATTTATTTCATAAACAATAGCTTTAAAAACAAAGAGTATGGACATTTTAAATGTTTTTTGTTGTCTTTGGGATCTAAAATAAGCAGGTCCATATCCAAGTACAACAATGAAGTTCTTGATGAAAAATGACAAACACTGACTGCTCTCAGAGGGTTTTTCAATTTGGAAGAGATTTCAGTAAAGATCTTTTAAGTAAACCTGTAAAAAAAATTTTTATGAGCTTAATTTTTAATTTTAAAAGAGCAAACTGTAAGCCAGGAAGATATATAAGAAAATTGATTTTAGTTTTTCTCTAAATTCAGGGTAGGCTGTTTACAGTTAAAAACATTATACTTAAAAATCCATGTTATCTTTATCTGCCTGAGTTAAAGTTATTTAGAGTAGAAAAGATGTGAATGGCATTGAGTTAACAAGTTTAAATCAAAGTGTTAGAACACGGTGGGTCCTGATTGGTTTCTATGGAAGTCCTAAGTGATGTTAGACTTTTAGCCACTTGACAGACCATTTGACCAGTGCCCAGTTTGGTCTTTATATGAAGTGTTTGTATGTGTTTGTGATAAGTCTTTAATTGGTCACTGTTGGTCCTAAGTATAGCGGTCAGTTGATTGTACTATTCAGATAACCCATGTAAACACTTGAGATAAGAGTTGTCAATAACTCATCACTGTAATACAATATCCACTGTTTTTTGTTGACTTTTTAAACACCTATAGGTATCATGATGTAATGTGTTATATAACCTTAGACATTCCAAGGTGACATTATTCCACTAAGTAGATAAGGTGTAGTAAGAATTGAATACACTCAGTCATATATATAATATATATGTACCTTCAAATTAATCTTGTTGTAGGGAAAATCAAGCTGCATTGTATACTTTTAATTTACGTAGTACTCTCAGTCAGGAATTCAATAATTACTTTATCAAGAATATATTAAAGTCTTGAATAAATCAATATGTATTAATGTATGATAAAATAAATCTCATTGTAGGGAAAACCATACTGTATACTTTTTATTTATGTAGTACCATCAGTCAGGAATTCAATAATTACTTTATCAAGAATATATTAAAGTCTCAGATAAATCAGTGTGTGCTATAAGTTATATAAACATTGATGTCTAGCAGAATTACGGTGTTGGGACAGTGTAATTCAGGGGATTAATCCCATTGTCAGTGTGTATATACCATGGAACAGATCCCCGGTTGTTGAAATGTTTGTGTGTCCGCTGTCTGGTGTTGACAGAGAGGTGAGACTTCTGCTGGGCCGTGGACAGCGAAATTGGATTCCATATTTACACAGCCTCATGGTCAATTAAATCACAAAATAGACCGAAGTGACCAAGGCTTTGCCGTTGTCCATTCTCTGATTTAATTATCTGTGAGTAGGGACAGATGTCAGATACCCATGTTTTTTCTGTAAAACTATGTCCTTTGTGATATGTAAGTGTTAGGCTTTTAACGGACTGAAAATAGACCACCTAAATAAGAGGTTGGTTCAACAAAATTCCAGGCAGTCAAAATATTGAATGGTATCAGTGACAAGTCTTACCTCTCGACGTGTCAAAACTCTCTTTAAGTTGTCATGTTATGTAGTCTTATGTAAATGTAAATGGAGATAGGTTTCTATGTTTTCAGGGTAATGTAGACTTAATTTGATGAACATTACTGACAAGAAATGAGTTGTATTTAATAGGTTCAGTTTTTTTTTTTTGGAAATTAATGAATTACAGATCGTTTAATGTATTTGATGTGTTGATAGTCAAAAAAAAACCAACCAACAAACAAAAAAACCAGAACCTCCTTAGCTGTGTGAATTTCTATACTGAACAAGCTCCACGGATACAATAAATACATGAAATAGTCTGTAATTTTATTATACCCCCCACTTGAAAAGTGGAGGATGTATAGTGATGTCTGTGCCTCTGTCCGTACGTCTATCCATTACGCTTTGGGGTACCCATCTCTTATCAGCAACTCCTCTTATACCACTGAATAAAATTTAATGAGAATTTCACAGAATGTTTGTTACATAGTGCCATTGTGACCTACTATTTTACTTTTTGATTAGACAAATATTTTGAGTTTCCAATAGCAAAACATATAGACCCTTCCATTCTTTCTATAATATTGAGGGATATCCATCTTTTATCTGCAACTCCTCATACACCACTGAATAAAATTTAATCAGACTTTCACAGAATCTTTATTACATAGTGCCATTATGCACCTTCTATTTTACTTTTTGATCGGTTATTTATTTCGGGTCTCCCATAGCAAAACATTGACTTTGCCATTATTATCATATGGGAGGGGGGGGGGGACATCATTTTGTAAGCTCAGTGCTCATAGAAATCTCTAGTTTTTTTAATTTTAGGGAAAAACAGACTAATAACAAATGACAATAATTTTGGTCTCATGTTATGAAAAATCTATATAATTTCTTGATATTTGTAAATCCAGAAAAAAAAATTCATTATCATATACTCTGAACATAAACATCCCTGTATCCAATAAAAAAAATGATTTGTAACTTTTATTGCAGACTACTGAAACTGAAGGTGCTGGAGATTCGGGAGAATCATCTAAAAACTCTGCCCAAGTCGTTCTCCATGTTGACTTCCCTAGAGAGACTGGATATCGGACATAATGAATTCACCGAGCTGGTCAGTCATAGCTAGAGTATCATAAATTATTACTATTTCACATCGGGCATAACTAATTCACCGAATTGGTCAGTCGCAGAGTATCATAAAGTTTTACTATTTCAGTAATAATTTGGACTCTTATTAGGCAGACATACTTGTAGTACATTGAACAGTCAAACAGTTATATGATATATGATGTGAATTTGACATTAGACCAAGTTTTAGCATAGGAAGAGTTGCATAAATTTTTAATCAATTGGTAAGGCTTATGTAATCATAACTATTTGTAAAAATGCCCTAAGCCCATTATGGTACAATACTTAAGCAATATATTAACATTGTCTTTTTGTATGAAAGCCTTTGTGATAAGAATACTGTGAGTTAATTATCTGTTCTGAAACATTGTTGTGACTTTGCCTGTTTGTCTGTTACAGCCGGATGTGATTGGGAATCTGACCAGCCTGTTGGAGCTTTGGTGTGACCACAATCAAATCACAACTCTTACTTCTGTAAGTTATTATAAAGCTCAACAGTAAATTAAATGATTCACCACAAACTCCCATACAGGACTTAGAGGTTTTGTTTGCAAGTTACTAACATGTTCAGATTTTGTATTATATGTGCCTCAGTTATTAAGGTATTCAGGTAAGTTTCTAAAATGTTCAGGTTTTGTGCCATATGTGTGTCAGTTATTAACAAGCTTCTTTTAAAGTGAGAAAAAATCAAAATTAACAATCATAAGATTGGTAAACAGAAACAACTGGTATTTCTTTGATTGAAGTCCAATTCTTCTTTGATTTAAGGCTTGTGTGTCAGGTTTGGTGCCAGACTTAACTATTTACACAAAAAAGGTATGCTGGTCACTGTACTAAAAAAGATAATCTGTCATTGTACTGTATTCTAGATGACACAGATCTGCTATCTGAACTGTTATAGAGATGGCATTCCAGTTATTCTGTTGTATGTCAGGCAGTTTTAGAACTCTATAGATATGTATTCAGTTATATTTCAAGACAGGACAGATATGTATTAAATCTGTGTTTCTCATCAGGGGTCTTAGTTGGGTCAGATTTAAGAAGTCCCGTTCTAGATCTTTGACTCCTGTTGTGTATCGAGTCCGCCAGCACGCACCCTGTCTCTCTCTTAGCACAAAGAACCACACGACTCAGCCGTACAAGCCGGCATTGAAATTGATAGCATCTATATTTTGAATGGGTCACTCTTGCACTGTACAAATAATGCTGGTTAAATCGTTAAAATCAATACAGCAGGATTGATAACGGGAGCTGATATGCTATATTTGAATGTGTAGGTATTTAAATCTGTCCGCCTGTTGTGTGAAAAGTTACTCATAACTTGTGACTGTTATTTTGTCCACTTTTTTATCCTGTTAGATATTTCATTGACATTAAAGCTTCATGGTCATGGGGTTATATTTGTTCAAGTAAAAAGTCAAACAAACTTGGAAGATCAGAGGATTTTTTTCCATGTCTGTCCCAAATTTAAAATAATTGAATAGTTTTTAAGAGTTTTAATGTACATATACATTTGTAGTACTAGTATTTTCAAACAGTATTAAAAAAAATCAAATAATAAATATCTTTATATTCTGTAGTTCATTATGACCATATTAAGCATTTGTGAAGATACTAAAACTCATCATTAATTTTTTAGAAATTCATCATTGATTGTTTAATTGAAAAATAAATTTAGAAGTTTAAAACATACTGATACAAATTCCTTACTATATAACATTTATAAATTAACTTTTTGTCAGCTACAAAGAGCTAAAAAAAGTTGTTTTATGTCGGAGTTCAGGAGGATTATGGTAATAAGTTTGTGTTGTTCACAAATAGCATGTCTAGATATGTGCTAATCCTTACAATTTGCCTTACAAAGCTGATTAAAGGGAAGTCACTCATATGAAAGAGAAGTCACTCATATTAAAGGGAAATTACTCAAGGATTGTGGTTATTCATGAAAGCTTTCTTAGTGGTTGATTATTTAAGGTAGTTCAACTATTTCACAATGATTATCTGTAGTATTTTTGACAAATATTCAACAATGATGGTTGTGCATCTGTAGAACATACAGACTCCAGTGTCTGACCAGTACAGTGTAAAGCATGATCACAACCAGTGTGATATGGAGTAACTGTTCTGATCAGTACAATGTAAGCATGATCACTACCAGTGTGATATGGAGTAACTGTTCTGACCAGTACAATGTAAGCATGATCACAACCAGTGTGATATGGAGTAACTGTTCTGACTAGTACAATGTAAGCATGATCACAACCAGTGTGATATAGAGTAACTGTTCTGACCAGTACAATGTAAGCATGATCACAACCAATGTGATATGGAGTAACTGTTCTGACCAGTACAATGTAAGCATGATCACAACCAATGTGATATGGAGTAACTGTTCTGACCAGTACAATGTAAGCATGATCACAACCAGTATGATATAGAGTAACTGTTCTGACCAGTACAGTGTAAGCATGATCATAGCCAGTATGATATAGAGTAACTGTTCTGACTAGTACAATGTAAGCATGATCACAACCAGTGTGATATGGAGTAACTGTTCTGACCAGTACAATGTGATCACAACCAGTATGATATAGAGTAACTGTTCTGACCAGTACAATGTGATCACAACCAGTGTGATATAGAGTAACTGTTCTGACCAGTACAATGTAAGCATGATCACAATTAGTGTGATATGGAGTAACTGTTCTGTAAAGGTATGTCTGTGATTGATCAAGTTTCTACAGTAAAACCCAGTTATACAGAACTCACTTATAAGGAAATCTCCAATAAAGGAATTTTTAATGAATCCTATAGGAGACTTTGCATTTATATGTTCCTGATGTGGATGTAAAAAAAATATTTGGCACTAAGGAAGTAAAATTTGAGACCCTAGTTACTTCCATATAACTAAGTTTGACTGTAATATATTAATTCTTTATGTTGTTCATTCTTTGCAGACCATTGGAAACTTGAAGCGGTTGATGTTTCTAGATGCCTCTTCCAATCATTTACAGTCAATTCCTTCAGAGATAGAAGGCTGCAGCTCATTGGGTGATCTTCACCTGACAACCAATAGGATTCAGGCTCTTCCAGAATCTTTGGGTAATAAATACAGAGCAATTTGAATAGCAAAATATGATTAAGAGAGAATCAGATTCAAAACACATTAATGAAGAATTATTTAAAGAAAAACCTTGAATCTACTGTATTATTAACTTCTTAAAACTGATAATTTGTATGCAATAATCTTTTAAGGGTATTTTAATACATGTAGAAATTATATTGAATAATAACCAATGTGTTTTCATATACTAGATATCATAATATAAAATCTAGACTTAAATACACTGTGTATTACTTAATGGTATTAGAATTTACACATCTTTTTTCTGCTAAGAATTTTAAATTATCATCAAGAGTGTTATTTTGAAAACATCTAATTGTTTAAAATTGGAAAAAAATTGAACCACTTTTCAAACAAAAAAAATTTCAATAAAATTTAAAGTTGTGTAATTGCCTTTCACCGATTCTAATTACCTAAGATATGTGACACAGAGCCAGTGTTTAGTGCCGGTAATTAGGTATGAAATAAAATCAAGGTGTACAATTTAGGAATGCACTGTGTAGTCTTTTGAAAGCTCTGCTCATTGATATGATGTTAAAGGACTATACACAGACTTGAATTAATTTCTTGCCTTCTCTCGGTAATAATAATTGATTGGAATAATTGAATTATACAAGCTGGAAGTCTTTTGAGTTCTCTATATGTGTCCATCACTGTGATTTCTGGCTATTGTGTAATAGATTTGTAATTAGAGCTAGTCTAATATTCTTGTCAAGATATGGAATCTTAATTTTAAAATGATAGGCATATAAAGCTTTGTAAAGTCTAGACACGACCTGACATCTACATACAGCGGAGTAATGTAGGGCTATAGAGATAAGAGGAAAGGAAAAATTAATTTTACACACAATATTGATGTTCATGTAATGCACTCGATATGCAGCTGATAAATAGGAATTTTGTTATGCTCAGGTCAATCTTTGGAGAAGATTTAAAACTGCTCAAAAGGACTGGAAATTTATGTAAAAGTTAAATGGCCAAAAAATGCATTAAACCTAAATTAAGATGTTAACATTTGTGTAGTAAGAAAGCTGTTGTTAAGCTATGTTTGAAATGAAGTGATAACACTGGTACTGATAATAAAATATTGTTACTACTCACTGCACATTGAAATTGGTTCACAATTTCTGAAGCTAAGAAAAGATAAGTATGATAAATCCAATTTAATAACAGAAAATAAATTCTGGATTAATTTAACTAAATGGAATTTATACAATGAAGACCCCTCTAACTCTGGTTCTATTTTGATTCGTCTACCTGTAGATGTTGTAATCAGAACTTGATTCCGTTTAATGGTTTCATTAAATTATCAATAGCTGGCTGCTTTGATCAGGACCAGACTTTACTGCCTGTCATATTGAGCTTTACATGCTTAATCAAGGCCTTTAAATCTTGACTCAGGTGTGACGAGGAAATTTAAATGTACCTGGAATTTTTGTCGCTATTGGGAAGGACAAGTACCATAGTTGATCTAAAAAACAGCTCAGTCAAAAATGGCTGTTTGCTAAATTGATATATATGTAATTCAGCGAATCTTCTTTGATGGAGTTTTTGTGCAGCATCCATTGTTTGATATGCGTGTAATACCTATGATATGTATGTAATACCTATGATATGTATTTAATATCTATGATATTTATGTAATATCTATGATATATATGTATTACTTATGTATGTAATACCTATTTCCAGGTAACTTGGAAAGTCTGACCACCCTGAAAATTGACAACAACCAGTTGACCTCCTTACCGACCTCCATAGGAGGGTATGTGAATATTCACACCAATTTTTTAGCATCAATCATAAACGTGATGTTCAGTTGAATAGGGGTGAAACAATACACCTCCTTCCTGATACATATAGTACAATTTTGTCACATTACATTTATTCTAGATATGATACACCTTGATTGAAGGAAACAACTTTCAAGTTGTTTTATGTCTCGTTTCACTAAAAACAGATAATTAGCAAATTAAGAATTTAATAATTGATTATTAATGATTATTCTATAAATTATTATTCGTCAAGAGTCACATTCTTAAACATTCATAATTGATGTGTAGCATGTTTAATGAATGTCAAATCTGATTAAATAATGCCAGAATCAAAATATGAACCAAACTAAAAATGGAAGTTTTGTACTGTGTATCAAAATTCAATTAAAAAAAAAAAATGCCATGTTGAATCAATACCTTGGTGAACCGTTTCATTCCTTCAGTTTGAATAAACATTTATCATAAAAAAAATGTATATTTTCAAAATGTGAAGGAATTAAACTGAACAAATATATGGCATTCATTATGATTGAAAGTAGTTTTTGGTCAATTGTATCAAGGATTAGGTATTTAGATCAAACTATGTCCATCATTCATCTAAAGCATAATAATAATTATCCATAAACTGTATTAATAGAAATTTTCTATGAATAGTGGCTTTATAAGCCACCAATATATATGTTTGTAATGGAATCTCAAACATAAACTCAGTTTATGAGGTGAAGAAGCTTATGAATATACAGTTGCTGTCAGAACTCAATGTCAGCTATAATAACCTTCAGTTGTTTTGTGTACTTGATATAGACTACAGTCGCTGTCAGAACTCAATGTCAGCTGTAATAACCTGGAGGAACTTCCTGCCAGTCTGGGACTTCTCAGAAACCTACGCACCTTCTATGCTGACGAGAATGATTTACTGTTCATTCCTGCAGAGGTTTGTGTTCGAATACATCAGGGTGTAATTTGTTTCACAATACTTTGATGATACATTACTTGGTAAATTGTGATGATTAATGACTAATGAAGTGACAATTTTCTGTAGGTTGGGAGCTGTAATGGGATCACGGTCCTCTCTCTGCGGAGCAATCACCTGGAGTACATTCCCGATGAGATAGGACGAATCCCGAGGCTTCGTGTCCTGAACCTGAGTGATAATCGACTGAAGTATCTTCCCTTTACAATTACGAAACTGAAGGACCTCCAGGCCCTCTGGCTGGCAGAGAACCAGGTAAAATAGTCCACACTTAGTGAAGGAGGTTTTATAACCAGCAAAGAATACACCTTGAGATGATTTATGTATAAAATGATTTCATTCTGAAGTTTTGAATTTCTTTGAAGTAAATAAAATGAAGCTTTTAAACTGCTTGATTTTGGAATATTTGAGCAATACATATATTTGAACAATACATACATACATTTGAGCAATACATATACAGTTGAGGCATGTTAATCTAAACACTAGTGTTCACCAGCAAATCATCTAATAATGTAGCATCAGGATTACTTGAATTTTACCCTTTATAATTGGCAAATCTAAATTTAAATAAAATTCTGTTGTCCACAGAATTTTTTCCATAGGTTAAGTGTACAGATTATTGGTCTCTGCGTTACTGCAGCTTGACAGCTAGATTGAAATATTATTTTTGTGTGTATATAAGAGGGTACAATCCTGAATTCTGACATGTTCTATTTTTAGACCTGTCCTCTAATACCCCTACAGTCTGACCATGACCCAGATAATGGTAGGAAAATTCTGACGTGTTACCTCCTTCCTCAGTTAGGAGACGATGACAGACCTTGTGATTCAGGTAAGGAGGTCAGAGGTCAATTAAGGGAGATTACCCAATACTGCTCACTGAATGAAATTTTTTTCTGTAAAGTGGACAATTTTTCTAACAGGAGATGGAAATATAAGTGAAATAGAAGCAGATCTCTTAAACCATGTAGGGAAAAATTTGAAACAAATGATTGATTAAGATGAATATTTTAAAGAGAAAACAGCACTTAGCCGAATGTCAGACATTCTTAATATGATTTTTACCAGACATCGTTTTTGTATATTCATGCAATTCATAATATTCTTGAGTGCTACCAGATGTATGAACAAGTAACATTGTTTTGGAATGCTTTCAGGTCAGGGAGGTGATACAGACAGTTTCCACGCCTCGATGTGGGACGAGGAGAGAAGCAGAAGACAGACAATTCACTTTGCTTTTCCTGAAGAAGATGAGGAGGAGGTAGGCTTTGTAGCAGTAATGTTGATGTTTTAAACAAAAAAAAAAACAAAAAAAAAAAACGAAAACAAAACAACACAAACAAGGAGAAAAAATAATGCAAATTTAAAGTAGAAAAATTTCATTAGGAGTGAATGCAAGTTTTGAATATAAAACACATACCTATTCCTTAGCTTTAGTGTCATCAATTTGTGAAAGAACTTTTTCTCATTATGAGCTTTAATACTTTATTCAATAGTTAGAAATATCTGTCATAATTTATAAAGGCATGAGCTTGCATGTGATATATACTTGCTCATTGCATGCACTGCTGTCAAACTCTATGTTCAGTCTTGTATTACTAAATGTATATACCGTATTTGGCTGAATATAATACGCACTTTTTTCCCAAAATAATTTTCTGTGAGAAAGGGGTGCGTATTTTACACCACAATGGGATTTTGATAGGTTTTTCTTTCATGTGAAACACGGCTATCATATGCACATACCGTAGTACTACCTAGAGACTTGTGCAATTTCTTGCTGTTTATCGCCGTATTTAAAACTTCGGAAAGTTATTGTTGGAATGTAGACTTGTTAAAAATGTTATATTTATAACCTTTTGATAGTTGAATTAAATTTAAAAGCAAGTTAAAATTAAATTTGAGCTGCATGTTCATCGTCTCCGTGTAGGCCGCCATTAACGATGTTATTTATAGATGTTCACACATTCCTTTGCCACGTGCTTCCGTAATCATAGTACACATGTACCTAATCAGTCAGACACTCGGTCAAAAAAGTAATAAGTCATTTTTTAATGAAATACAATAAAATAAAATTTTATTTAAGGTTTTAAATAACTCTGTGAAAATTCATTTCAACATAAACACCCCTCTATACGTCCCAATGAATGGAAGCCAATGTTGTGAACACGTGCGCTTGTCACTTGATAATTACCCCTGAACACCCCTCCAGGCAATATAATTGTTTACCGACTCCAAAGCAAGTTAGAGCACTGATTATTTACTGCCCTTATTAATGGCTTTGATTATTTTCTTTGTTAAAAATCGGGGGTTGGTTTATGATCTTTCGTATGTATAAAAGTGTGTTGATTACGACACATTAAACAGTTAAAAGCTTGTTAAATGTAATTTTACTTTATCATATATCGGCCTTGTGTTAAAATGGTTGAGAGTTAAAAAAGGAAATATGAAGTATGTTGAAACTTAAGTTTATCATTTACTCGTGCTCTGTAGAAAATAAGATATCCACGAAGATTACCTCGATGTATGAAGACATATATCCCGTCTTTGTACATCATTTTTCACAGCTTTGGAGGTGTGTTGATAACTAAACTTTATACGCTTGTTAAATTTTGATTTGATTTTTATAACTTCAGCTATTTATTTAATTAATTAATTTTAAGTTCAAAAGAGGAAAATCGTAGTCTATGAATACTTTGATGTTGCAATATCACTTGCCCTGTTAAATTTACATAATTTTCAACATGATTACCTTAAACTTAAAATCAATATGACAACTGTTAAACTTGCAACAATATCTCGTGCTTTGTTGAAATAAAATTATTTCCACAAGGAATAGTTAGAATACGGCGACGTATAATTTCAATATCACCGTTTGCTAAAAAAAAAAAATTAATAATAAACTCTGTTAATACTTTAATGCAACAAGATCTTGTGCTTTGTTAAAATAAATAATTTTCTCCAGATTGCCGCGATATGGAAAGTCAAGATTAAAAAATAAAAACGCATTTGAATAAAATATCGTGTTCTGTAAATTTTCGGCACTTTATCTCCGCGCCGATTTTCATAGCAAATTACCGCGATTTTCAAAAGTTCAGAACACCGCTTGGTAAAATTTTCTGCTGCGTATAATACAACCGAACTGCGTTTTTTCCCCCAGTTTCAGGCTCAAAAAGGGGGGTGCGTATTTTACACCAATGCGTATTATATTTGGCCAAATACGGTACACATTATATCTCTAGTATATAGACATTCAATATTTAGTATCATATATGTTGAATTATTCAGCATTTGAAAAAAAAGGTTGAATATGTTTAGTCATATTTTGACCACATACTTGTATAACTGTATGAATTGAGTACTGAAATTGTACATGGGATGATGCATAAGTTCATGCCAAACATTAACAAAGTTGGAGAAGGTTGTAACCTATGTACATGAATTATTTATATATTGGCATGTATTCTCAAAAACTAACAAATGTTTTACTAATTTACACACTCTAAATCCTTTGCAAAAACTGCTTAAATTTACATCTGGGAAAAAAATTCTTAAAAAATACCGAATCACAAATTTTCTGCCTGTCAGATGCACCAAATAACATTTGTACAGAAAAGACATAGCCAGACAATTCAAGCATTCTCAGTAGGTGCCCCCCTGTATCATTACACTGACCCCCCAAGTCCTTTGTAGGGTACTCTGGTTAGGTGTCCAACCCCATACCCCAAAGATATGAGGGAAAAAATTCGACATGCTCGTAACATGGCCATGAGACAGAAGCTGAGTGGGGGACCAGCCGACGTAAGATGGAATGGGGGTAGAGACAACAAAGGATATGAGGAGGAGGTAAGGTCAAAGTTCAGTGGGTAAGGTTAAAGTTTATTGATTTTGTGATGGATTGAGGCAGCAAAAACAAAGAATAGAGGAAGGTCAGGTCATATTTCACTGAGTAAGGTCAAAGTTCAATGGTTTTTGATGAATTGAGGTGGCAAAAACAAAAGAAGTAGGTAAGGTTAAAGTTCATTAACTGGAGATGGATACAAACTAGTGATGGAAGTCGGTAAGAATTTCATGATCCAAGATTGGTTTTGTGTAACTTACTAATTCTCTGATTATAATTGGAAAACAAAAAAAATTCACTACCATTTAAAAGGAGAATAAATCAAAATAAAACAATTTTTTCTAAGCAGAAAGTTTGTTTTCTTTCTTGTTACTGACATCAAATGTGACATTTGAAGTGTCCTTGTATACACTTTTATCCTTGATAAGTATACATATAAAACGAAAAAGTAAATGTTCATTGTATTAGCTAAGTTGTGGCTGGAATTTTTGCATTCCAAAAATAAGGCTCATTGATAAAAATAGCACAACAGATTAATTGAAATAAAATTTTCATAATCCAATGCTTCATACATGTGATAAGTCAAAGACCACAAAACTGTACAGGAGCCATAAAAAAACTGGAATTTGGGTGAAAAAACTGTACACTGCCTATCAAAAAACGGTACAAAAAAATGGTATAAAATATCGCTTAAATTCTTCTGAAATTCCATCGTAATCATTATAATAAACATCGTATATTTTATACCTACGAAGATCTGGGTCAGATTCACGTATATTAAGACTAAAGTCATGTATATCAACTTTAGAAGTTGGCTTAATTTTTTTCAATCAAGTTACGTATACGAAACATTAACAGTAATTAAGTACCCCTTAAAAAATAAAGCTACCTAAAGGGGTATTTGATACGGATTTATAGCAAGATAATTATCCCAATTGGCAGTTCACACCTTCCCACGCGATGGTTTGTGTACACTACACAATTATCAGAAGGTCAAGTGTCAAAAACAGGTGACGTTTTCCAGTGTCTCGCGAGCGAGAATGAGAGGAAAATGGAGGCATTTAGCGAGAAATTCAAAATACTGTACAAATTTTCATATTCCGTGAATTTTGGTGTCCCGCCGGTACACGATGAATGGGCTCAAAAAACTGTACATTTTTTGTACAGCCTGTACATATCACATGTATGATGCTTGGAATATACCAAGAGTTGACTGATTTTTGATTATAATTGATGATTGGAACAATTCTAATACAAAAGGAGATGAGAAAGTGAGGTCACCAGTGTTCAGTGTTCATCAATGTCTGAATATGGTCCAGGGATATCAGCCCAATAGAATGTGGTGTATGAGGAGAAAAAAAATAATACTCAATAATATGAAAGACAAATAACAAGGCATATAATGCAGGAGATGTGAAGGTAAGGTTAAAGGTCACTGATGTACAGTTCTACAGGGTATTACAAAGGTTATCAGGAGAGGTAAGGTCAAAAGGTCAAAGGGAAAAGAAACTGAATGGGATCTGTTTGTTGAACAATGAAAAAAATTAAACAATGGCACACAAACCTTCAATAAAAGTACAGAGTAAATAGGAACAGTTTGTATTAACATGTTTTCACTGATGTTCACATTTACTGATTCTGTCACTGCACAGTGTTTATAGGCTAGTAAAACGTGTAAACTACAGAGTACATGTACTACTGTGTGTTCCTTTGTTCACTAGATACTCAAAGGAAATACATTTCTCTAGTTCTCCGTTTTCATCCCTTATGTTACTAATTGTAATTTTCCTGTAGATAGAATCATTGGAAGAGAATTTTCTAACATAGCATATTCTTTATTGAATGTTTTTAATATGAAGTTGATGAGTGCATGTTGTAAAAAAATGTTCTTTAGTAAGTGTAAACCTACTTCAGAATTCTACACCTGGTTTTATACACTGATTTATGTGCACATAATGTGACTTTGGCACTTGATTTGTATCTTGAATTCTGCACTTTAACATTGAATGGGCACTTAGTATGGAAGAGAAGACAGATTTGCATTGCTTTAGTATTTTACAACATACGCACATTGCATGCTGAAACTCCGATGATAAAGTAGTTAACAATTAAGACATTAAATATAAAAAAATTATTTGTAACCATGGTAACTGTGTGTTTTCATGGTAACAGTGTGTGTAGCTATGGTAACACTTCCTAACAATTTTACAGACCACTGCATTGGTTTATGATAACCATGGTGATGGTGACCTGAATCGACATCCCCGCCCAGCATCACCGATTGATGCCCATCGACTCTATCAGTGTGACAAGGTACAGGGCTTGTTACCACTATCACTGCAGGAAATATTAGGCACTCTAATTGTACTTATATGGTATATGTGCTGCACTAATGTTTACAGAAAATGATTCAGTTGCCTTGTAGAATGATAATTAGACACATGTGATCATTTGAGTTAGGAGTTTTAAAATAGTTCATAATACAAAGGTAGTAACTTATAGAGGTGTAGACTGTTCTTACTAGTTATATTGACAGCGTGTATGAATAGCTGGAGGTCTTTAGATTAAAAAAAAATAAAGCACACAAAGAAAAATCGTTTATTCAGAAGGTTGCATTCCTAAACACAATTTATATGACTGATTGATTGGAGAACTTTTTTGATTTTCTAGGAAAAGCTAGCAAAAGACAAAGCCAGACTTCAGCGCCACCACTCAGATCAAGAATCTGAAAGAGAGGCTACTAGGTCAAGGTCACCTATAGGGGAGGTAGCCACAGCCTACAAACCGCAGCCTGCACCCAGAAAAGGTTTGTTAAATCAGCAAGTCATACGTCTAGAGGAGAATTCTAAGCCAAAAAATTAACACTATTAAAATGCATGTGAAGTTTTGAATCTTTCTTGTTGAATTAAAATGAAGTGCATTTTGATATGTGACTTAGCTGTAGAAAAATTGCTTTTTACATGGGGAGTATGTTATATTCATAGAAACTTGCTATTATGTGATTTTTATCATGTCATCATGAAGTACAGACACTAACAATGATATTGAAGGTTACACAAGCAAAGAGAAGAACAAGAGAAGCCAGCAGGATGACGGAGGATTTTCGGAGAAGGGACCCATGACTTGTATGGGGTCTAACACTGATATTTCTACTATGAAGGATCTCTCAGCACCGAACACTCCGGTGTCAAAGCGGACCCCTGCCTTCTCTTACTGCTCCCCATCAGAACTCTCTAGTAGACTCTCACAGTTTAGTGACCCCCGGAGTCCAAATGGATACTCCTCCTATAGTGCCAGTCCCTCAGGAAAATCTCACCGCACTAGAGATTATGATTCTGATACCGGATATCGAAGTGAATCCGAGTTTGTAAGACTACAAAGACAACAAATGTACAATCAGCAGGGCTTTGTGAGGGGAGGGTATGAAAGTGATAGGGATGGTTTAACACCGCGGAAAGAACGCCAGCGAGAGGTGGGGTACTCTAGTGATGTGGAGGGATATTCAGGGAGGGTTAAAATGGCTTCATATCATTCAGGACCCACACCCTTACAGCAGCAAAACTCAGGTAGTGTTCAGTACCAAAGGAATCAAAGTAAGCCCTCCCCAATTTACAGTTCTACTAATCAGAACTGGACTTCCCAAAAGGTGCAGGGTGTAAGTAATTCTGCACCTAGTGACAAAATGTCTGACCCTAGTGCTAGGTCTCTGGAAACCTCAGGGTTCAGTGACAGCGGGTACAATCCCCCCTCCCCTATGTTCCATCACAGTAAGATTGTGGACCAGAGTACACCGGTCACTAGTGAGGCTCCCCATGGGTTTCGGTTCACTGGCCGGTCACGGTCGGGCAGTGACAGTGGGAGTGCCAGCCAGGAGGAGCAAGGCAAGGATTGGAGGAAAGATTTCTATGCAGTGATGGAGCAGAAAATGAACAGCTCTCAAACACACCTGAATCAACAGGTCAGAAATATCTAACTGATAATAATAAGTCTTCATAATACTGCAATTCCTGTTGCACTGTTACTCCTGGATACTTGTAAGATTTTTATCACGACGGTTTTTATGCAAATTCCGTAACAGCAATTATTATTCAAAGAGTTAAGCTGTTAAAATTTTAAAATGCGTAAATGTTCCTGTATATTGTTGATAAACGAGTTTATTTTCAGGATATTTAGAAATTATAAGTATGTGTTTCATATTTGCTGTTAATTTGTTGAATATTATTTTTGTACAACAGGTAAATGAGACAGCATCCAAGGATCAGTCACATCAGAACAAAGCCTCACCCACTTATACCTCAGTGTCACACAGAAAGCTTCCCCCCACCCCAAACAGAAACTCCCCCTATGGTGTGATGAATTATGACAGGAGGAATGCAAACTCTCCTTCCATGTACCAGCGCATATCTGAACTCGCTATCACTGAAAATGTGGTTCAAAACCATCGGTCAGAATCACCCTATCAAAGACTTCCACTATCTCGTCAAAGTCCGAATCAACAGTTGTACAGACAGAGTGAGACTTTATACAGACAGGAAGTGAGTAGTAGTCCACATCAGAAGACGTACAGACAAAGTGATACTCTGTATACACAGGAAATGACGCGTCAGAGTCCAAGTCAAAAGATTTACCAAAAAAGTGAGACTTTGTACACTCAGGAAGTGACTCAGATCCCAAACTCTAGCGGGGAGGGCTCGATGAGTGTTCCCCCCTCTCACCCTCTAGTCCCCAGTAGTGCTAACTCAGTGTATCCCCACGATCATGATTCCTCACAGTCCTCAGGATTCAGTAGTGACACTTCCAAATCAAGACCTTATAACCCCCTACCTCCCAAACTACCCCAAGTATCTAGTGACCGACCTCAAGGTGAAAGGTCAAGGACACCTGTGTTTGTTAACTGTGAGGAGGAGAGGGGGGATTCCCCACGGGAGTCTGGATACAGTAGTCGTGAACACAGCAGCCACAGGAATTCCCCTTGTGACACAATCTTCCCCCAGGGACAGTACACGGAGCAGGGAGAGGATTATAAAAATCCCGGATCCTCATGTGAAGACATTGCTTCCTACAAACACAACCTACAGATGTCTCAGGCTCGAGTGCCCCGGCTCGTGGAGAACAGTCCACGTGTATACAAGGACATGTCCACCAAATACTCAGGTGAGATGAAGCACAATGATGGGTTTCATTATTTTTGTAATTTGCTGTGCCACAGAGTCATTTTTCTGCTAGTATGTTCAAAGAAAGTGATATTTTTTAAAGTTTAAATTGAAGGCACAGAATTGTTTTGTCAGAAGTTCCTATAATTATATACATGTATATGCCTGTAAAAACACTTGTTACATATTTCAGGATTCACTATGCCCCCTCCCAGTAGACCCCCACCCTCTCCATACAGCAGTCAGCTTCCAGTCTCCTCTGATCATTATCCCCATAATTCAATTCATCAGTCCCATAATTCCACACCATATCACCAAGGCAACCATTCTATGGCAAGGGAGACAACTTCAGATCATCCTCCACAGTTACAGCAAGGACCACCTCTACATCAGGTAAGAAGACTGGGATTTGTCACAGCATGTCTAGGAAAGATTAGGAAATCAGTAACTAGAGGACGTAGAAGGAAAATCTGAACTAACAGTTGAACTAATATATTTTTTGAAGAAAAGTGTATTTATTGATTGGATTACTGTGAAATTAATTGGCACTAAATGTCTTTTAGGCAAGGTTATTTATAACTTTGTGTCTTAGAGACTAAGGAAGCTTGTTCCTGTAACTGAATTGGCAGAGAGTTTGTCATAATCTGAAACTAATAATATTTGAACAAGATTATGAACACTTGCGGAATTCATTATAATAATAATAAAAGAAGTGGGGAAGAATAATGAGTCGCTGCATTTCATTTCCGGAATTACACTCAGCATTCCTGATGTTTGTTATGTTCTATTTCCAACATCTATTTTTGACATTTAAAAACATTTTTTGGTACTTTTCGTGGCATTATAATGTATCTAGGTAGGTTACAATACCATTTGTAACAGGATATCAATATTAAACAGTTGAACTCTGGTATCCCGAATGCTGATATCTCAAATACCATGGATGTGTTGAGATGAAATCAAAGTCCCAACCACATATTCTTTAAGTATTTAACCCTGGATATCTTAAATACTCTAATAGCTTGAAGTTTTTTCTCAGTCCTTGAAAGTTTGAGATAACAAGGTTTGAATGTATTTATTCCAAGTATAAAAAGTGCAATTCATACATGTATGTATAAAGAGCACTGTCTAGTTAAAAATTTTGCTTGATTTATCTAACGTAGACTTTGCTTGAATTATCAATGTCAGAAATAAAACTGAGAAAAGTAGATTATTTTTAAAAATTCCGAAAATGAAATGCAGCTGAATGAGTCCATTTATCAATATTTTATTTGCTGTGATTATGTGGATAAAATGAGCAGAAAAAAACTTACATGTATTGTAGAAATTTACATTGATAGCCTTTTAAATCTGAGATTATTTTATCTTTTTAAGAATACTGACTTCACAGTGAGTTTTTAAATAATCCTTAAGTTTTAAAAAGATTAACTTTAGCATGTAACATTCCTCCATAATTTTGTAATGTCTAAAGAATTACAGCTAATCATTAACTGTTAGGTGACAATAACATGAGAGAAATCACTTAATACAGTGATAATTAACCTTAGGTTTATGTTAACCATGGTTACTAACCTCGTTTTGTTTTATTTAACCAGGAGAGAAGTGTGTCACACCAGATTTCCTCAGTAAATCATCGTCATAGTAACCACTATTACTCGGGTGACAATGTGAGTCCTACCCGAGAAAAGTAATTATATTTTGCTTGTTTTGCTTCAGTAGTTCAGTAGATCAGCTCTTATAGCCTTAGTTGTAGTGTAGTGTCTATATATCTTCATAGTGATACTATAAAGACCTACACAGCATCTTTATATATTCTACTGTGTGTTACTATAAAGACCTACACAGCATCTTTATATATTCTACTGTGTGATACTATAAAGACCTACACAGCATCTTTATATATTCTACTGTGTGATACTATAAAGACCTACACAGCATCTTTATATATTCTACTGTGTGATACTATAAAGACCTACACAGCATCTTTATATATTCTACTGTGTGATACTATAAAGACTTACACAGCATCTCTATATATTCTACTGTGTGATACTATAAAGACCTACACAGCATCTCTATATATTCTACTGTGTGATACTATAAAGACCTACACAGCATCTTTATATATTCTACTGTGGGATACTTAACACAGTATCCAGTGTGTGGCATCTTTATATACATTTATTCTACTATATTTGTAATACATGTACTACTATCTCCTACAAAGTACTCAAGATGCTAGTGTTACCTTTATTTAAGGAAAAAGAAGAAAGGATGCTATGCAATTTCTGTAAAATCACATTTCTCATGTTGTCAGATTTTGAGTTGAAGAATATAAGCTGACTTTATGGAGATGATTTCATGATGGAAGAAATGTAAAATTGTTTTGCATATTTTATATAAATTTTTGGAGGACCTACATTTCAGGATCTCTTCATACCACAAAAATACCCTTCCCTCCCTTTCCATAAAAAAAATAAAACAAAATAGCGATTTCACAGAAGTCAGCATGTGATTCATGTTATTGCTTCGTATTCAGTTAAGATTTTTTTTAATCTCTCCTGCAAGTTAAAACTTATGTATTACCCTGTTGTAGAAATGCTGTTGGTTTTCTTTTCTTTATTCCACTGTTTTATCATTTATTTTCACTCCAGTAACAAATTTTTCATCTCTGTACAAATTGTATATAAATTTTGTATACTTTTTAAGTTTCATGTTTATCATTATCCCCTTGCAACAAATATTGAGGGGACATAGTAATGCACTTGAAGGGGGGGAATGGAGTGAGTGTGTGCATGATGGAAGTTACACAAGTAATAATTTATATCGAGATCAATGTGCTCTTTTGCAGGGGATGCTCTGCTTTGTGGTACCCTTGTTTAAAGTTTGATTTGATCATTATTTTAATTCATACATGTTTGAGTAATTAATATTACACACAAAAATAATCGAACTGATTTGATAAAACTCGCACAAGATAATTCTGTTGGTATCATTGAGTCTCTTGACTGAGGTTAGGATTGCCTTATTACTGTAATAACAGTTTACTGTAATAACTGTTATGTAATTTTCTTTGAATTCCAGGGTGTATCTATGACAGCAGGGAATATCCAGCCAACATACACCATACCAAAAGGGGGATCTGTTCCTCAGGTGAGCCAACCACAAGTAGTGAAATATACTAAGGATAAGTAGAAGTAGTGAAATATACTAAGGATAAGTAGAGGTAGATAGATTGTAGTACAACATGTATAGCAATGGAACACTCACTGTGTATATACAGCTGAAGTATTCAAAGTTGCATAGACCTTCTGGAAGATATTAATTTTGAAAAATGAATGTTAAGTTGGAAAAGTTTTCTATTTAATTACCTTTAAGTTAAATAATTGTAGAGAATATCCCTAAGGAAACAAAACAGTCCATACATGATCGTTAAACACAAGCTGATTAAATTCTTATATACTTAGTACTACTAATATATTAATACAATATCAGAGATTGATTCTGGTGTACTGTTGTGAATTTCAGTTGGATAACAATTTTGAAAATCGGTATTTTCTCCCACTGCGTAAGAGTAGCACTGAAGTCATGGAAACAATTCTGTAATTTTATTTTGGTTCTTTTCATCTTCTGAATGCATTTTTGTGACTTTTTTGGATTTTTAGCTTTTTTTGTGAAGTAATAACTGCACACAAATTTCCAGCTAATTAACTTTGGAGAAAGAGGAAGTGCTTAGCTGCATTAAGGTCAAGTTCCCTGAAGTGTGTCTTGTATAAGTTTAATGTTTGCCAGAGTTGTCTTGTTTTCTAATCCAACTTGTGATCATCTAATATTTTTTTTTCTTTTCCTTTGTTGTATTTTGCACTTTACTATTTTGAATTTCGTTTTGTTCACACTGAACATGTTTACAATTAACAAATACCATGATTTTGATCATGTGTTTGTTCTTATTTACTAGGTAAAAAGCCAGAACTTCACTGCAGTGAATCCTGTGGAACCAAATCTACAGACTCCATGCATCCTGGGAACAATCTGACATGGTTCACTGAATCATAAGGTCTAACCTTTAACCTTTTCACACAGAGAGATGTAAAAGTAATTCCAGCTTTTCCACACTGTAAGGCTATCTGACTGTAAGACCGTCTCTGTATACTGACAAGGCTGTTTCTACTGTTACAGTCTTTGGACCACAACCAATAGATTTATTGTAAAATTCACACAGAGACGTGTTTTCCCCATTGAATAGAACTGTTGGGGATTTTATATAATATTTTGTCTTGTTAAGATTTTGTTGAAGCTCAAAGCAATTTTTGAATTGTCTTTTGATCAATTTTATATTTGAATACCCTTGTACTGATTATTAGATCCTATACACTTGATGAAATGCAGAACATTCTATAATATCTATGATCTGACTCTCCTCTAAGCATTAATATTTTCAATGAATCTCCTTTTGTATGCTGAACAGTCAGTTTGTGCCTCGATCTGGTGACTCCATGGTATCCTGTGATATTTATAAAATCTAATAATACCGTCCAATCATATTTGTTGACAATAACACCATAATCATGCTTGTATTTTATTGTCTTAGGAAAATCGCATGTATTTATGTATCAGTTATTTCATGACATTGCCTCCTATGTTAAATAAGGAATGTTCTTCACCATTTGTTTGGTAACCTGTAAAAATTTTGAAACTTTTCAATATTTTGTTGGTAGAATGACCATATTTCTGCAAAATAATTGAGGTTTCTAAATTTTTTTTCTTAGAAAACTTTGTGTGTATATTATTCTCATGTACATTGAGGCTTTAATTTGTTCTGAGAAGATCTAGATATAATGCACATTTGAAAAATAATTCCCTATTTTAAATGGCAACAGCAACAAAAATTTGGATATTAACTGAAGGTGCTTTTCCCATTTCCATCATCCCTTAGTAATCATTTTTCTGGATTTTCAGTCTTCCAAATTTCAGTGTCATTTTTTTATTCCTCTATCAATTTTTAAAAAAAATATATTATGACATTGTCATATTTATTGTAAATACAAATATAAGCATATAAGTCATTTAAAATGAATAACTTTACTTGGACAGAACATAGGATTTCTGTTTTGATAAAAAATAGCTTTATGGTGGGATTTAAAGAAAAATTTATCAATTTGTGCATTATTTTCATTTATGTTTAATTGATTTCATTGATAATAAGTACTACTCAAAGGCAGCATCCTGTATAGTACACAGGTGATGTAGATCTGAAATCCATTGTGTAAATATTTATATACATGTATATTTCATCTTTGTAGTTTGTTATTTATTAAAATATTTATTAAAAAACAACATTAAGATATGATATGTACATTCAGAAACAAGAAACACTGATATATTTTACAATAAATTTATGAAACAGAAAACTTTTTTTTTTTACTTTAAATCTGTTCTCTCCCATCTGACATAATTTTCTGTGACGGTGAGTGAGTGTCATGTTATTATATTGTAGTAAATACCAGTATTTTTATTAAAAAAAAAAAGGGGGGGGGTTACTCCATTCATAGTTATCAACATGAGAAAAAATTATGTAATTGACCTTCATCCATGGAATTTGTGTAGATCACATGACATATTTAGATAAGAGTAACATCTAAAGGGAAGTCACATACGTTATGTTCTAAAACACAAATTTTAAATTTGGGGGAAAATGAGATGCACACTGAATGGTGAGAATTCAGAAATAGATAATTCTATTGAGAGCGTTTACAGTCATGTATTTGTGAAAAGAATATTTGATGGAATGCAATATCGGGTTACCGGAGACCTAACTTACATTGCTATTTATGTCTCTGTCAGGTAGCACGTATTAGAATAAATCTGTGGAGAAATTTTTTTTGGAAGGAGTTATAACGCCTTTCGAAAAGGTAATAACGAAAAAACAAAGGCGTTATTGCTGCTTTTCGAAAAGGCGTAATTACGCCTTTTAAATAGCCATTATTATGTCTTTGACGGGCCCGTACTTTTAAAAAAAAAGGGGGTGGGGGGGGGGGCTCCCAAAAAATTGACAAGCAAACATGAAACACACCCCTTTCGGAAAAAAACCTCAATCGCCTAAACTTGAAAATGCAATAATTTACCAGAGTTTAACGATACTGCAACAAGCGTCAGTCTGTCTGTATAGGTGGCACTAGGATCGCCCATTAAAATAAAAATGCTATTTTAGGGAAACTAACGCGATACAGTGGAACCCGCGATATAATGAGAAGGGAGTGTATATCATTTTTATAAGGTTTAATATATTGAATTTTAGATTAAAAATAGCACTCATTAATTTTCGTTAAAGGTTAATATTTTGTTAAACTGTTCTCAAAACTTTTCAAATGCCCCACGTAGAATTTACGAAATGCAGACTGTAAACGAGGTTGTTGAAATCCCAGTAATATCAACTTATCTGTCAGTAGCCTATCTCGGTTTAAAAATTGATCGTACTCGGAGCATACTCTTGAGTATCGAATAAGTTGGGAGACATTAACATCATATGCAGGATAAAACAGAATATTGCTACAAAAATATGGAAAGTTGACGACGGAAAAGTTGAAGTTAACTCGCATGTCATACAATTTATTTTTAAGTTGACCCGCGTCTATAGGGCTTAAAACATGAGAGTACTTTACAACAGTATATTCCAGAAGTGGTGTAAATCTGCTGACTGAATACTGATTGTTAGACCATTATCTAGACACTGAAATTTCTACCGATTTTTCTCGTTACCCGACCGTGACATGGAGTACACGGCGGGTATGACCGGTAGACAGGGATTGCTTACTCCTCCACGGCACCTGATCCCGCCTCTGATGTTTTATGGAGGCCTGTGTTTGCTCTGCTCCCGATTTGTATTGTTTAAATGGACTATGAGCGTGAATATTGTTCTTTATCTTCATATTTCATGAATGGAACAAACTATTCTTAATTGATTAATCGTCGTCGATATACATTATGTGAATGTCGAGTTGAAGGCCACGCCGAGTGTTTCCTTCTTCTCGTAGAAGTTTTTGAATAAATTCGCTTCATAGGAATATAAAAACAAGTCGGCTAACAAAGGAGCACCATCGAAATTCCAACAGTTTGTTGGAAGACCTGGGGCGCGTTTCACAAAACTATCTTAAGATTTGTCCTAAGACAGATCTTAAGACAATCTTAAGATCTGACTTACGACAATCATAAGATCTGTCACTGCTGTTTCACAAAACTATCTCTTAAGACAAGTCTTAAGATATATCTCATGCTACAATTTTATAGGAAATTGTATAAAAATTAAAATAAAAATATTCTTGCTCGATGTTAAGTTTTCTTCCAATCAAATCACTGCTATGTTATTTTTTTTTCTTAATTTTGTTTTTTAAAAAGTGTATCTTAAATATTGTAAAGGAGTTAAACGCTCGAAAATAAAATTTCAATGTACCAAATACATGTACAATGTTCAAATTTTTGGTGGGGCGGGGGTTGTAGGAGCAGAGTCAATAATGCTAATTGTGCCATGATTATGTATGAATTAATTCGAATGAGAAAATTGTGTGACAAAAAGTATTGAAAAAATGCGTATGTTTGTTGATAAAATAAAAGTTAATTATGTTTAATTTGAATTGTTAAATATTTCATATGAATTTACTTTAAATTTGATCCACCACCCCATTTGCGCTTGTATACACGAAATGAATGGTATTCGAATGCATTCATCTGTGGCCACAAAACGGGTACGAAGTCCGTGCGCTCAGAAAAAATTCTAGTAAGAAAATGTCTCTGAAAAGATGCCCAAATTTTAGCTCTGCTGAGATAACTGTGTTAACAGATGAAGTGGAGAAAGGAAAAGACATTCTATTTTCCAGGCAAAATTCAACAGTTTCCAATTCTTTGAAGAAGGAAACATGGAACAAAATAGCCACCAAGGTAAATGCTGTAAATACTACAGATCACATCAGGTCCGGAGAAGAAATGAAAAAGAAGTGGACCTGCTTAAGCAGCGAAAGCAGAAAGAAGTTGGCACTAAACAGGAGGGAGCAAAAAAAGACAGGGGGAGGATCCTTGCCATCAGGGGCCGCCTTCAGACCAATAGATGAGAAAATAGAAGGTATCATCGGGGAAACCTCAATTTCGGGAATTGAGGGGGGCATTGACGTTTTAGAGACAGAGTCGGCCAGGGAAACGTCACCAAGCAAGAGCACAGATGCTGTAAATGGTAGGTTTAAGGGTGATACTCATTAGACTTCCCGGTGAAAGGGGGGTGTTCCTAAAACTACTTGGTCTATTTCACCAATCCTGTAAATAGTGAATAATAAATAGCACTGAAGTGAGATGTCTTACAAAGGTACGAGAGGATACATAGTGTTTGATTTTTTTTTTCTACAGAGGTGGGTATGCTCTACACTATAAGGAAAGTCGTATGCAACTTTGAGTGATAATTTTTTGTCTGATATTTTGTAGTTTTATGAATTCTTCATACAATTATTTAGCATAATGAGAAAACAAATATCTCATTTATTCACCATTTTATAATACTCCATGTAAATTTTGAAATTGAGATAAAATAACAAAATTAATGTTTTAATATATTTTACGAAAAAAAAGTTTCGCGATTTTGTTTACATGAATTTCGTATTTCTGGTTGTAAAATATGAATTTTGATTACAGGAAAAAGACTTCCCGATGTACATGTACAGCCAGCAAAGAAACGCTCAAAGAATTCTTGTAATGATGACATAACATTGAGACTAGTTGCAACAGAGGAAGAGAGGCTGGTTGTTGAGAAAAAAAGATTAGAAATGGAGGAAAAACGACTGAAAGTTGAAGAACGGCGACTTGAAATTGCAGAGCAGCAACTACAAATACAACGTGAACAACATGCTCTTCACCTATGTCAGCTGGGGATAGTTCGTGACGCTACAGTAACAGTCAACACCCCCTCTGAAAATAAATAAAAAACCTGTAGAAATGTGTTCAATTTACTATATGTTATTTATTTTTGTGCTCATTACAATCACAACAATCTTGATACAGAACAAATTCACAATCGCTATGGGTGATGTTCAAAAATTGTTCCATCAAAATTTGGTGATAAAAATTATTTGATAGAGGGTATAATTAATAACAATTATTGTATGTAAGCAGCTGCTGCATAATAGAATTTTAATTTTGAAAGTTGTGGGTCAAGGGACCAACCTTGTAGATGGATTTTACTTTTGTTCTCGATAACTTGAACACTTTATTATTTACTATGAGCATTGGAAAATTGGACATCAAACGCTTTTTATAAAAGTTACCAATATTTTATAAAAACCAAATCACTTTCTATCACTCCTCCCCATTTCACAAACAGTTGGATAATATACAGATAAACAAAATATTTCTAATAAATATTAATGTGTATTTGGTTCCGAATCCATGCTTACTAAATACATAAAATGAAAACGGCACCATATTTCATGAATGCACAGTTTTTTTTTGTGGTGCCACCTGAAAATCTAGAGAGAATCAATCTTTGGCGGATCTCGGCTCCGTCATTATTGGGTCCTTGATAGACGTAGATATCTGGTGGATTAAGTTGATATGCCCCAGGATTTTGTGCTTGTGGCACCGGAACATTGTGATCAGTGCACAAGTTGTGCAGAACAACACAGGCAGTCACAATTCTACATGCTCTTGTTGGATGAAACAGAAGCGTTCCACCAGAATGATCAATGCAGCGAAAGCGCATTTTAAGCACTCCGAAGCTTCTTTCAATAGGGTTTCTCGTCTTAGCATGCGCATCGTTGTAAGCTAATTCACGGGGATTGCTTGGGTTAAGGACTGGTGTCTTCAGATAATTTTTCAGAGGGTATGCACTGTCCCCAAGCAACCAACCTCTTATAATATATCCATTTTCAAAAAGATCACTAAGTGTTGAATTTGTCCACACAAAAGAATCGTGTGATGAACCAGGCCACTTGGCAACTATGTTAGTAAATTTTGTCCTGGAATCACAAACTGCCATTACATTTATAGAATGAAAATTTTTTCTGTTAACAAACAGATGCTCGTCATTTTTCGGGGCTTTAATTGGAATATGAGTTCCATCTATCGCTCCAATGACGTTAGGAAAATTTGCCATGCGAGAAAAGCCAAGTATGGTGTTATTAATACTTCTATCGTCTTGTGGAAATTTTATATAATGGGAACTCAAAGTTACTAGAGCTGATGATACAGCATTTACTACTCTTGAAACACTAGCTTTGCTTATGCCATGAAGATCATCAGTGACAGTTTGAAAGTTCCCACTGGCATAAAACCTGAGTGCCACCATGATTTGCAGTGGTGGAGGAAGAGCATGAGACCTCCTAGTATCACGCGCTAGATGAGCATTAAGCTCTACACATAAACTCAAAATTAAATGGCGTGGAAGGCGGAACTTATCAATGATATCTGCATCAGTCATATAGTCCAATGGGTTGTTCCTATCTCTAAATACTCGTTCTCTTCTTAAGTTCCTTCTGTTTTGAGCCAAAATATAGGCGGCCGCCATGTTCACTTTAGTCTTAAGACATGTATCTGGTTGTCTTAAGATTAAGATAGATCTTAAGATTATCATAAGATATGACAGTTTTGTGAAACAGCTACGGTACAATCTTACGATAATTTTCGGTCTTAAAACAGATCTTAGTCATAAGATAGTTTTGTGAAACGGGCCCCTGATCTCCGAAGACATATTAAATATTGTCAATAACGATAATATCAACTTCATAGTACTTGTGTAAATGGGGAATGAGTGATTTTGTTTTTTTAGAAAAGTTATTTTGTTGATGACCAATCGCAAGTTTCGAATATTTTCATTTTATTGAAGAAGCAGTTGTCTGTGATATCAAAAAGCCTAGTTTTTAATTTATTGTGAGGAATAGTTTGTAAAGAATCGAAAAATCGTGCGTTTTGATGTTACTGACCTTAGTAAAATTTGTTGATTTTTAATTTTCTGAAAGCACTTTGGAGTGTTTGATTTACACCATTTCTAGAATATACTGTGGCACTAGACATCTGAAGATTCTCCTTTATTTGTAAGGAGTACAGATAGGGGCTTTGTAGAACATTTGTTGGACCCGGCAATGTATCTTTGTGATGATTTATATGAAGTTTAGGAATCCAGTGTAGTAAGGGTAAATCGAACTCACCTTGGCTAACTGGTGTTAAAAGTATTAAAGACTGAAATGTGATTTTGAAGAATTTCATTCTTAGAAAGTGAACTGTGAGTATTAGGTTAAAAAAACGTGATGTATATATGTGTTACGCGTATATGTGTTACATCAATCTTAATTTTATCGAAAAGCAAGAAGAAAAAATCTTACTGCTTTTTCTTATAGTCAAACTGTGTACTGAGTTTTAGAATCATTTTCTAATATCAGTGTTTGCAATAGTAGTCACATTAATTTTTTAGTAAGTAGATTACACATATATTTTTAGACAAGTATGACAGTTTAAAGGATTAGGAACTTTGAGTGTACCTCTTAAAACATCTATGAAATTCTGTCTATCTTAATGAATTATACATTTAATAAGTATAACATCCATTTGACATTTTCGCTTTAAAGTGCTTTTAATTATTTTTTCCGTTTTGATGTGCAATGTTAAAGTAAATAACATTATGCAAAATATCCTGATAAATGTGGGCCTGAGATTTATGCAGTTTCGTTACTCTCGTTTGATGATGCTCAACGACTAACTTCAATTATGTTTATAATGATTTTTTCGACAAATATTAGGCGATTTTGCAAATATTTCAGAAAACGTAAAGAATTCAAAGAATTCTGAAATCCATTTTACTAAAGCACTCGAAGGTTTATCTTGAATGAAGTAACAGGAAGGATATATGTAGATCTTGGTGACTGTTTACAAACGGGGACGACAGAGTGTGTGGTATTCCCCATTTGAGGACATTTTAATTGAAATATACAATGGGGGGCACTGTTCTCTGTGGAGGTTTACTGATTTTGATTCTGTGTCATCAATCTCAGTCGTTATGTGAAATTGTCGACAAAGGTAATAGTTTTACAATTATTCTGTTATTTTTAATTTACATGTATTTTATAACTTTATTGTAATTTCCAACAAAGACAATGGTTGATGAATTTTATAGGCCTAATATTAGGGTAAAGGATGTGTCCTATGCATTAGTACAATTATAAAAAATGTTCCATTGATATTGGGCATGTAAATATATGGAGGAAAAAATCGTCTTTTAGTTCAGACTTTAACTTAAGGATTGCTATTTCTCTTCCTTGTTTAAGCTGATAACATCAGATAAACCCTCTCTCTCTCTCTCTCTCTCTCTCTCTCTCTCTCGATAGATATATAGTTTTGTTAAGTCATATTCTCCCTCATTGCACAGACTTCACTGATGATTATTATTGAAAGAAAGAGACAATTTCCCGGATCAGAGATCTAATTCTCATGTGAACTTTAACTTGTTATAACAATTAGAAGTTACCCAATACTATATTGTTGGTTATGTGCAGATTTCTGATGGGCGTGACCATTACGACACCACGGAATTAGAAGCAACAATTTGCACTTAATGAATCGTATTGTATTGGGTAGGGAAAATATCTCTATAGTTTTTTTAAGGAAAGCACCACACGTGCTGTTTATTTGAATTCCACATTGAATGGACCAGCTTGCTGAAATCAAAGGAGGATACAATGATTTCACTGAGAAATGAAGATGTATTTATCAAGACATTGCTGAAACAAGAATGATTTTATTTTGATGTGATTCCTTAAAATGAGCGCATTATCTCAAAAATTGTCTCATACTTTTTACTACAATTTGCACCACTTTCCTTGAAATAACATGATGCACAAAGGTTGACGTCAGACGAGTCCTTTGATCATCTTTTGTTTTACTTTCAAACTTAAAACATTAAATATCTGGTCTATTACAGAAGAGATATAATTCTCTAGGTTTTATTTATACTTCTATAGGGTTGGCAGAGACAAGCCTCTCTGAATGACATCTAGTAGCCTATAGCAGTATGTGGGATAATTTGCTCTGGATAGATTGCTATCTATGAAGCACTCTATGGAAACCGTTTTCGGTCGTCATATATGACCATATACACGTAGCAGTCTACAAACTAGTATACCTTATGAACTCATTTAACATATGTTTTTTTTTTACAAAAAAAAAAAAAAAAAAAAAAAAAAAAAAAACCCTGATTTTTCTATGGATACACTGCTATTTATGAAGCAGTCCATAGTTATATGGTCATATATGTAAATCACTTTTAGAAAAATTAACAATTTTCATTTTCAATCTTCGTATCGTCATCAAACACATTTATCATGTTCTAAATTTTGAATTTACTGGGTTGAGGTATATACAAAATCTGCATTCGGGGTTATAACTTTTGTTTTTATCTCCTTCAAGTAATACAATTAAAAGAATGAAAGACATGTAATTTTACTATTATAGATCTGTGCATTGAAGAGACTATGCGGACTTGGAGTGAAGCGTCAAAAAGCTGTAATTTGGTGGTATCCAACACATCTCTCAGTGTTGGTGTTCCAATTACAGATATCCCTGTTCTCATACACAGATCCTCTGCTCCGACCTACATGTCTAAGGATGTTCACTGGATAGGGGCCACAGGAACATTCACTCCATGGTTTGAACTAGCAGGTAGTTTGATATTTATTATAGATTTTTACGATGGTTTAAATTTTACTTCAATTAAGTTCATGTAATTTCTCCTAGCTTAAAGGAGCACATGTATATCAAGGGAAAATATTAAAGAAGAAACAGACACAAAAAACAAATGAGGCAGATAAAATTCTTGCATTTTTGAAAGAAATCCCATTCAAACCTTAGATTCTTTCTCATTTCAAAGTTAGTTACTATCTAATTCATCCGATTAAAATGGGAATAATTTGCTTTTTATCAAATTTGGGCTCAGTTTAAAGCTAGCTTGATCTATAGAATTCTTCATAGCTTTCCTTCTACTGAAAAAGTGGTCATACATATTTGTTGTTACAAATCGTTTCAAGGCCCTGAAAAAAAATGAAATTGTTCACATTTACACCACTGTGAATAAACTATGTTTTTCTTCTTTTTCTAGGATGCAGCCTATATTATTACTTTCCCTACAATAAACAGTTGATGTCCAGTTCAAAACTTGGTCCTATTGCTCAATGTCATCAAATATGTGAAAACTGGAGAAACAGCTACAAGGAATTCGGAATAAACGTAAGTGTTTCCACAGAAGAAAGCGTGATATTAAAAAGTTACTACCCGATTTTTGTTCTTGATGTTTAATTCACACTGAAATTAATTTGCACTTTATTTTGCAGTACAAAGAGTGGAAGTTTTTATAAAAAATAAAATAATGTTACTAAATCCCTTAAAACTTCCACATATATGGCAATTATGAAAGCTTTGAAATGTGTTTTCATCAAGTCTAGAGCACAACAACATCTCTGACATCTGCAACTACTCCGGTGTTTTTATTAAGAACTATTCCAATGTGAAATAATTTAATTCTGGTTGTAACGCTTTATTTGATTGGACAAAAAAATTACTTTATTTTGTATAAAATGGGTTGCCTACGTCACAATGACTTGCGTCAAAAACGTATCTATCCGCCTGACGTTACATTCAAATTTTGCACAAATTGAAGTCATTTTTTAAGGACAATCATCTTTTTTTCTTACACCAAATGAATGAAAATTAAATTATAAGGAATGAATTTAATAGCTACCCAATTTATGCGGTATAAACTGGATTGGAACAGTTTACGCTTTTTTATATAAAGCGTAAACTGCCCCAACCCAGTTTATACCGTATAAAATGGGTAGCTATTAAATTCATTCCTTAATTAATGTGATGGGACTCGTTAATAATACTCAGAGATGTAAGCGTAGTCATGGACATCGGTCTTACAATAAACCTTTTAAACACGTTGTCTCCTTTGATTCACTACTATCTTATGTAAATATACAATTATGTTTTCATCACAAAAATTTACTCGGTTCCTTTGACACTTTTAAATAGTCTAATTGAAAAAGACAAGTAAAGTCCATATTTAGATTTTTCGACACCAGAACACAGGCTCGGATCTGTGATTATGTATATCCAAATCATAGGCTTTTTTAAAACCGCCACGTTTTACGAAAGAAAATACTGCGTTTTTATTGTGAAATTATTTAAGAAAATTTTAATTGTCCTTAATAATCCTAATGTGAAGAAAGTTGTTGAATATGTCTTTTTTTCCCATATGTTTATTTATATTATTTTACCTTGTATATATATTTTTGTAAAGTACATCGCCAATCTCAATACTGTGTCCTCACTCCCCTTCAGCTAAAGTGTTTGAAAGTGTAACGTGTATTATTTCATAGACATTAAATCACTCAACAAATTATGTACTTATTAGGAAATAAAAGAGATTTCATGTTTATTACACTTTTGGGGTAATAAAAAGTAGGTGAGTTCTTTGACGTTTTAGAATCTTAGGGTACATAAGTGTATACATTTTCAGTCGAAGGATAAAAATTAAATACATAAAACACACTAAAAAGATTTTGCTTGACACAATTTCAACCTTTCATATCCCAAATATATCTGTTCCTTCGTATGAATATCTGATCTATGGGGAGTCACACAAAGTGAACATCACATTCCACGTGTCAATTTCATCAATGATGTAGAGACCAAACGTTGAAAGAGAAAAAACAATCTCTTTTAATAAACATTTTAAAGTAAAAAAATTTTTTACAAGAGTTTATACCGGTTAGGTTTTTTTTGTATTGTTAAAGAAGCTTTAACTAGATTTTATACATCATTGTAGAAAACGCATTGCGTTTGCACAGAAGATTTAAGACTACAAGCGGGTTTCACTGAAAACAAGCCCTGCAATTCACAAAATTCAAGGAACTTCAAGAATGACGTAATCGGAACTGGTAACGATCAGAGAATGGGAACTTATGTATTTGCCTGGTATAGGAAAGTCAAAGTTACCAATGAAATAGGTAAAGCTGTTATTCATTGCAAAAATAATCTTAAGTACATGTATTTCAAACTAAATTTCCATCTTTCTTTATTTATCAAAAATAAAAAAGCAGATTAACATATATACAAATATATCATATCATTAAAAAAATCCTTCTTATAACAAGATTGAAGAATATTTATTCGAATTATAATTTTTATTCACTTTTGATTGAATAATAGTTACTTTGCCTAAAATAATGATGCACAACTTCATTTCTAAACTTCCACCTATACTGAATTTATGGGAAAAGTGTGAGTTTTTGCAAGTCAAATACAAATGAAGCTATATTTTGTAGGCATAATAACGCATACCAACTTATACACAAATATGTAAGCGAGTGAAGTTTAACAATAATCGGATTTATGAAGTGAATGCGTTATAAATCCATTTATCACAGCGCACCACGTGGAATGATGCGCGCGCAATATATGCGCAAGCATTTGTACATTCCATTCTCACACCATTTCCAAATGTTACACGCTTAGGGTTTGCTGTGAATTTTTAAGAAAATTTAGAATATTGCACAATGACATTGTCAAAAGACTGTGGCGTACAAAGACGAGGTTTTACTGTTTGTTTGTACTAAATGTACCGTTAGTGTACTTCAACATGCTAGAGTTTTTGACTTTGAGCCGAAGGCCTGTAAGGAGCGTATGGACGTTAGCCGAGGCTCTTACTTGTAGGAGTATTGTTGCTGTAAATATTGACCAAGATGTCCACAACATCTATAGTCGCCAAAGCCAAACAAGGCATTACAAAATGAAGTGAGAGAATAACGGCAATACCAGCATGCAATGAGGAGGACATGCATAATACTACTACACACAACACAAACGGTATGTCATCTTGTATGCCTACATCAATTATTAGTATAATATTTTCACTGTTGTATCAATTACATTTTTAAAAAATGCACAAGAAAATACTAAATGGACAGTTAACCGATCATTCTGTTAAAATCAGTGGGAAAAGGCAAAGAATAAGCTAATCATCACAATTGGTCTGTATTGCATTTAGTAGAATCTAAATTTAAGCACACCCCCTTCAACCACAGAGTTTAGAGCAATATAAATATAATTATGCACACGATAAGATCGGGTTCCATAAAACTCCCAGTGAATTGAATTACGCGTGCTCGGCATCGTCAGTCATTGTTCCGATGTTGTAAGCGCCCGAGTATGTACTTCTTGGAGCCTTAATGTTATCGATATATGAGGCTATAATAATAAGACTAATTTATTTATTCACCAACCAATGAGCTTGAAAGGGGGGCATGTATTATTTATAAAAACAAATCAATTAAGTTTATAGCAAGTAATGGCTGCATTACGTGCAATATTAACCTGATCCTCACTTGTAATATTTAACTGTCCTCGCTAGCATCCCTTATACAATTGAAAGACTAGTGTTTTGATGTCAACAATCGTTACTTATTGTGTATATATGTGCATATTGTTATAAAATACGTATTTTAAGCTTGTTCTGCCTTCGATTAACATCTTCGTGTCCGTCCTCAACAAATCTGCAACCCCGGCCTGAGGAAACACTTTTTCAAACAGAAAACCTTAAATTTCGTTACTCCTAGGCATGCATTCAATTAATAAACATCGGTCATTCTTAAGTAAATATTAAACTACTTTCAATATTTATGCATGTCATGTCCACCAAAGCAAGAATTAGGCGATGAGTTGAGAAATGTTTTTAAATTTAATTTAGGGAGTGAAGAGCAAATTTAATTAATTAATTAATTGAAATCAATTTCAGCAGACCTGTATCAAGACAAATTCAGTATATGTTGCTGAGTGAAATCCCTATGGGCGAATGGCTGTTCTTTTTCTTAACGTCTCTATCAAAAACTAGGCCCGTAAATCAGGGAGGGGGATCAATATCCACATAACAATAAACCCAAAATTTTATAGATGGAGGGCCATAATCGGTATGATAGCACCATTGATAAGATCTTTACCTGGCAAATGGATACAAAAAATCGTTTTTAGACTATTGTCAAGAAAACCAGATGATTTTTTTTTGCGTACTTGGCTTCGAATAACTACTATGTCAAACGCCTTCCATTTGTTGTTACACATCGTCACAAATAAATAAGTAAATAAAGTGATTAATAAATTAATTAAACACAAATGAAATATTATATTTTTTCAATGGGCCGTCAGGTCAAAGTCTGGTTCGAAATATGATACGCATTTATTTATCTTGATGTCTTTCTGTTTTGCAAGTTCAGCCAACTCCGATATCCGCTCAAAATTGATGACACGTTTGGCGATTTTTGTCAGCATTGGGAATTCTTCAATGCGTTGAACATTTGTTCCCGTCACAAAATTAATTCATCTGGGTTTGGAAATTGATACATGTCAAGTTTGTATTCAGACGAAAAGCTAATTAAACCTAAGATTTTGCTGATAGGAAGGGCATATAAATCTTAAAAGTCACTTCAAATGAAGTGCAATTCTTTCAGTGCCGTCTTCCCGCGCTGTTAACAGCGTTCCCACGATGCAATGATTGGCATAAAAATGCAGCAACTTTTCATTTGTATGAAGACCATTTGTTTTTATGTCATTTAAAATTTTGAATCACTTTATATTTATTTCTTTCCGATATGGCTGATTAAGCAGTAATATTCTTTAGCTGAGCACGGTAAGCGCAGACGTACTGGCTGCGGGAAAGCCACATATGATTATACACCTATAATTGTAGTAAAGTTATTTTGGTTACGATTAGATCACACAACTTTATAAACAGACGTCAAAATATGTAAGAGCTATACAGTTTGGTTTGGTGTTTAGTATATTTATAAATGACTTGTACACGTTTTTAGATTTACCTTGTTAAATTGAGATCTCCATCTTAGAATTACTTGATCACACTTCACATGTTATCATCACGGAAGTACTATTTCATTTATCAACATTACTTACATATACAGTGTCAAATTTTACAATATAAAAATACATGTACTGTAGATTATTTAGTATGCATATAAATTGTCTGTACTGTTTGTAATTGTAGAAATCATGCTTGTTGTTTGTGATGCTTGAAAGGGCCCTGATTTGGAAATAAAGAATCTTATCTATCATACTATCATCATCAATTTATAAATAAATAGTGTATTCCATCCCATGTTCTGATTAATGATAATATGTATCCAACAGTAGATAATTGCCTATCTTTAGTAAGAAACCCTTTTTATACTAAGCACTTTAAGTTCAAACTCAGCATTGCATAAGTAGGACCTCGTTATAAACGAGTACTTTCACCACGTAGACGTTAAACTGCAGGGGGGTGGCCAGTAAGGTAAAGAGGCACAGT